TATTTAACACTCATTTCCGGGTGTTTTTGGAGTCCGAGGGGTTATCTCTCTTGCTTTACTAGCCTGTAAAAAATCATTCCAGTGCTCTAAATATCTTAAAACAAAGCCAGACTTGTCCTAAAATATCAGACACATAGATAACATTAATAAAATGTGCCTTAATCAAGCCATACTGCCTAATAAAATTAAGTGCAAGTTCATATTTGTATCTGATCTTGAATGGGCCCCTGCACTCATTTTCTGTGATGGACGTGTGTCACAGTGGAAGAGTCCAAGTTGGAGGGAGGAACAGAATGGCTAGTGGTCTATAAACAGGCCATTATTAGTGTTAAAGATCAATTTGATTTTACTTATTGTGTCATGATGTTGTTGTATTGGACTTTTGCCATCCAAAGTGATGTACTGAGGTTGATAATGCGTGTATTTAGACCTTTGTTTTGCCTACCTATTAGCCTGCCTTACACATGGCCGACCATCCCAACTGCCAACAGAATTTCATTTTTGTCATGCTCACTGAGGCTGACATCAAACATCAATATACTACCCAATGCTTTCATGATTAATGATTAAACTACCACTGAAAAACCCTTGCATAAAACTTAGCATACTTTATAGGTTTTACAATATACATATTTGAGATGGTTTGATCAACTGTTTATTTATTCATGAAATGTAGTTATACCCCAGTAAAGGTCACACATCATATGAGAAGGTTGGAGTATTTGTTAAACATCATAATAGAATGAGATTGGTGAAATTTTCTCTCCCTAAAGTATAAATGATACCCTCCCATCATTGTTTGGGGAGGGGGTAACAGGTACAGGGCTGTGGCATTTCACATCAGTGGATCATCTGATGCCAAACTCCTTCTCCACATTGATCCCCTCCTGCTATCTGACACTTCTGTAGAGGCCCACCACAGGGTAGAGGCATTTTGTTTGCTAAATAAAACATTATTATCAGAATACAAACTATTTAAAACTTAAGTAATACATACAGGACAAGTTGAGAGTGAGGTTTAAGTGACTTTTAAGTCTCCTTTAGTCCTCTTTGTTGGATAGTCTGTGGGAAATTTGACCATGCTAAAAGTAAATTGGACTATGTTGTGTAGTGTTGTAGCCTGGTTGTTAATGAAGAAGAAAATTCAAACATTAAATGTAGGATCTTGACACCTCTGTCTGTCAGATTGTTTGGGAAGAGGGAGAAGGGGTAGAGCCTGTTAACTCCACATATGGCTATCCCACCCACAGTGATCAGCGATGCTTGGCTAAAAAAGGGATTCAAGTAGTTATTATGATAAAAGGAAATGCATACTTTTATTAGGATTCATTTAGAATTAAAACCTATCGAGAGGTCAGAAATATCACTACTGCATTTGTTGGTCAATTGGTATTTTAAGAGCGCTTGCAAAAATAGACCTGGTTTATGTGCCTGGTAGTTATATTGATATAATACATTAAGTTTTTTTTGTTTTTTTTATATGTCCAATGTAAAGTAGATTTTTTTTTCACCACTCTATACACATACTTAGAAAATAACAAAAATTCTGAATTATATATATATATGTTTTAAACAAATGAATCCAAATGATTTTCTAAAAAGCTTCTTTTGTAGACAAAAAGTTTGATGGGGAAGGTAAACAGATCTACATGTCGGACGGCCAAAGATAAACGGCTATTAAACACACTTTATGTTTTTTAACACTTTTTCACTTTGCTTTTTCAACTTTTCGTCTTTCTGTTCAAAATGACAAATGGGGCTATCCATTATGACTGTCTGTGGTCGGTGGCCCTGGTGTAAGATATCAGAGTTTATCTCTGACTTTTACACAGGTCAGTATGTTGGACTGTGAAATTTAAAGCCCTGTTATCAATTCTCTGAAATCATATGATGCAATATGGTAAATGTACTCTGTTGTATGTTGTTCCCAGTTTGTGAGGATAGCAATGAAAAGTGCCAGGGGTGAGGGGATAGTGCTGGGGCAGACTCCCTCGGGTCCTAAGGCTACACCACCAAACACGGCCCAGGAATGATAAGCATAATCTAGAGGAAAGCTGTTGTCTCCAACTATGTAATAAATGTGATGTCGGTCTACACTAATGTTATGTTTGGCCACAAATTAACAGTCTTTGAGAGTTTTATCCTGGGCATTAATCATGAATTGTCTGTAGTATATTGATAGGTCTGTCCGGAACTCCACTACTGGACTGTTGACTGTTGAGAGCTGTTCTAATGCCATCAATAGACAGTTCCAAGTATATGACCTGTCCAAAGATTTGTCCTAGGGCCTTCAATATAGTATGTTTGAGGATGAATACACTGTTTTAACATGTAAGACTTTTCCCAGGGCCTTGTATACACTGTTGGTCAGGATCAGGTCTGTCCAAAGACTTTGGTCGTAGGGCCTTGAATAAATTGTCTGGTTCAGATCTGTATTTAAGACCTCTTCTAGGGCTTTGAATAAACTATCTGGTTCAGGCTGGTCTTTAAGACCTTTGAATAGAGGATCAGGCCTGTTCAAAGACATGTTCTTACGCTGTCAACAAATTATTGTAATGGTCCATGGTCCATGGCTTGCCGAAGGCCTTTATTTATGCCAATGGAGTCCAGGACAGCTGAAACACTATTAGATCAAGCTCATAAAGGGGAGGGGAACAAGTTGCCTAAAATCATGTTCTAATCCTTACTATATCCAAATGATTAACCTATAAAATCATCGATGAAGTTTCTAAATGTTTACTACAAGCTTTATATTCTTGTATACCTTGTCCAGAGCCTGAACACTGCGTCTTTTTCAGAAACAAGTTTTCATTGCTTATTAAATAATGAATTAGATTCAAACGCTGTCAGGAATTGATTTATGTATGAACATGAAAATTCAGAGGTATTATATTTCAGCAGTCATAATGGCTGGTATGTGCCATTCACACTTGAATGACTAAGTATCTGTTGTTGTCAGTTTGCTTCCATTGTCAGCCCACCCTGTTGGGTGGTGTGCACGTTTCTGTCTAAGCCCATAACATTGTAAAAACCTCAACACAAAAATTTAGTAATTTTAGAAAGGAGTGCGGATGCCCCCCCTCCCGCCCCCCAATTAGGATTAGGAACTATTAGTTAATCCATCCCCAATTATATACAACAGTGTATAATACATTGTCCAAAATTTTCAATTTCTAATTTTCAATAGCAAATGCTTTATGAAAATGAATATTTAAAATAGTTGTGATTTTTTAAAGTGCTTTCATTTCTAACAACGTTGTTGGTCCCAAACAATTGTTTCCTGGTCAGATGTAGTGTAGAGACGGTATGATAATGGAGAGACCTTTGTAATAGTCAAGCAAAGGTTCTCTTCATATTTCATTTCTCAACAATTGCTTAAACGTCTCCTAAAGCAATTCATTATATGAAAAAAAATTGGTGGTGAAAACGGAATAAATGAACTGAGAACCATGAAACAAATATGCTGAACTTTATGCTTGACCAAATATCTCACAAATTAGCGCATTATTCAGGTGTTTGTTAATCATGCAGAAAGATGAGTGGGGGTTGAGTACACCTCGTTACACCACAATCATATCGTGATGACCAGCCCTGATAAACACACGTAGCCATTGGAAAAAAAAACCCTGCAGGTTTTATTTATTTTGGCTGACTGATTCATACATCATTGTTTTAGTGTATTCCTTTGTTTGATCGGTGACATATGCAAGACAGAATACTAGGATGTTTATTTAGGTATTACATAGGGTTTATTGGGGTGTCAAACTTGGGTCTTAGGAACAAGGCAGATATATGCTATTGACCATAACCTTATTGACCCAACCACTACTGCAACCAAACATAATATTTAGATGTAGCATAGGTAGACATTAGTGGTATTTCAATGACTATTTCATAAATGTGGATTAAGTTTTTTCTTTCAGGAATATATTTTCTTCACTGAGTGTAATTAAGTTCAATTACATTTCATACAGAAACTTAAAAAACCAGTAGATTTAACTTAATTGTAGTTTTCCGGCTTTACAAGCTTACGTGTATAATAATTTTCACAGTATATGAATGATGTTTTGAAAATGGGGCATCTAAAAGAAAACATTTATTTTAGGTAACACAACAAATTCAGTGAAATGGAAAACATGGTACAGCTTTATCTGAAATATTTATAAGTTTCAGCATAATGGTTGTTTCATTTGTAAATATACAAAATTGAATATTAAGAATTAAATGGGGACGACTGTGTTGAAGAGTAAATATTTACGATGTATAATGCTTTTGAGTCCTACTTAATTGTCAGTAATTGCTGAATTTTATATCATGAATATTCATTTCTGCTGTTATTTACACATTTTATTCTAGTCACATGAAGTTAAGATATATTCCCAAATAAATCATATATATATAGACATATATTGGATCTACACGAGTTTTCATTTTATAAGATTTTATGAAATGAGTCTTAGAATGTTTTCACGTTTTAGCCTTCGCTAATAAAAATTAAAACTTTTGAGACAAGTTTCATAAAATCTTAAATGAAACGAAAACAAATTTATGATACTTTTTACCTTGTAATTCAGAAAAGTGTACATTTTGACAGCTTTTAATGTGAAAATGTGGAGATGGCAGTCATTTTTGCTTCATGTCATAACAACCTTGTCCATGTTATGACATAACAATTTCCTGACTGGCATAGCCGATAAAAAAAAAAATGCTTCAGAGTATATTAAACAAGTGAGATATAAGCAAAAATGTTACATTATTGAATACACTGGATAACAGGCAGATTATATGTTAAATCTTAAGACATACCTGCAGTTATTTTATGTTTATATGGAATGAAAATTTAAAAAAAAAAAGAAAAAAATGGCTAAATTATTCTAATACAGAAAAAATTTCTATATGTTTTGTAGTAAAGAATACATAATTGTGATGATTTGTATGGGAGCTACTATGAATATAATACAATGGATGTTTGATTTTCAATTTGTTTTTGTGTTTTTCAGGGGAGTAAAGTTTCCATGGTACAGCCTCCCCTGCCGGGGTTTGTGATGTACAACGGTGAACACTTATCACAACCTCCTCCGGCTCATATGGGCATACCTCCAATGCACATAGATCCAAAAACAGGTAACTATTGCAATCGCAGCATCAGGCTTGTCCAGTCTCAGACTACAGGAGAAGCTCCTTACCTTTAGCTTGATTAACAAGTAATCAAGGGCTGGCCTTCAGTTTATATATTTACAAAAACACTAACATTTATACATAAAATTCCATGATGTATTCAATTTGAGAGTGGATTTTTCTGTGACTTGTTAAGAGTTGACAGTGAATTTGTCAAGTGACAAGTTCAAGTTTAGAATGACTTTAGTATTTGACAAGACTAGACCAGACTGAGAGGACAAGTTCCATCTGACAATTGAAGTTGGAGTAAATTTTATATACCTGTATTGTATACGTTTGGAAAATGATTAAATTCTGGAAAGTTTTACTTTGTAGAAAATATGCCATCTGTAATGTAATATTAGTATGTGTAGTTGATCTACATAGGTATATATATAGGCTTTATAACATTGATGAAATTTCAACATAAAAAATACACCTTCATACCTGTTTGATATCTTTAAGAAAATTCATTGCTTTGTCAGAGTATTCAAATTAGCTTTACCTTGGTGATGACCAGGCTAATCAACTACCATAATAATTAAGTATTCACTCCTTATATGGCTGTGGCTGTATTAAAGAATTGAAAGTCATAGCTTACTTTGGGTTTTTTTATTTTTGGAGGTTGGGGGGGAGGGTTTTGTGTGCATTGAAGAGAGAGTAGAATTTATGATATTTGGGTGTTATTATTACAGAGTACAGAATACTGGTCGATAATATTAACTTAATATATATCCATATATCCATGATGTATGAGTTACTAGGCTGTAGTACCCAGGTACCTGGAGTTAATAGGTGCACACCCTGTTTTCTCAGGTATTAACTATAAATATATTATAGATGATCAACGTAAGTAAGTACACTTTTCAACACCTACAGCATCAGTTAATAAATGTTTTAGACAGGATCAAGGATATCGCTTTATAAAAAAAATTGTAAACAGAAAACATTTTTTAAAACCTGATTAAAGTAAAATTATGTTGCAGGATTTGCCAGCTTTAAATGAAATAAGAACATTTAGTGTTGATCTTGTTATCTTTTTATTCTTTCAATTCATTTGACTAGTAGCATGGTTCAGAATAAAGACGAGTACTAGACATTCTTCTCATATTATCAGATGTATGTAATTTACTGACTGAATTATGTGGCTAGTACTCCTCTCAATCTAGATTTTGACATTTCTTTTGATCACTTTCGATTTCCTCGGTCGCCTAGGTTTAAGATTTATGCCCTTAGCATCACTGACATGTTCAGGAAAGACAAAACGGCTGTATGATGCAGTTTAATTCATTGTTCAACTCTACTGAATCTGTAGTAATAGGTGCTGTGTCTTTTGTACAATCTTCAGGGCTGATGTATTATTATCAAAATGAAAAATGTAAATTTCTTTTAGCAGTATAATTGTTCTAAAGATTAACTTACAAGATATGAGGAAAAAAAAATGTAGTGATAGTATCCCTTTTTTCCTGTTAGATAAAGGTTTTTGGGAGGACAGACAACCAGCTAAGTTCAGATAAAGTTATAAAAGGACCAGTGATATGGATGGGCACACAAGATTCTGGGGGTAGGGAGACAGTGCTTGATAGTCCATAATACATAATTAGAAAAATGGAAGATTGAGAACAAACCTTGTTCTGTTGGGCAAGTGTTTTGGGATTACATATAAACAAGTTGAGGAAAATAAAGTGTTCTCTGAGATATACAGATAACCAAAGCTCTGACAAAACCAACAAAAAGGTTTTAGAGAACACGAAACAAAATGACAAGCTCGATGAGGTTGTAGATAGAATATACAAATAGACTAGTTACTTGGAATGGCAGACACACAAGGTTCAGGGAAGGACAGGCATACAAGGCATTGGGAAGGACAGAAAAAAGGTTCTTGAAAGGACAGTCAGGCAGTCTCATAGTCATAGATAAAAAGACATTGTAAGACAAAGTTTTGGGAAAGAGAGACAAACACAAATAAGGATAGAAGACATTAATGTTCAAGCAGTTTACAGGGAGGAACAGACGGACAAAGTTATGGGAAGGACAGACAAGCAGACACATGTTAACAAATAGAAGAGGCCTGGTAAAACAAAGATGGTGAAAAGATGGACAGGGAATGTCCTATGTCTTATTGTTGTGATAAGCCATCTGGTAAATGTCAAATAGAAAGTAGAGAAAGCTTAGGTGTGTTACACTCGTGTCTACAAATACTGAATCTCAGTCATGTAACGTGTCTAATGTGGCAGGTATACCAATAGATGTATTCATGGGAATCCTGTGCTCCCGCTGTTGAGCTTGTGCAAATAAAGTGGAGGTGTAAAAAATAAATCTCGTACAGTATTGCTGATAAATAATCATCATGATACAGTCATTGTGTGTGGAATTTAATGTGGGGAAGGATCTCATGACAATTATTCTCTTAGTTGTTAGCTAATCATCTGTCTGTATCTAAATGAAAAAATAATCTGTGACTGAAGTGCAGATGTGTGATGAAACAGAGATAGTGGGTGTGTGACACTGTCCTTCGTTGTATTAAACATTGGTGTAGATAAAGATGAAGCAAAGTAGCTGGGACTTGCTTCTCACATATCACTGTATGACAGATTGTTAACATCTTTATCTGATAGGGCTATCAAACTAAACACACACAGGTAGATACAGAGCGTGTTGACTTATCAGGATGACTTGTCAAATCATCATTTAATGTATAATTGCTCTACCTCACAATTGATTTCTGTTGTACATGATCATGATGATGTGTTGCAACACTGACTCTCCATAAAAAATTCAACACCAACAAATGCTAATGGCATTTTCTGACTGTCACATTTATAAATACATCACAAAAAAAAATCTTGACAGACAATAAGCAGGCAAATTTTTCATGATGATTCAGGGCAAGGTGGTAACAGTTCCTCCTATTCAAGTGTCTCAATGACCCTGATACATTGTGGTTACAGTAGTGTCCTCAATTGCCACTTGAGGGCCACTTGGCAATATCCTTCTGAGGGATTCCCACACTTACAGTGCTGCAAGATGACCAAATCATTCACGCTTCCTCTAAACTCATCATTATCATCACATGGCTTCAGAGAAAAACGCTAGTGACGGTGATATAAACCTAATGAGTATTCTCTACTGGGAAAACTCCGATTTTATTTTACACATGAACAGTATATTACCTGCAACTTACTTTCTTGTTGATTTTCATTGTTTAGAAAATATTGTTTAAAACAGAGTATGAGCTTAATTGTTATTCTATTTAATACAAATTTACTTAATTCTGGCAGTTTCACAATGTCCATGGAATCTGCAATATCAAATAACTTTTGTGATATAAATTATGAAACACTAAGTATATAATGCATAGGGATATAGCATATAGACTACCTGGTGTAAAATTACTAGGAATGTACAATATGGAAAGTCTGTATTTGAAATAATAGCTCTTTACTATGTAGCGTATGGATCACAGAACATATCAGTCATTTAGTTCGCTGGTAAATTATTTTTCATTAAAAAAATCAATTGGGACTGGACATCTGGTAGATAAGATCAGGGCTGGAGATGGGTAATAGGCTTGTGTGTGGAGCACACTGTTATACAGCCAAGTAGACCAGGCCCATTACAGGATATACAACAAATATTGACAATTGACACTAGAGTTCATGTTACATCCTAGAAAACATGTCACCATCCGAAGTACAATTACCATAAAACCAGAGTATGATTGGAATCAGGTTAGGGTGTTAAGTTCCCTAAACCCAAACATCTTGTAAATTATCTTCTTTTATTTAAATTATCTGCTTAACTTTTTTGGAATTGGTGAAAAATTATGGTTGAGAATCCTGCTGTTTTGCGTAATCAGCTGCCTGTGCATGCGTGCATGCCAGTGAGCCTTAGAGATTAGTGTCGGTTATATACTGCAGACTTCTCCAAAGTGCTATCCAGGGGCTGTGCAGGGTCCAATTTATCTACACATTTGGCCCAAGTGCCGTTTAATTCAATTTTACTGCACGAGATATTTCTTTTCTCTTATCATGCTTTGACAGCTTAGAAATCTGATTGGATTGAAATAGCCAGAAGATTTTGAGTGACTTCTGTGTATTGAAAAATGCCAAACTGTTTTCCATTGAAAAAAGTGACATTAACACATTTACATCAATACATTAAAATATTTTGTTGTCATGAAAAGATTTTCAAATTTGAATTATCCCAGACATCAAATCTTAAATCATTGCTATGATATAAACATCTTATGATATAAAGATCTTATCTTTTTTATTTCATATTCTTTAAGCCATTTTCATTGGTAACGATCTCCGGATCTCAGTATGATCGGGTATAAGACTTAATATACTGGAGGATAACAGTTTGTTTACCTGGTAAATGTAACTGGTGATGTCATTGTTATGACATCATTAACTGTTATGATGTTTCCATACATTCTGTGACTTTTGATATTTTTATTTTCTTTACATTAACTATCATTATGTAGATAATCTCAGTTAAATCAATATACAACTTTTCTCTTGTGTATTTTGCAGGGTTACCACGACCACCAATGTACGCTTACCCATCCCCATCACAGTTCCCACCAGGTTTATATGGTCCAGACCTGTCACAAGTGCAATGGTAAGTTCTCCCTTACATCTGGCACTTTTTTCTCTCGTTTAAAATAAATGGAGGAATTATTGGAAACATTAAGAAATTGTACTGTTTAGACAAGAGGAAGCAAATAGAGGGCAGTAAAACAATGGTACAGTGAGTGTTATAGTGACTTTATGGTGGCTTTATGGGACAAACTAAGTGGTGGAAGAGATACAGCTGCTGTGATCACCATCTGTCTAGGAGGACAGCACAGGCTTCCATGTCACCACTCAGACACTTGACTCACAATTTACAATCTTTACTACTTTTTTATGGACTCTTCACCTAGCCTGTCCTATTCAGGCCCAAGCGGTCTGCAGTCTTTGGTCTTCTTTGCTGTATAGTGCTGATGGAGAAGCATTCTATAGCTATTGCTTTCAAACATTTTGATGATGGTCAATAGCCTAGCTGTTAGATATAGAGAGATTATGCAAAGGTGCACAATTTCTGAATATTGCAATATATGTTTTCATTTGAGAGTTAGTAAGTTCATTGTTCTGTAATCATCTATCAGGAGTTGTGTCCAAACAAGTGTGCCTTCATATATATAGATCTGTTTCCTTATTCCTCACAATACGATGGAACAAGTAAGACCAGATTCTAAATGTAATGTTTAGGGTAATGTACCCTATATTCCAAGGCTAGTCTGGTCGGTTAACATGTTCCTTCTGGTTCAAAGGCCAGGCAGTGGTTGGTTGGTATACATGTTCCTCTGGTTCAAAGGCCAGGCAGTGGTTGGTCGGTATACACGTTACTTCTGGTTCAAAGGCCAGGCAGTGGTTGGTCGGTATACATGTTCCTCTGGTTCAAAGGCCAGGCAGTGGTTGGTCGGTATACATGTTCCTCTGGTTCAAAGGCCAGGCAGTGGTTGGTTGGTATACATGTTCCTCTGGTTCAAAGGCCAGGCAGTGGTTGGTCGGTATACATGTTCCTCTGGTTCAAAGGCCAGGCAGTGGTTGGTCGGTATACATGTTCCTCTGGTTCAAAGGCCAGGCAGTGGTTGTTCGGTATACATGTACCTCTGGTTCAAAAGCCAGGCAGTGGTTAGGTGATTCCCTGTTCTTAAGATGTAAGCAAGCTGCTGATGTAAAGTGGTCTGACCGTTTAATGATGTACGTCAGACCTTTGTTGATTCTTCTACAAATGGTTTGATGATGCAAGTGCCATATTGTGAGATGTCAGGCAGGTCAGGTTGGGTCTGGCCACAAACAGGGATAGGGATCAGGTAGTCTCCAGTTAGGCCAGGGTTAAAAGCAACACATACCTTTGGTACAGGTCTGCATACCATAATTAACAATTAGCATCCCCCACACATGCTTTGTACAGTCAAATATTCTTCTTTGTCCTTCTTTCAAAAGCAAACATGAAGGCGTTTATCTGTACTCAATCTTTTTGGTTTCCTTTATTCTTGTCCAAGAGTGTCCTACTTATTAGCTCAGTGTGTTGTGCAGTCTCGGCCGGAGCCCTCTCTCACCCGTTGTTGGTAGATGTGCTAATCTTAGGCATGTATTGCCTTTGTACCGGTCTCTCTTCATTTACCAACCCTCTGAATTTATTAATCTGTTTCATTTTATGAGAGATGGGAAGTAATTGGTGAAGAAAGAGAATTTTCTTTTGATCCTTTGTTAGTTATTGCTTGGAATCTCTTGGGAAATTTTGTTCAACTTTTCATCTTTGTTCATTGTGATGTTTAGGAGGAATATTTCTGACATGATGTACATGTTCAGAGTTTGTCCCCACGATGTATATGTACCGCTGTGAGAGAATTATAAATTAGCTGCTAGTTAATATGTTGTATCATTTCTTACATCTTTTGACAATGTATTGGGTAGTATGAATATTGATTTAGTTACAACTGGTAATTACAGGACACAAAGGCTTGCTGTACATAATATGCCTGGGAGAAATATAATTACATGTGCTAGTCTTTTGTGTGTTTTTCTATTGAAAAAAAAAATTGAATTTATACTTTGTGGTCATTTTATCCTTCTTTGATGACAAAGTATAGTTAAAAGAACCATTGATCCTTTAAATAGAGTGATAATTAGATTTTCAAAGAAAAAATGCTTTTCATGTGTTAATTTTTCGGTGGTTTCATACATTCAACATATTGACTATAAACAATATCAATGCCTGGTAATTACGAAAAGAGTTTTTTTCCCAAATCTAAAATATTCAAAGTTCAAATATTTGTGAAATTTTATATTTCTTCATACATTCAGTCAAACAAATCGGAACTAATTGGAAATAGATGTTTCAGCATTGGTAACGTTTGATATCGCTGACCTGAAGTAAAGAGTCGTCCTTTGAAAAATTGTCAAAATTGTATTTATTTGGCACTTACAGTACAAGCAATGTGATTGTTTGACTGTAGATACAGTACAAGCAATGTGATTGTTTGACTGTAGATTCATGTAAAAATATGAAGTGTAACCAATCATGTTTACTAACTGAAGTCTTTCTCAGCTCTAATGGATGGCACACAATGTACTTAAAAATGTATCAATGAAAGTTTCCTAAAACACATCAGAAAAATGGAGTTCTGTTGTGGTACTCAGTGGTATAGACTTATATGATGATGAGCATAATCAATATTTAGCAATATTTAGGGGTGTTAAAATTCAATCCTTTGACAGGGTGTATTGCATTACTTTAATAGTGTCCTATAGCAGTGTTATAATGATTGTATTTATCCTCTATAATAATTTGTTTCAGGCAGAGGCAAGGGTACCCCATCTCCTCAGGTGCCTTCACCGGGCCGTACCCACCTTCATTATTAAACTCAAGTGCATTATCTCGTTTTGGTCATCCCGGCCTATTTCCACCCCCAGGCATTCCTCATGCAGGCATGCCTCACCCCACCTTAATGTCACCGGCCACTAAACAGGATGGGGGACAGCAGCCTCACGGCCAAGACAGGTAAATTGGCATGTCCAAGATAATGTGTTAGGTACAATTAAAGATAAGGAAGGTGGCTGATATTTATGGCCATCCCCAACATTATACTTTTAATATACTGTCTAAATATTGTTTTGTAAAATAAGGTCATAATGTCATTGATATGATAGTAATTCTACTTTGTATAAGTCTCCTCCAGTAATTGTGTGTTGTTTTTTGACCGTTAGAATGCATGACCAAGGGGGCAGTGGTCACAGTCAGCGGGAAGAACAAGAAAAGAAGAAACCTCATATAAAGAAACCTCTTAATGCCTTTATGTTATTTATGAAAGAACAACGGGCCAAAGTGGTAGCAGAATGTACATTAAAGGAATCTGCAGCAATAAACCAAATTTTAGGTAGAAAGGTAAGTTTACATGGATATGATCCATGGGAAATAACTCCACTTGAACGTTAGTGAATCTTAATTGCTAATTTCTTTTCTTCCTGATTTTGTAGATAATTGATAACGTGGATATGGTTATATCATACCAAAGAATGCATTGGGCATGATTCTTTCTGGATGTATATAAATATCCAGGAATGCCTAAAGCTGTCTGTATAATGACAGAAATGAAGCCATGAGAATAGGCGTTAATGAGCCTCTCTGTATTGCACCAGGCTCTGTTGAAATCTAATAACACAAGTTCTCAATGAGAGAACGCTGAAAAAAATATTTGTAAAGAATTAGAATTTAGGACAAAATATTATCTAGTGATTATGCTTTCCTGATTTCAGTGGCATGCACTAGATAGGTCAGAACAAACTAAATATTATGAAATGGCACGGAAAGAAAAAGAGCTACATTTACAACTGTATCCCGGCTGGAGTGCCAGGGATAATTATGCTGCACACACTAAGAAAAAAAGGAAAAAGAGAGATCCTCAATCAGGAGGTGCAGGTAGGTTGTTAATTCATGTCACTGTCTTTTTTCTTGTTTTCAGTGGCATGCACTAGATAAGTCAGAGCAAACTAAATATTATGAAATGGCACGGAAAGAAAAAGAGCTACATTTACAGTTGTACCCAGGGTGGAGTGCCCGTGATAATTATGCTTCACAGTCTAAGAAAAAGAGGAAAAAGAAAGAGGCTCAAACATCAAATCGAGGTATGTTGAGTTTGTCTTCCTGAAGAAGGTGTACAACTTTATGGACAGTGAGAGCACACGGCTAGACCAGTGTGTGTGGTGTCTTGGAGATCCTCTAGAACTCTTAACATGAGCTGTATGTGAATGACCCTGTAATACACTGTATATAGACAGGCAACAAATTAATTATTCACACATGAAAGGCCGAACACTGGAGCCAGGCAGACATAAATCCTAATAATACATCTATAAACGACTGAAAAAGCTTGGAGGATCTATTAGCAGCACTGTTTGTACCGCCTGCTCTGTGATTGTGTCGCCATTTCTTCCTTCATTCACAAGTAAATGGCTAGAACAATACTGTGTACTATCAAACTATGTTTATGTTGTATGATAGCTCAACCTAGAATCTTACACTCCAAATGTGGACAGAAATAGTTTCAATTCTAAAAAATGGTTTGCCTGTTGCAAAGATTCGAGATGAAATGCCTGTTAATTACAAACACAACTTTATCTAAGAATCAGATTTTTTTTTTCTTCAGATATTAAAAAAATAAACAACATATTTTCTCCATTACAGATTGTACAATTGCAAAAAAGTGTCGAGCGCGTTATGGGCTAGAGCAGCAAGGGCAGTGGTGTAAACCTTGTCGGTAAGTACCTATCACTATGCACAGAGACGTGGCTAATGCAGAAAAGTGTCACTCCTCATAGCCACTGTTTCTTCTTGGCAACATTCAAATGAGACACCACTTAACTGACAAATATCGCTTTATTGACAAGCCTTCTATTTCCTACATTTTCATCACTGGGAAAAAATGGTTTCAAATAATACTGGCTTTTATAGATGATTAAAAAAACAAACAAAACATGAAAAATGGGTCATTTTGGCAAATGGAGTATTTATTTGATATGATTGGACATTTGTGTGCTGTAGCTGGAGTTTCCGTGATACAGGGCAGTGGTTATTGATTTTCTGGTTCCTATCTTGTCTACCATGTTTTGTGATACTGACAGTTAAACAAACCTGCTATCACAGAGTTGGAGTGAAATCCTGACAACTATGTCGACTCTAACTCTTTTTTCATTTACTGACATATCATTTATTACACTGGCTCCCTACACAATCTTGATCTTCAAAACATATGGCAAATGTCACTATTTTAAAATTAAACAGTGATCAGTCCTATTCTGAAGTTGAATTGACTGCTGCTGTTAAGCAGAGTTTTTCTTCATTGTGTGTTTGTGATAGTTAATGAATAAGCGATTAAAGTACACTTTGTACATTGACATGGTATTTATACTTGTAGAGTGTCTCGTTTGAATTGCTGCACTTTTGGGGGTTTATCAGTAATAAATAATAAAAGGCATGCTGGGATATTTTCATTGCATGTTGTACCTTGTTTGGGCTCTACAACTGTAGAATCCTTTGTGTCATTAGTTTTTTTGCAGAGTGTGCCACTAACTAGTGGTCCTGCCCATGGCCCAGTGAGGGACTGAAGTCGGGGTGTGCTTGCAGACATGCCCATGTACAGTTCCTACAATTTGTACTACGCCTCATATAATGGACAACTTTTCTGCAATGGCCATCTTGTCTCATTTCAGGTCAATGCATGAACAATCGTGTGATCATGATCAGACTGCTGATATAAAACCGACAATCTCCACAGAGGTATCGTCAGGTATACCATTTGACCTGCACGTACGCTGACGCAGCTCGCATGCTACATATAATATGCAATCTGCCTTGCCATTAATGCTTATTTTCTTATCCTAGTTGCAGCAGACTGGATTCAGAATCTTACACTTGTTACTGCATAATATTCAGTTTGTTTGCCTAAAATTATTCTGCATGTTGCCGTAGCAACAAAGGCATGTTCCCAACAACACCGGAGCATGTCACTCTTGCAACAGGAGCTTTGTTTGAGTTCTATTGACAAATACTACTTTTATTTGCTTGTTTCAGCTCAGTTCAGTATCTCTTTCAGCTTTGCTTGGTTTTTATTTGCTAAATTGGTGGTCATCACTGTTGTATCTGTAGTTATACAGTAAGCATGCTTCGTTTTGTCTGGTTTGTTCTTCCTGATGTCACACAACCAATCACTTGCCATTTTTTTTTTTTTTAAATCTGTTAATAAGAATACATACGTAGGTTACACCTATATTTACTCTTCAGTAACCATCAGTATTTACCAAGATGTAGCATGGGATATTTACTGGATTTTCCCCTATACATTTTTGTTTATTTTGATTGTGACATTCCCATTAAGTCTTAAAAACAAGTGAAACATGTACAATGAATTGTGATGCATGAGAGTTGAATGACTTGCCTGAGTTGACACCTAACAGCTATATACTTACCTAGCATAACTTGTGCAGGGTTAGTCTTGGTACACCATGCTTATACGGCAGTGACCTGTCGTCGTAGTGGCTACAGCTTATATATACATTTTTACAGTATCCTTGTACAGCTAACTGCATCTTGTAAACACGGCTTTTCTCTAAAATTCATTTTGAGTTAATGTTGCTTTATATTTGCTTTTAGCTATTTTTGACAAACAAATCTTAGATTAGTGTTTGATGTTAACCCTTTTTCACTCTTTTAATTTCTGTGTTTTTTCTGTGTATTCAAACAAGTCAAAATTTATATCTTTTCCTGATCAGGTATGTTTTCAATGGTAAATATCAGTGGTATGTTTATACATAATCCAAGATTATTGTAAAAATTAAAAAATTATTTTTGTTTTTTTACTTTCTACAGCTTCATTATATTATCCTTATGAAAATCTTTAAATATTTTGATGATGTAGTTCAGTATCCTCTTATGGTAGATTTCTGTAGTTAATTCTTATAGAGAAACATTCTAATGCGTTATTTTGAACTGTGTATTTCAGAAGAAAAAAGAAATGTATTAGATACATGCTCGAAGATGGAGTCGAATACATAACTGATGGGGAAGATGGTCCCATGAGTGACGATGTGACCACAGGAGACTCGGTGCATGACAGCGACTCCATGGTAGGAAGTCCGTTACTTTCAGTAGCAAGTGATGATGCATTTTCTACACCATCAAAGTCTTTCTGCCAAAACTCGCCACCGTCCTGTTTGGACTTAGGGGACCAAGGCGAGGACCTGGACTTGACTTTAGAGCCAGGTGATAATGGTGTTTCCTATGTCCCCGGTCTCGTGACCTAAATGACAGTCGGCAGTATGGCCTAGACGGAGACTTAAACGTCACACTAACTATGTGTACAAGCCCAGTCAAACCAGTGCCTACATTTCACAGTGCGAGCAGTATGCCTATCCTCTAGCAGTCAATAGGTGGGATCAAGTCTTCAGTCATTCTCATTGATCATATATCAGTTCGTGTTATTGTACATAGGAACATGTAGATGCAAGTGTACAGCATAATACCGAGATCTCATACTATTGATGTCACTATACTTGGTCTATATTCCCTTCATTAGTCCTCTGCCCCTCGGAGTTGTTACGTTCGTGCGGTATGTGTGGAGCAGGGATGGCTGTAGTTTGGTCAACACTGACTGAACCCTGCTGTGCAGGGGCAGACAATTCAGGAGTGTAAATGGCCAGTACTGTCGTGGATTTCCCCATCTTGTGTTGGAACCAAACTTCTTGTGACCATTGTATGGCACAACGAACGGAACGCCAAAGCATGTCTGATGGTTACAAAATAGTTGTACCCTCCCAGGATTGTGAGATCAGATGACATCTCTTTTAGCTGTGTGGTTACTAAAGCAGTAGCCTTCAGGAAGTTGAGAACTACTGTTTTTTTATAATAAAAGGTGTATGTGAAACAATTCAAAGATTTACGAATATATACTTATAAATGAGTTATTTTATTGTTAAAAAGTCTACAATATGAGAAAGTTTTTTAAAGGTATTTATAGGTTTACAAATTTTAGTGATTTTAGAACTTGGATTACGTAATATATCAGTGATGGGTTGGTTATTGTAGACAAAATATAGGATATGTATCTGTTTTCCGGTATGTGATCCGAAGGCTATGTTTTTACACAGAGACTGCAGGCGAATGTAACTCTCCCTCCCTTCTCTTACCTACATGTGTTGTCGTGGTGTAATATTCATTGACAAGTCATTATGTGTGGTAGGTGTTTTCACAGTAATATTGTCATTCTGTCCTAGCCATATATAGAAGTCTCATCTTTATCTCATCTTTCCTTCCTTGGAAATATACCACTCTGTCTAGGATGTGACGGAGTTGATCTCTGGGATACATGTGGCAAGCACCAGGAGTGCGTGTACCTCTGAAGTATGATTGTGGTGTATGTAGTTCATTTGTGTTTGTGAGTTACTGAGTATGGGACTGAATAATGTTTTATAAAGGTGCAAAAAGGAAAAAAAATCTTTTGTTAGACTAGTATAACCAAAACAGACTATATGTGTGAGCGTCTGCCTGCTTTCTGATAACACTTTCATCAACTGTTCATGATTAACACCATCTGATCACGGTTCATCTACAACATATAGTTTGATTATGACTATTTGATTGCAAGTTTTAATTTTTGAATGTAAATATAAATCATGTAAAAATTCTATTTTGAAAATGATTTGGGTTTTACATACATAATCTAATATGTCCCTAGTCTCAGCATAGTTGTAGAAGTGGATGGAATGGTGGCAATGGCCTACATCAGTGTAGAAGTAGGGAGCATGTTCACATGTATCGCTGTCTGACACAACATAAACTGCCAGAACATTCATTATAAAAGCCACATGTACGGGCATCTAGCTTAATATCATATTGTCATTAATTGGTGCAAATTCTTTCCCTTTTTTGATTATTATAACAGTTAGATGTTATATGTATGCATATTTATTTGTGTATGTGTATGTAAGGACAGGACCTAAGATGTAAGAGTTATCTTTCTTGTTGTTTCTGTCAGGTTTTGAACTAATTTGTTTCAGTGCCTACAAAACATTTCACATTAAAAAAAAAATACCAGCATATAGCTGATGAATTTTAACAATTTGTTCCCCTCCTTTTCATGACAACTTTGTATGTTGAAACATAAAATGAAGTAAATCCATATTTCCTACTAAACAAACATTAAATGAGACTATTTATTGTCATTATTGGATGTATATTTCAGTCACGATAAATTTTTCATTGAAATTAAACTTCACAGACTCCTCTTATAGCATCACTTTAAATATTTAGATTTTTTTTCTTCAAAATTTAATGGAGCAAAATTGTTGAAGTATTAAAGAAAAAAAGTTCAAAGACTGACCTTTTGAAAAATCATTAAAAACAAGACCTATATTTATATTTAGAGAGATCCCTTACAGTGCATCATTATCCTAGGGTGTGCCCTTGGTTTCTGGTTGTAGTTATGTATTATGTGTATTATGTTGTGTCTGACTTGGGTGTATGGAGAGGCGCTCATGTCATTTCAATGTTGGATGTGAGGAGGAGAACTGTACATAAGACAGAGGAAGTTGTATAATGCTCAGAGAACTATAGACTACCATATATAATGATTATTACACAAGGTCAGAGATAATGATATTTATAATTGTGATAAATGAAGAAAATCATACAATGGGCCAGGATTTTTTTTTCTCCTGCCTTTGTACAATTGAGTGAATGTGTGGTTGTATGTGGGAGAGAAATGGTATAATGTTTGATTAATAAGACACAAGCATAGCTTTCATTACTTAGTCCATTAAATGGTACTCACAAAGGAAATCTCACCAATTTATTTCATAAAATGAAATATAGGTCCACATATTGTGGTTTATTAACAAAAGTTCTATACATAACATTGTGTCCATGTAGAACCAAGGGGGGTAACTTTATCAGTTTGACAAAAGAGTGACACAGTCCAGTTGTGTTTTTCAGCCTCCTAAGTTTTGGCACTACAGTATACATTTATTTTTGTTAAGTGTGTTCCCTAAATGCAATTTAGTGCTATTTACCACTATCATTGGTAATCCTGACACAAGTTTTGAGTAAATGGTTCAAAATGTGTACCATGTATATCTATCAGAATATGTGTTGATCAAAGGCAATATGTTTCTAATGGATGGTTAAAGATAATGATTTGTTTAACATTGGAAAATACCAAAGACAGAAAATTTTTTTAAAATCCCATACAAACTTACATATCTTAATTCTCCCAATTCAAATTGCTCGCGATTAATGATTAAAGGTCGCATATCTACAAAAAGCCTTTCAGAAACTACAAAACCTTATTTGTCGAGATAGATATTGTAAATTGGTTGTATAAAGGTACTAACCAAATCTTTAGGTACTTATGATAATAGATTTGGAAGAAACTACTGTTATACAACTGATCTTAAAGAAAAGGAAAGAATTTTACGAAGTGATTTAAGGAATATATTGATTATTTTATATATCTTTTTTTTTTAATTTTCATATGATACCATTTTTTCAGTTTTGCTTTTCCAAAGATTTTTTACTTTGTCAGCTGATAGTTGACCAAGTAAGCCATGGTAACCGAGCATTTATTTATAATGCACTTTTTACCTTAGTTCTGTTTTATTTGTATGCATGATAGTATAAAAGTTATTTTACTGGTGACATGTTGACACTGTTGTTGCCATGGTTTTTGTTCCAGTGGGTGTGGCCCGCTGATGGTGCTTTTTTTTTTTTTTTTTAGACCAGCAGCCACTTGGCCCAACTTACTCTGTACACAGCTAAATTATGTCACTCTTGTTGTCGAGGTAATCAAGATGTCTTTTACAAATTGACCAGTGTATTTATGTGTTACAGCATTCTTGTTTCTGTAATAAACCTCAAGTTGAAACTAAATCTTACTTGTTTATCTTTTATATGAATAGTAGTCTCTTTCTCCAATAAATAAGAAAGAATCGCACATGAAGGCTCTTTCTCAAATAAATAATAAACAATCGCACATGAAGTCTCTTTCTCATATATATAAAATACAATCACACCTGGAGTCCATACCTTGTCTTTGCCTGCTTCCCATTAATGAAGAAGTCTCGCTAATCTATATGTCACCTGTAAAAATTCTGTATATCCTACCTACTACCACAGTAATCTGATCTATAATCACACCTTTATATGTCACCTGTAAAAATTACTTTGATATATATCCTACCTTTGATATATACAATCACACACACTTTGATATATACAATCACACTTGGAGTCTTTACTTTGATATATACAATCACACCTGGAGTCTTTACTTTGATATATACAATCACACCTGGAGTCTTTACTTTGATATATACAATCACACCTGGAGTCTTTTCTTTTACATTGATATATACAATCACACCTGGAGTCTTTATCTTCACCTTGATATATACAATAACACCTGGAGTTTTTATCTTTACTCAGATATATACAATAACACCTGGAGTTTTTACCTTTACTTTGATATATACAATCACACCTGGAGTCTTTACTTTGATATATACAATCACACCTGGAGTTTTTATCTTTACTCAGATATATACAATAACACCTGGAGTTTTTACCTTTACTTTGATATATACAATCACACCTGGAGTCTTTACTTTTACATTGATATATACAATCACACCTGGAGTCTTTTCTTTTACATTGATATATACAATCACACCTGGAGTCTTTATCTTCACCTTGATATATACAATAACACCTGGAGTCTTTATCTTTACTTTGATATATACAATCACACCTGGAGTCTTTACTTTGATATATACAATCACACCTGGAGTCTTTACTTTGATATATACAATCACACCTGGAGTCTTTATCTTTACTTTGATATATACAATCACACCTGGAGTCTTTTCTTTTACATTGATATATACAATCACACCTGGAGTCTTTATCTTCACCTTGATATATACAATAACACCTGGAGTTTTTATCTTTACTCAGATCTATACAATAACACCTGGAGTTTTTACCTTTACTTTGATATATACAATCACACCTGGAGTCTTTACTTTGATATATACAATCACACCTGGAGTCTTTACTTTGATATATACAATCACACCTGGAGTCTTTACTTTGATATATACAATCACACCTGGAGTCTTTTCTTTGATATATACAATCACACATGGAGTCTTTATCTTTACTTAGATATATACAATCACACCTGGAGTCTTTTCCTTTACCTTGATATATTTAGCAACTCCTGGAATCTTTATTTTTGATGTTATCACTCCTTGAATCTCTACCTGTTCTAAGATATATTAAACCACACAAAATCCTGGTTGTTCGAAGGTCAGATTAAACCGTGGTTAGTGAAAAGAACAAATTGTTGTCAATGAAAAAACAATAAAGGCAATATACCAATCAGACCGGTCTCAAACAATCCTCCCAATTTTATTTGATCAAAGTTTCAAAATCTCCACTCACCAGTTATCTCTAACAAAGGTCTTAACAGCAACTGAGGTCTGGGGTTTTTTTTATATATATAAGAATATAATGAGCTACAATCAAATACAATTGTAGAGTTCCACCTGCAAGCTTTCAAGTGAACTGATGGTTAGACAATTTGGACTGACAGCCAGGCATCACAGGACCTTTTCTTTATTTCTTAGCTCACCTGACCGTCGTCCGTCTGTCAACTTTTCATTTAAACAACTTCTTCTGAAATACTGAAAGGCGTAGAGTTATCATATTTGGCTGGAAGGTTCCTCTGATGAAGCCAAACAGAGTTTGCGAAAAAAATAACCTTGACCCATATTCAAGGCCACAGAGGTCAAATGTGTGTTAAAACCTTTAAACAACTTCTTCCAAAATACAGGAAGGCCTAGACTCATTATACTTGGCTGGAAGGTTACTTTGATGAAGCCCAACAAAGTTTGCAAAAAGAAATGACCTTGACCTATATTCCAGGTAACAAAGGTCAAATGTGTTAAAAACTTGAGCGACTTTTTCCCAAATATCAGAAGGCCTAGAATCATTATATTAGGCTTCTATGTTCCTCTTATGGTGTCATACAAAGTTTGCTAAAAGAAATGACCTTAACCAATCTTCAAGGTCACAGGGGTCAAATGTGTTAAAACATTTAAACAATTTCTTCTGAAATATCAAAATGCCTAGAATAATTATATTTGGCCAGTATTCCTTTTATGAAGTCCAAGAAAGTTTGCAAAAAGAAATGACCTTGACCCATAGTCAAGGTAATAGGGGTCAAATGTGTTAAACCTTTAAATGACATTTTCTGATTATCCAAACATCTAAGAAAGTGATATTATTCTAAAATAGGTTCTCAATGATGCCCGGTAATACTTGAGAACAGAAATGACCTCGACCCATATTCAAGGTCACAACAGTCAAATGTGTTAAACCTTTGAAGAACTTCTGATTAACCTAAAGACCTAGGATCATAATATTTGGCCAAAAGGTTCCCTTAATGGTGCCCACATAGTGTGTGAAAAAATAGCTTGACCCATAATGATATTTAAGGTCATTGGAGTTAAATTTGGTAAAATAGTTAAACAACTTCTTCTGATTAACCAAAAAACCATCATATTTGGCCAATAATGGCTTAAATACAAATATGTAGAACCTTCCTGACTTAATGTATGGGACATATTTGGCTGGAAGTTTTCTTGGCATGATTTGGACAAAATTATAGACATTTCACAGTGGATTTACACTGTTCCCAAAAAAATAGATTGGGCCACGCCCACTAGAGGTCTGGAGGGCTTGGGATAAGTAATGTTATGCTTGGGATACGTAATGGTACACAGTAAAAAAAATACATGTTCGCCAATTACTTTCTATTCACAGCATTGAAATAAAGAAAACATGATCGGAAAGGCAACTGCAAGAGCTTCATTGTGATGTAATATTCTTCATAATTATAGTATAAGCAAGTACTAAATGTAGTGGGGACCATTACAAATGTCCCCCAAACGACCCCTTCAGCAGTAAATGATCACAATAATCAGACCTGCAATCATGCCAAACATGAAAAAATTTACCAAAGCTGACTGCTCAGATGACCGATCGATGGCCGAATGAAAAATGGACTACGCCTTTTTGCTCCTAGAGCCACCTAATACATATATACCAATTTTCACGAAAATCGGACAATATCTAAAATTTGGCCAAATTTTGACCACAGCCGACAGCTCAGATGACCGATTGGGAAAATTCAAGGGGCCTGCACTCCACCTCGCATGTATGAATATGTGTGTAAAGTTTTGTTAAATTCCATGCAATAGTTTTTGAGAAACACGTCGGAAACCTCACCAGCGGAAGAAAGTGGAAGAAATAATAATAATAACAATAATGAAAATAATAATAATAAGATATGGAGCAAACACAATATGTCCCACCACTTCGTTTGGGGGACATAATAAATAAGAAATTCTAAGTTAAAGCCATTTGCTATGCAGCGTTTATAGGTCTACAGTAAACTGTAATCAGTAGATCTCCAGTGGGCGGGGCTTAACCGACTAATGATATGCATGAAAGGTCTTATTATTGGTTTTGAGTTAGGATTATGGCTAATAATCAAATGTAGTTTAATGTTTCCTGTCTTTACATTTAATTGTTGCTATATATTGTTGACTTGTACAAGTCTAAAATGTGTTGTATCTGTGTTTGTAAACAATGATCTAAAGGGCAAGTAAGCTTCTGCTGTCCTGGGTCATCCGTCCAGCTATAACTAAGAGTTTTTCTGCTATATTGTTCGACCATCTTCTTTCCTTGATTTAAAAGAAAGCTATCAATTACATTTAACTGGAAACATCATAAGAAAGTCTCATTTCAACATTGCATAGATGTAGGGGCTGACTACTAAGGGACAGAACCCATATGGAGTAATGTCATATTGCTTTCAGCATCTACTGTGGATCATATGCAGATATAGTACTATTGGTCATCAAAATCCAGGTGAGCGATAGAGGCCCTCTTGTTTTCATATTGGAAAGAATTACAAAAAGGCAAGTAGTTTCCTATACTCTACTTCTAATAACTGACAGGAATACAGTTGTACTGGTGGATAGACAATGAACTGATGACCAGATGTTGCACCAATGACCAAACCGATTGATGGCCAGACATTGAAGGACTCATACTTTTATTTGGTGGAAAGAATAATGACCAGTAGTTTCATATACTCTCCTGTGATAAGTGGTATTTCAATTGTACTGCTGGCCAGACAATGTGGACTGATGGTCCAACAAAGCAGACCTATGCTAGACAGATGGACTGCAGACCAGACAATGTGGACTGATGGCCCAACAAAGTGGATCTATGCTAGACAGATGGACTGCGGACCAGACAATGTGGACTGATGGCCCAACAGAGCAGTCCTATGCTAGACAATTGACTGAAGGCCAGGCAATGTGAATTGATGGCCCAACAAAGTGGACCTATGCAAGACAGATGGACTGCGGACCAGACAATGTGGACTGATGGTCCAACAAAGTGGACCTATGCTAGACAGATGGACTGAAGATCCGACAATGTGGACTGATGGTCCAACAAAGTGGACCTATGCTAGACAGATGGACTGAAGATCCGACAATGTGGACTGATGGTCCAACCAAGTGGACCTATGCTAGACAGATGGACTGCGGACCAGACAATGTGGACTGATGGTCCAACAAAGTGGACCTATGAAAGACAGATGGACTGCGGACCAGACAATGTGGACTGATGGTCCAACAAAGTGGACCTATGCTAGACAGATGGACTGAAGATCCGACAAAGTGGACTGATGGTCCAACAAAGTGGACCTATGCTAGACAGATGGACTGCTGACCAGACAATGTGGACTGATGGTCCAACAAAGTGGACCTATGCTAGACAGATGGACTGCTGGCCAGACAATGTGGACTGATGGCCCAACAAAGCAGACCTATGCTAGACAGATGGACTGCGGACCAGACAATGTTGACTGATGGTCCAACCAAGTGGACTGCGGATGGACTGCGGACCAGACAATGTGGACTGATGGCCAAAATGTGACCTCTTGATTTTAAGCCGTTGACTTGAACTTGATAAGGCCTTTCCTTATTTGCTTGATAATGACATAACCAAATAGCTACGACTTTTCATTTGATTTTAGGTAATTTTGCTTTAAATTTTTAAACAAAATATCTTTAAGTCTGACATTCTATTTACAACAATAGCAACCAGTGTTTTGACACCAGAAAATGGAAACACAAATGGGATAAGTGTTGATGCTTATTAACAACAAATCATAGGAAAATTATGTAGGAAGGATTCCAGAATTCTGTTTGTCATAATGGCAACATCATATCCACAGATGTCGAAAGTAACAGCACTGCCTGTACATCTGTCTGGGAATAACTGCTGGCCACCACCCTAAAGACTTCCTTTAAAACAACTGTCTGATGAACAAAGCTTGATGTGTACCGAATTTATATAAAGAGTCATGAAACGGAAAGTCGAAGTCATTAGATCAAAATGCTAGTTTGCAGAAGTGGCAGTCCCTGGTTGGCCCACAAATTTAAATGAACTACACAAAAAATCATCTTTTTGGTCATTTTTCTGAGCTTGGATATAGAGATGTAAATACAGAAAAATGAGGTATCAGAAAAGCAATTATACTCAAAAAATCCGCAAACAATTAACAACAGATATGTGAAAAGTACATTTATTGACAATTCCAGGCTATGGAATGGTAAAATGCTGATTTCTGGCTATGAATACAGCATAACCTTTGGTGGTCACTAGGACAATTAATACCACAGAAACCTATGCAAATCTGCATTGTTCTTTAATAGGATTGCTTTGATAAACTGTTGACAGTTATACAATAACATATGTAATGTTTTTTTATGAAAAAGCACATAATACCAGTAAACAATAATTTTCTATACATAATCATAACAATCAATATTTTATGGAATTTCTTAATTACATATAATGACAAAAAATTGTAATGACCTTGAAATTTAACACATACCAAGTAAGCATGCTCGCAAAAAAAATCTTTGGCAACTTAAGCATGTCATAGCATACAAATATTGGTCAAAGGGACATAACTTCACTTCAAACTCATAAAATAATAATTTAGCAAATAAAAGCAAAAAATGATGAAGTTACTTCTTCTATAATCAATTGAGACAAATCTGTCTAAAGATTTCAATGGAAATTGCTATAACCTCATATTGAATCATTCTCCAAATTTAGAGTAATAACAGGAAACACTTGAGTTCCCATGTAATGTAGATGATTTAAAAGGTGTGATTCTTCTGGCATTCCATACTGGTAAATCCTTGAGGCAGTGACATGGTCCTAGAACCCAGTGTGTATACGTGATACATTGTAGAGGACTATATAAAATCCATATGAGATCAGCACAGCACTGACATAGAGATAGCGCACTTCGGCGTATATTATAAAAGATATGTTAGTCAATGTTGCTATGAGCACTTAATTTGTGTTGATTAATTGATTGGTCTATTGGTCACAGGAATTATACGTAGTACCACTTGTTCACTGAAAATTAAAAAAAAAAAAATGGTAATCAATACTTTGCATGAAACGTTCCCAAGCTTTTAATTTCTCATTTCTTCAGCATTCAGCAAGACTACTATCACAATTTACAATATGAACAAATAAGTCCAAAGGAGTTGGACTTTCATTTTGGTAATGATTTCAGTAGACAGATGTAAGAAATAGTTACACAACAAATCTGAAATCTAAACATCAAGATTTTCTTACATGATGTTTTTGTGTGAAAGAAAATACCCAAACAGTTAACTGAATCTTTGAGAAATACACAAAATGCTGTAAAAGCATTTGGATTTAACAATAGGTTTCTGATTGATAAAGTTTACAGTATTTTCTCACATTATTATTATTCTACAGGATAAACACATATCAGTAGAACAGTTGACTTACATTCAGGGTCTAGTTTTTCAGCCTCTCCTAGCTCCGGATACTGCAAAATTGAGGAATTAATTTGATTTTTTCACCATCAAAACATACATATGTATACATAAATAAATATACAATACCGCAAGAAATATTGTAGTTATCTAATCCTCCCCCCCCCAACTTCTTTACCACAAACTTAATATGAAACATAGTTTAACAGAGTAGCAAAAGAGAATAGAAGTAACACAATACATACCTTTTCTTTGCATTTATTGGCTTCCTCACTGCTGATTTGATATGGGCTCCCTCCCACAGTGGTGTTCATACTGAAAAGTATTACACAAGTATGTCAAAAATTGAATAAATTATTAACAAATACAATGATAAAAGAATAAAAACTAAGTAAGCAGTGGGTCACATAGAGACCATTGTACCTTCATACTTAACCTTGACCACTGAACACCGAAATTTAATCAGGTGTAAAACATGGTATTAGGATGCTATGGTATGAATATAAAAAATATCTGCCGAAGGTTTTGTAAACCAGTTTTGTGCTACAGACATTCACACAAATTGACGAGATACCATTGATGCAGAGTAATTTGAATAACCTACCGTCTAATTATAGTGGGCTAACCAAGAGCTGTTTTAGAAAAATGTAACTTTTCATGTAAATGCAGATTTATTCCTTTTTGAAAAATACAATTCAAAATATCAGATTACAGCAGTCTAGGGGGAGATTTTTACACCATGTCCATAAAGCTTAACCATTATAGATCAGGTAACAGCAGTCTAGGGGGAGATTTTTACACCATGTCCATAAAGCTTAACCATTATAGATCAGGTAACAGCAGTCTAGGGGGAGATTTTACACCATGTCCATAAAGCTTGACCATTACAGATCAGACAATAGCAGTCTAGGGAGAGATTTTTACACCATGTCCATAAAGCTTGACCATTACAGATCAGACAACAGCAGTCTAGGGAGAGATTTTTACACCATGTTGATACAGCTTGACCATTACAGATCAGACAAAAGCAGTCTAGGGGGAGATTTTACACCATGACAATAAAGCTGGACCATTACAGATCAGGTAACAGCAATCTGGGAGGAGATTTTACACCATGTCCATAAAGCTTGACCATTAGAGATCAGACAACAGCAGTCTAGGGAGAGATTTTTACACCATGTTGATAAAGCTTAACCATTATAGATCAGGTAACAGCAGTCTAGGGAGAGATTTTTACACCATGTCCATAAAGCTTGACCATTACAGATCAGGTAACAGCAGTCTAGGGAGAGATTTTTACACCATGTCAATAAAGCTTGACCATTATTGATCAGGTAACAGCAGTCTAGGGGGAGATTTTACACCATGTCCATAAAGCTTGACCATTACAGATCAGACAATAGCAGTCTAGGGAGAGATTTTTACACCATGTCCATAAAGCTTGACCATTACAGATCAGACAACAGCAGTCTAGGGAGAGATTTTTACACCATGTTGATACAGCTTGACCATTACAGATCAGACAAAAGCAGTCTAGGGGGAGATTTTACACCATGACAATAAAGCTGGACCATTACAGATCAGGTAACAGCAATCTGGGAGGAGATTTTACACCATGTCCATAAAGCTTGACCATTAGAGATCAGACAACAGCAGTCTAGGGAGAGATTTTTACACCATGTTGATAAAGCTTAACCATTATAGATCAGGTAACAGCAGTCTAGGGAGAGATTTTTACACCATGTCCATAAAGCTTGACCATTACAGATCAGGTAACAGCAGTCTAGGGAGAGATTTTTACACCATGTTGATAAAGCTGGACCATTACAGATCAGGTAACAGCAATCTGGGGAGAGATTTTTACACCATGTCCAGAAAGCTTGACCATTAGAGATCAGACAACAGCAGTCTAGGGAGAGATTTTTACACCATGTCCATAAAGCTTGACCATTACAGATCAGACAACAGCAGTCTAGGGAGAGATTTTTACACCATGTTGATAAAGCTGGACAATTACAGATCAGGTAACAGCAATCTGGGGAGAGATTTTTACACCATGTCCAGAAAGCTTGACCATTAGAGATCAGACAACAGCAGTCTAGGGAGAGATTTTTACACCATGTCAATAAAGCTTGACCATTAAAAGATTTTCTGTTTGCATAAAAAGGTGGGGTTTAAAACCACACATATAGAAAAGTTTCACTTGATCTGACATGAAAGTAGAGCGAAGTTGTGGCTGTCATACCATTCGATGCTCCCACAATCCACAATCTTGGCAATGAGTTTCTTCCATTGTTCATTACAATCCTCTACCACCTTCAAGGCATATTCCTGAAGAGGAAATACATGAATCACATCTACATTAATACTTCAGCAACTTCATAAATCATTAATATCATTTGAGAGTTCAAACAACGATTTTCTTCCAAAACCTACAGCAGAATTCAGGCCTTTTGCAGTCAAAGGTTCACATTTTGTGGGACTTCTTTCAACCAAAAATTTCAGGCCAATGTCATTTTAAGCCAAATCGATTTTCTTAAAGAGCGAAACAAATCTTTAAGTTTATATTTCAAATATGAGTTACCAGGTGCAGTAAAAGAAAGTGATACCTTGGCCGATGCAAAATGGACTCATTTCAAGAAACGATGATGTTTTTCTACTTATTGTGTTATTACCGAAGGTTCTAGGATATATCGTTAGACTAGCAAAACCTAGCCTAACATATAACACAGCTCAGACTAGTTTGATATCAACCTGGCTGTCAGTCAAATTAAAAAAAAAAAAAAAAAAAGGTTAAATTGATTTCAATTTTAACAAGAACATGTGTATGTAATATATCAATGCCCAAATCACCAAAACCTTGGACCCTGAAACACAACAAAGACCAAAGTATACTCATAATTAATTGTTGTGTAAAGTTTGACCAAATTCAATGAAAGAAAGAAGTTGTTAAGTGTTTAAATTGAATCATCTGAGGCAAGGGTGACCTTGGCCTTGACCTTAGGGCCCTGAAACACTATGATACCCCAAGTATACTCATACTGACCTTCCTATAAAGTTTGACCAAACTTTGTCAAAGAATGAAGTTGATAAGTATTTACATTGAATCAAAGCAAAATACATAATTTTTTCATCAAAAATTCATCAATTACAGTGCAATTAAGGAATTTTTGCCATTACCTACAAAGATTCACCTGGTCTCTGCCGACCCTTTCAGTTTTCTTGACCCTCAAAAAAATTCTTATGTAGATCTTGATGTCTATACAATCATACAGGCTTTCAGAATTGAAAGTGCTCTAAAGCAGATGGTTGCTATTTGAATAACAGATACAGACCATGATACAGACATAGGTGTTAAGCAAATTTTGTGGGTGCAACCAGCAACATGTAGTACTTGGCACACTTTTCAAAACATCATTTGCCAGCCAGAGTCCCTTCATCAATATCATAAATTCAGATCGAAATTTTGTTAGCATTACATCTTACCTTATTTTTTGCTTCACCATTAAAAGCAAAATTATTATCAGGCTTCCCATCAGGCTTCTTGTAAATCCTCAACCATTCAACTGTAGCCTTTAAATAGAAAGTATTAGCTATTATGAAGTGGTGTTTATTTACAAGAGCACAACGGATACAAGATTTACCCATCGGAATTGATTAAGGAAAAAAAATTTCTTAAAGAAATTATTTTGAAAATGTATTTTAATTATCAAATATGTTATCTCCAAGACAAATATTACAACCTCAATTGGTAAAATGGACAAATGTGCCCTTCTAATATTGGAGCTGCTGTTCATATATGTATTTTGTAAAGGTATAATCCTGGAGGGAGCAAAACTGAAAATCATCTCTGTATTTTGCCCCAAATTCATTTAAATTGTAAATGAAAGAGCCTTTCTATTTTTACATTTATTATATACTGCTGAAAATGGCCTAGTCTCAAGCTTTTCCCTGGTATATATCCTGTTTTCAAATGTGTTCTTGTACAACTACAGGTTAATTAAGACATTAATTAAAAATATTTTAATTAGGGAGGATGGTAAATCCTCTAATTCAACGCCTATACCTCACAATAAAACAACAGTTGCCTAAAACTGTCTGCCTTAACCTTAATTCGTTGACTTAATCTGTCCAAAACTAAAACTGAAACAAAACAACTCAAAATAGATGTGAAGTTTATATCAACCTGCAACAGGAACTCACCTTCAAAAATCCAGGCATTTCTCTTTCTATGTCATCAACATCTACAAAATAAATATAAAATCTCTCTCAGCATTTGGTATTTTCTCCATTACAGAGACTTAAAGCGCCAAATATCTGGTCCTAACCATTCCTAGTCAAGGATGAAAGGGTGTGTAAAAAGTTCATCAATTAGATATGTTTGAGCGACACAATTGCCCTGCCACCTATAAAAGTTTGGAGCTTTTCAGAGTTATTGGCCTTGTTCTGAGCTGTACTCATGAAATATAAAATCCATGTAGGATCTTAGCACTGCCCTGAGTTGATCTTTATTTGTTGAATCTTTGCTTCCTTTCTCTTCTTTATCCTTTTTTTCCTCTTCATTATATGAAAGCTGAAAATTCCTCTCAAAAAAGAGCAATAATAATCTTTAATTATCAGATCAAAGATGAGGACAATTTTGTTTCTCTCATAGTATCAAATTCAAACAGGCACCACTAGAGACCAATACATATAAAATCTGAGAAAGATCCATCCAGTACTTCTCAAGAAATAGTGATAACAATATTTCATTGTCAAAATCAAAGATGGCTACCTGTAAGCTTTTGTCCGCCACTAATTAGTCAGAAATCAGAAGAGCACAACTAAGGATCAAGGGGAACCTTCTTATGAAATTTGAGGGAGATTGATATAAGAAATGAGGAATCATTTGATAATGGTACGGTTAAAATTTTTAACTGATTTTATGATTGTCAATTTTTTATCAAATATTACAAAAATATAATAATTTCAGTATTTCAAAGATTTTAGCAGGTCCTGATCTGGATAATATCAAAATAATCTGATGAAATAAGGAAAGCTGGAAACTCTGCCTTTCATTAGTTTGGGAAGGGGTGTCGTAAGAATGGATAAATTGACACCTTTGGAGAGTGAGAGATTTAGGTAACACTGACCAGATTCATAGTAACATAATTGCAAAAAACCTTAAAGACAACTGTGAGAGAGGATCAAGGAAAGACCCCATTGCATTACTACCGATGAAGGGAAGGTGTGAACGACACACTTACTATAGTATTGAACAAAGTATTAATACTATTGTATTGAAGTATTCTAATAATCAAGTCAAGTATACAATGACCTCTGTGATTGGTCGGGGGCGGAGTTTAGACAACCTGAATAGTTGATCTGACACCCAATTTGTTCCGGTAGGCGGAGTTAATGTACACTATCAGTTACATAACAATTACTAAGTAATCGCTGGAAAAATGTCCGACGACGGCAACAGTACGCAAAATTTTCTTCGACGAAATTATGTCCGATACGAATGATATGGGGAATCCTGTTTTTGTACAAGGCGATGTGGTTGTGATGGATAATTGTGGATTCCATCACCATAGACAGGGAGAGCGCATTTTAAGAAATATGCTGAAAGAATATGGCGTGTCCCTGGTTTTTCAGCCGCCTTATTCCCCGGGATACAACGTAACTGAATATGTATTCAATGTCATGAGACAGAGGCTTCGGGCAAATACCTGACTTGTGTCAGAATTTCTGGAACTTGCAGTAGTAAATGCTCTAGATATTCCGCCCAACCAACTTCAAAGTTTTTTCACATGTTGCGGATATGTATAATTTTCGATGGAAAGATAAAAAATAAAATAAAAAATATATGGGACCACAGAATTCCTTTACTTTTTAATGCAGTATGAATTATCGGCATATATCAGGAGGTCCCAGGTAAATCGTAATTCTTTGTTACATTAATAGAGCTTGGGCTTAAACCGAAATATTTTGAGCCACCCCCCCCCCCCCTTTCAAAAAAATAAATAAATAAATAAAACTAGTACAGAATGACTATATGACTATATTCACTGTTAAGATGTTATGAATTCTCCGGTCCCAGTGATCTAACCTGTTGATATATATTTTGTACGTAAATTAGTTTAGTACTGAGTAACTTTCGTTTTCTCGTTGTACCATCGATGAAAGCAAGGTATCATTGGGTGTAGAACGAAACAAATGGGACAACCCAATTAGGTCTGATCTGAAGCCACCTGTGACTTGGACTCTTCCAATTAACCTCTCGCGACAGTCGAGTGTTTGTAAAATGCCGATGTCTACACAGTATTTTTTCACCTGGCTCCACCCACAATCGATCTAGACTTGGCTCTGCCAATCAGAGAGCTTGTTGCATAAATTTAAGGAATTCGATTGGTGAAGTACTTCAGTACAATACTATCAATACTTTGTTCAGTAATACAGTACTTGAAACGTTCACACCTTTCCTTCATCGGTAGTAACTATTTCTGGATTGTGATGAAACGGAAAACCATGGACTTTTATTACTTGTTGCTGTCATTCATAAAAATTATGTTTAACTGCTAAACTACATTAACATTTGCCAACAAGAGGATGTTGGGAAAATGTTTGACATAGCCCAGTATTTGTATCTGTGTACTTGGTGAAATTTCCATTCAGAAGTAACATATAAAATAGAGTGAATGGCAGAATAAGTCTGTATGTACTTACCATTTAATTTCTCAGCCAGTGGATCATTTACATCTATGGCTAGTATCTTCCAATCGGTTTCACCTTTAAATTGAAATAACAGCAATATCTACTATAAACCACCTTTCTATTGTGACCACTTACTTCCATAATATCAGTTATAAAACAAGTCTGGGGAAATTTACTTTAACAAATTCTATGTCACCTTCATAAAATTCAAAGTGCATCATCTTTTTTTAAACCCTGCAGGTGCCCCATATCCAGTCCCTAATTTGGCTATTAGGTCAGTAGTGACCTGTTCAAAGACTGAAACAACTTTTTATACCTTAGCTGTGGTATATGGCATTATACACAGAGGAATTAACCAGGTTAATACCTTTCAAATTCAATAGATGTCTTGTATTTTTGTTTAGATAATAATGTGAAGATCAATCACAGCTATTTAAAAGCTTGTGTGGCTTTGTATAAAAATGACTCAGTTACACTGTACACTTGAGTTCAGGATAAACTGCATGCATGTAACGTCAAGTTGGTCACCAGAGACAAAGTTTCCAGGTGACCTATTGTGATACCCTTTTGTCCAGTGTTATCAGTGTCCATAAACTTTTCAAATTTTTGACTTCTGGAAACCCCCGTACCGATTTCAGTGAAACTTGGCCGAAACCTTCCATAGCCAAAAGTAAACCAAAGTTGTTAAACATATGATCCCAAGCCCCAGGAGCCTCAGGGACAGGGCCAAAACAGGTCAAATTGACTGAAATTTTCAAAATCCTCTTCTCAATACCAAAATATGGTAGAATCAAATACTCTTCATGGAAGGAAGAGTCATAAGGTGTTTTACCAAAATTGTAAATTTGATAACCCCAGTTGCAACTTCAATGAAACCCTTCTGTCCCTGTACAAATAGCATTTCCCATTATTCTCTTCTCTATACTAAAGCGCAACAAATGTTGATTGAAATTTGCTGTTTGTGTTCAGTTGGTCTACTGTCCTTTAATTAACATGGTCACGTAGTCACAGGTGCATGACCTTCCACCCTTCAACTTTTGACTGATGGCCATGCCACTTTAATATTAGATGTATACAGGGTTTTCCATTAGAACCGGTCGCCGGCCAATTTGACCGGCTACTTTGATCATTTGGCCGCCTACACCAATCCAGTTCCGTAATAATGTTCCATACACGTACACGGCAGGCCAGCCTCCTACTTTCACTATACAGCCTACTACTAACAAAATTATGGAAAACCCTGTGTATAACTTGATATCATATGGGGTAAATATGTAAATCTCTCTGAAACAATGACATGTTGACATGTGTGTAATGTTTCAGAATTATACTAATTATGGAAAGAACACCCCCTAACCATATGGGGATAATTTTTAACCTGCACAATTAGTACGATATCTTCAGATGGAGTCTGTTATATACTTATTGGTGGTTTTAAATTGTGATGATGCTGGTTGGAAATGGAGGAGAGGGGACTAAACAGCAGATCCCTAAGGTTTCTTTGGCAGCTAAATGATTGATAGTTACAAACTGCTGGCCACATAGAATAATTTCCAATCTATCAGTACAGCATTCACATAATCTATCCCCACACAAGGAATTTGCCTGTTCTGAGATCAACATTCATCAGTAAGAGCTACTACTGAAACATAGATTTTTAAGAAATTACCTTCATCAATCATAGCAACCGTCCCAAGGATTTTCACCTGTATCACTGTTCCCCTTGGATGCACCTGTAAATATTGCCATATAAGTTACCTCTATCAGATATTAGATAAATGATAATACGATTCAACTTTGTTCCTATCATTTGTCTGAGGTTTTACATACTTGAAACAGTTTGTTTAAACTGGGTAAAAATACATCAAGCTTATCTCCTTTTCCACAGACAAGCATTTACCAACCACTAAGTACACAAGGTTCAAAGGGTCTTTATTGCTCACCTGTTCTGTGGCCTATGAAGAGAAGATTTAGATAGAAGAGTTTTTACGTGCAAATGTACTGAGTGCAGTCTCTTCTCTGCTTGCCACATGCAAAATATATTTCTGGGCATCTCAATTACACAATCTAACCTCTCTGACACTGAAAATAGGTCAATGTCATTTATTTGAACAATCTAGATATCCGTTCATCCCGGGAAACCAATGAACATTTATGATGATATTGAGCCTCTTGGTTATTCAAAACAATCTGTTTAAAGATTAAATCATCTTTGACCCAGTGATTCTGAAAGAAGGTCAAGGCCATTCAATAAAACAAACACCATTTTGCCTTGGTAAGGATGTAATTGTGTGAAATCCAGTTAAATACCTTATATCCAATCTCGCAAACATCCAGAGGGTCAGAATCTCCTTTACACCCAGTATCAGGGTTCTCATCGTTTGGGTCTTCATAAGTCTGCAAAAACATATATATACCCCTTGTCACATAATTTTGAGGAAATATAAAACGATTTTAATGATAACTCATAAGTTAGTGTTACATAGGGCAGGCAGACTTACATGCTCTGCAACATAAAACAAGAACAATGAACCTGTTCAGACAGGTAAACTACAAACAACCTGTTAGATAAAGGTGGTAAGTGTAGTCATTCAATGTTACATACATTTTCTAAATGTATGTGATATGTACCACAAGAAATCTCTAAGGGATCTTACCACCACAATCATTTAATTGTTCTATTAAAGTTGGATCTTTTCCTTTTTTTCTTTGCCCTTAATTATATGAAATTTGATAACTACTCTTTATAAAAGAGCAAAAATAATCTTTAACCGCCAAATCCAAGATGGTGCCTGTCAGTCATTTTGTTTTTCTGACCTGTCCTACTTTCACTGTCAAAATCCAAGATGGTGCCTGTCAGTCATTTTTGTCAAAATCCAAGATGGCCATCTGTCAGCCATTATTTTTCTGATCTGTCCCAAAATCTAACGTGCTTTAAATGAAATGAATGGGCACCTACATATCAAACCTGACAAAGATCCATGTAGTACTTTTCAAGAAATAGGCACAACAGTAACCGTCAGTACACAATTGAAGAGTAATTTCAATAGCCAACCATCTAATGATGATAGGCCAAAAATCTACACACATGCAGTCAAAGTCAAAGTGGTGATTTTCTTTATGGTTTTACGAAAAGTCTCAAGTTATGGTGTACGTTTTTTTGAGAAGGTGTTTTGGAAAATCATGAAATACACCATAACTTTCTCTATCAACTATATTTTCAAGATTTTTGTTTTAAAATGTATCTTTAAAATGAAAAAAAAATCAAAAGTTCATAAAATAGATATGTTAGACTTGACATCAACCAAATCTATTGGCAGTATTTCTATGGTATATTGATGACTGGTTTTCCTATATTTAAACAACCTACCTGAGGGATGGCACCATAGTTCCAGATGTAACCATGGTGAGGGAAGACATTCTTTACAAATCTTGGTTTACCTTTCTTCACATCCTGTTTAATAGGATTCATTGGATCTTCTTTGCAGATCTGTGAATATTCAAAAGAAAACATTGATTTAGTTAATATTTTCAAATCCTCTCTGATTATCTTATTTTATAATCCCTTTCGATCACTCATTTCTCATTCGAGATCAAAGATGGATCAATCAAGTAAACAACTCATTACATATAATGGTGTCGTTAGTTCAATAAGAGATTCAAACAACTTGGCCCTAAGGTTTACTTAAAACCTCAGTCCACCTGCTGTAGATTTAAACACCAATGTTACCAATGTCTAGAAATGTGGACTTCATATAAACATTGCAATAAGAAAACTGGAGCCAATATCCATGAAGTCATTTATATTCAATATCAGATGTTCCTTGTTCAGGTAATAAATAATTTAAGTTTCAGCACAGAATTACCATCTGAGCTAACAAAAACACCTCATTCCTTGCTGTACATTTTTATCCAATTCATTTTACTGCAGCATTTTAGGCAAATTTGAAAAATATCAACAGTAAAGAAATGGAGGTAACATTGTTAGAATACAAGTGTGGGAGAAAACAGAACTTTTTGTATAACTTTACTGTTTATCTATCCTTCAACTGGGGTTGCCATTGTCGGAATACACCTGCCACATATACTTTGCTTTATCTGGCAGTGAAAGAAAACAATTCAAAATTTAGGGGAAAGTAGTTCAGAACTGTTGTCAGAGATAAAAAGCTGTGTATAAGTAACATTCAGGAATATGCATAAAATAATCCAAATCCTAGAATTATCTTTGCAAAACTTCGTTAGAAGAGTCCAATGATATCAGTAAGGTAACTATCATCGTTTAGATTTATAATAAGCCAAAGGAGAATACTTGATCTTCCTAGAAGGGCTTAAAAAGCAAGGTTTATTTATCAATTAATGCTGACAGAAGTACCTGCATTGTGACTCGATCTAAATATCTCAGTACGACTCCAGAAGTCCTATTCTGTTATTGGGTATGATTGATAAAAACCTGAATATGTTAACAAATACATGCATTCCATAAAAGTATTGAAATACTTTCAATATTAAATAGTTTGGTACAACAACAAAAATTCATACACACAAAGAGAAACTTTTAACACAGCATTATGCAACACGATACATATGTATACTTAGTCACCTCCACAACCTTTAAATTAAATCAGTCAAAAGGTACTATTAGTAATGTATATGACAATACCAGGTAGATTTACCATTGGCCTCTCAATTTGATTTTGAGGTAAAAGCATAAACAAATATATTTATTTGAAGTTACCTGAAGTAAATGATTCATTTATTGTTGTGTATTGATTTCCAGCACTATATTATTGCTAGATAAATATTGACACTACAGACAACTTATCAAAGGTAAGAGGTTTGTACTTTGTGGGCCTGTATTCAAGCCTGGACATGAATACCAAACTAATGGATGTTTGGAAAGCTTGTGTCTGTTGGCAAATTAGCCATTATAATTGCCAGGAGTGACTAACATGTAATTTCAGGTTGACCTATCAGGAAAGTCCGGAAACAGAACTTAACACCTGTATCAATATCTAAACCAAATAACTTATCAAAATTCTGCCAAAATCTTTCTTTAATAATCCATGAATATTGCTCTCTCAGTCTTTACATGGAAAAAGTCATTGGAACATTTTTTGAAGATCTAAGGAAAGATAAATAAAAAATTGCATCTTATACTGCTATAACGCGTAATAAGATCAGATGTATATCTTTGTCATTTGAACTTGTCACGATCCTGCCAATGATGGAGTGGGCGTCATGCCGCCAAGTTTTCCAATGTGCCTGACGTGCTGCCCTATCTTCTTGAAATAAGTCTTTAATAAATACTGGGATCAATTTCAAAACAAAAAGGTTATTTTGCAAAAGACATTTCAGAAAAAAATCAACCATGAATTGTAATTTACGATAACTTGTGTTTGTTTTGTTTCTTTTTACATTGACCCAGGGGACACCAAAACATGGCATGTCAATGTCATCATTATGAATGTCACCATCTCAAATTTATGATAACACATGTCTGATACAAAGCTTAAATAACCAAAATGAACTTCAGATTTCGCAAAATGAACTCTGGATTAGGCATAATTGTTTCATTGGGACACTTATGTCTTTGCGATATCATAATCATTTCCCCCAGATGTATCATATGGAATAAAAATTGGAAATCCTACCTGTCAAAATATGTAAATATTTAATGTTTCCGGACATCTGATTGGCCACTAAAAATAACCACTAATTCAACAACCAATGAAATGCGGCATTTCAAAGGTGAACATTTCACACTTTGTTGGCTATTTTTGTTGGCTCAAGTTGAGAATTTCAGAACACATTTTATTGAACTGTGAATGGATCAACTGATGCAACATTATGAAGCCTATACAGTAATGAATGAATAAATCATACAGTAAAGCATCAGCTGATGACATGGTAGTGTCACGTACATATCGGACGTGTAAACTGAATATGACGAATTATGTCATGATCATTCACGACAATTTGTGATAGTAGTTTAGATATTTCAAAGTTAAGGAAAATCATTGTTCTTATGGGAAAAACAAATCTTTAAACAATTTCTGTTAGAAACATGTCAGTTCGGCACATCAAAGAATTAACTTCGGGTTTACATGTCTCGAAAAAATGTGTCAACTGTTAATTATACGTTCTTCTTATTATCACATTTTCCCTGGACAAATGAACCATGATATTAAGCAGGTTACACTGCATAGGATAGGAATCCCACTTATCATGTCAATGTTTTTCTTGTGAAAGATAGGTGTTTGTATTGATCAATCAATTTTTCATGAACAGACATATAGCTGAGACCTATAGATAAAAATGATCTGTACTACATCTGGTGCCAAGTTAACCCGCATATGTCACATGTGCATTCTAAATATGACTGTGTTAATTTTCTCTCTTTAGTATTTTATGCTTAATCTGTTTTTCATTTACATATTACCACATTTTCCGGATTATAAACAGCACCGGTATATTGGCTACTGAGCCAATTTTCAACGATTTTTTCTATTTGATCCACAAATTAGCTACATCAGAGTGTTATTATGTGGTAACCATTATGGTGACCAAAACTCATTGATATATCAGACAATGGAAGGCAACTTATCAAGATCGTAGGTGAAATATTTACTATAAGCTTGCAAATGAATTATAAACAGATAATCCTTTATCTTATTTATGTGTTTGTAAATTATTAAAAAGCAGTTATCAAACTTGTTTGGCTTGGGAACCTCCAAATATTACCCCACTAGAAACACTTCAGCAATTTAAGAGCCTATGAAGAGAAAACTTGGACACTAAAAGTTAAATGATATTTCCAAACAAAATCCATTATATCAAGGTTCAAAATAATAATTTACTCAATAAAACTTTTCCTTGGAACTTTTGAAGTAAAATGTTTAGTATGTCTGCAGAACCAACACATGTCTTTTTATCCTGTGTATTGTGTCTGATGATGTAGGCAAAGATGGCTGTCAATATGAACAGCCAGCTGCTTTGTACTTAAAACTGATTCATGCAATGAACAGCCAGCAGCATTGTACCTAAAATTGATTAATGAAATGCAGAGTCCCTTTTCTGTCAAGCTGCTACTAGGTAAGAATTATATTGATTGAGGAATTAACTACTGACAAACTCTATCAATGGTGGTTTCAACCAAACTACAAAGTTACTTATAATCAAAGTTGTCAGCTTCAAGTGGCATTCCACTGTTGTTCAAAGAAAAATAAAAGCTGATCATAAAGAAATAGTAGATGAAAATTTAAATAAAATACAACTGTTTAAGTCTAAGAACAGTCAGCTTTAGAAGATTTTATATACAGCAGAGAAGAAAATTGGTGATGAAATGAGAAGGTTATGAAACATTTTCATTATATAACAGTAAAATTATGTAAAATATTGACAATTTCATAATATTAGAGCTACTTCAAAATGTAATTGTTATTAAATCGCAATTCATCTGAACTTTGATCATTGAAATCTTAAAGGTGGTGCCCATTTTCTGACTGGAATTGAACAAAGTACAAATTCAAACATTGTCTTTATCCCTTGTTGACCATATTCAATTCCAGAAAATACCTTATTATATAATTAATGCAGGAAAATTTTATCTGATCAAACTTGTCAGACTGACATGCAAATTAGGTAACTATATTTAGCATTCCAATCCCATGATGCTTTACACACAGCACTAATAATGAAAACATGAACTTGTATGTATTCTGCTGGATTCCTGGTAAGTATAATGTTAGCCAAGTATTGTACTTTAGTATCGCATGCAATGGCAGTGTCTGCAATGTAAACATCTTCAGATACATGCCTTTGTAAAATTATAATCCATTTGTATGAGAAAAGCACTGTCCATTCCACGATTGAAACAAATCAAGCTCACTGTGTCACTACTCTCACACTTTGGATTACTCTTAATTTGGTTGTTGGAGCTTCTTTTTTAGAAACACACCAACTCTAAATAAAGCCTGAGATTTTTATGGAAGTATTCTCCTGGTCAACCATCATCCAACACAGTCAAAGAAACAGCTTTATGTGCAAAATTTGAAAGCTCAACTAAGGTGACTGGTGACCAGTTTTGAAGTGTGAATCAAATTTTGTAACCTTGGTTGATAGGATACTCAAGTGAACATCACACTGATCTCTTTGGAATTGCTTTCCAATAAAGAAGGCTTCAGACTTAAACCACTGTTATGATAATTTTTCATTACATATTGACATGTTGTAGAAGACATGCAGAAACTTTGGAGATTTTTTGATGAAATTGTAATGCACCTATGATGTTGGCAATATAAAGCATGACTGGCAGTCATTTACATCGCGTAAATTAACTTTTAGTGGATGATGAAAGCAGGACATTTCCAAACTGTCATTACAGTTTTATCAAAATAAACTCACCTCCATTTTGGCATTGGACCAGCGAGGAATCTCCACAATCATGTTACAGATGGATTTATCATTGTCAGGATCAGGATACAGAGGTATATCATGGAATGGAGAAACCACATTATCATCAGGGCCCTCTACAAAAGAAAGACCACATAGTTACTAGTAACAGCATTGCTACAAGCATGCAGTAAGTACATTATGTAGGATCCATTGTCGGTGTCATAAAACCACCGTTCATCTTGGTAACATGAGGTATCCACTATTGGTGCATTTATTGTCGAAAAGTTTTTGGCTCCATTTCTTTCAAAACTTAAAAAGTCTAAGGTCCTAAATATTTTTGAATATTTAAAATTCTAATTTCCTGTCCTGAAGATCTATAAGAGGATGAAACTGGTCAATAGATTTAGGAACCTAGCCCTAGCCCCGTTTGGGATTGGTCCCAACAAACTCTGCAACTTTTTGTAGAAAGTGGAATTTCTTTTTTTCTCAGGGATTTGCATATCCTCCACATTCAAGGGGTCATACTCACTGTCCCTCTCTGCATCACTGGAAGATTTTATGGCAAAGTTGAAGGCACAAATGAAATAATTTGATTGGTCTAGATTGGATTTCTAAAGAAAGAACGGTCATCTGGGGCAACTCATTCCAGTACCCTCTGCTAATCATAAAATGGTATTTAATTTTGGTGATATGGGATAATTATTCTATTCAAATAAGACATTGATGTCAAATCTGCACAGGTTTGTACAAATGTTCAATAATGGACAAGCTCATGAAAAGCTTTAAAATTGAAATTAATAATTAACAAATAATAATTTGTTGAGTTGGTCTGTTTATATAGATATAATTTAATCTTATATGAGACAAGCATTTTCATTGGCCACTTTTCATGTTATCATCCAATAACATAAGAATATATATGTAATTTTGAAAGTCATGATTGATTGGCCAATGCAGTGGTTTAAGAAAATGTTAAAGAAAAGAGTCCTTTGTAAACCTCAAATATATATATATAAAGTATAGGAGTAACTGGTACATCATTGCATTTCCGAAGTTGCATAACTTTCCAAAAAGGGGAGGCAACTCAACCTGATATGAATTACACACAGTTACAACCTACAAGGATTAGAGCTTGCAAGCATCATTGAAATCATTTTAGTAGTTAAAGAGAAGTAGCTGGAGATAGGGTGGGAAGTGTATAAAAACCTGACCAATAATAGACTGATATGCTCCTTAGAAGATTACGAAGGAGCCACATCCAACTTCAAAGCCAGTACAATATACTGTTATGCAACCTTTAAATTCCTTTGATGTACATCTAAGTATCAAACTTTTATTTTATCTTATCCATGAAGTTTTGCACACAAACCATCAATTTTATAATGATGTGTTCCAGGGGTGCAGAGGTAGAAAGTAAGTATAACCCCTCGAGTATCAACAGAAACTTGTATAAATGTCCCAGCCCCTATACTCTTTTGACTTTCATAAACACCCCAGACCAAATATTCTTTTTTTTTTTCCTTACGATCTAAATCTATAGAGGGGTGAATCTATTGATGTGGTCATGAAACATCATTTTTGCAAGCTTTTCATTTCAAGAGTGCTGAAGGGTGGCCTTCGAACTTTTACACTGACTGATGACCACTAAAATCTAGTAAGATGACCTTGGTGGAGTATACAATGTTGTGAGTATGAATTAAATTTGTCCAGTGGTTCATGATATATTTTATACACTAGCATTTTGTTTCAATGATGACATTTAACCTAGACAAAAGATATCTAAAATCTAATCAGGTTTAGACCTGGGTGGGGTGATACTTTGTTGTGAGATGTGAACTAAATTTGTCCATGTCATGAAACATCTCGTACATAAGGTTATCAGGAATGCACATATGAACAGGTAGGTGAAGGACTGATACACAGACATGGATGTACAAAACAGAAAAATGGCAAATCTGACAATAAAATTGCATATTTGATAATATATTGTGAAAGTGAAACTACCTACATGATTATATCTCTAAGCAACCAGAGAGTTTTCAAGCTGATAAGTTTGATTACTCATACAAGGAGTTTACATAGTGAATAGCATTTCTAGAAACCTGGATGGCACTGACTACCGTATATCTTTTTTTCCAGGAAATTGTGTTGATGTGAGTCATACATTACTCATCCAATTGACCATTTTCTTCTAAATCTATTTGCAATTACAACACATATTTAAAAAAATTTGCATTGTTAATATCTTGCAGTAGTCTGGTATGGGCAAGTTCACAAATGTACAATTTTGTGTATGTCTTGTCATTGGTATCCATGTATACAACTATATAGGTGTTTTCTGAGATTCTGATTCATCGTAAAAAATATTTACAGGGTATTCTTTTCGTTTGTGCTGTCTTTAATGAGTGACTGCAAATATAGTGAAATCACACCCCTGTGAATATTACCAAACATACAGTATATCATTGTTTCATGTTCATGCATGAATGTGATGTAATAATTCCATTTAGGGCCAGAGGGCCTCAATGCTGAATGGCTTGGTGGGTAGAGCACCAGACATTCCAACTTTAGTTTAAGTTCAGATTCTGTAGTAGGAAGGCATAATGAAAAACCTCATGTACCCACTAGGGATGTTTCATACTCTAGTCAAACACCATAACCTTTAGCCAAGGGGAAATCCCAAGGCTAGTACGGCAACCTGTACTCTCAACTTCTGGACTCACCTAACCTGTGCTCGGACACAAAGTTTGCATTCATTTTAATCTAAACACTCATATTATTGTTGTGCAATCTTTATGGCTGCAAAAATGTATTGTTTCATATCATTTTGTGATACTTTCATGTATATCATACTGATATTGTGATCTCATTGATGAAATATTCTATTTCTTTGTGCAATATGAATTTGTGTGATGCTCATTAGTTTGCTTGTTGTCATATACCTTGTTCTCATCCAGAACTTGACATTACCTGCTTTGATTGACCAAAATTTACACAGCAGGTATCATCGATGAAGACAACGCTTACTCATCCCCAACAACTGATCTTATTCTCTTAAACTTTTTCAGGAGTCTCTGTTGACTAAATTGTTATTTCGGACATAATTTGCCATAGTTTCATTAAATTTGAATTTGGATTATATTCATGTTGACATGTTGGTATTTTTTGTTGTTCTTTTCTATTTATTAGTTTTGTTTACCTGTATCCTGATATTCTACATGAGTACATCAATATTCAATCAATTTTATCAAACTTTAAAAAATGTATCACTTTCAATTCTTCAGCAAAGATGTGGTCAACTGTGCAGTCATGTCCAGAAAGAAATACTAAATAGAAATTATACAAAGACAAATTTTGATAACATTTACTATTGAAATCGATGAATCCCCAAATAACATTATGCACTCCATAATTATGAAGTTTCATTTAATTGTTGCAGCCCTAGTAATCACAGCATTTACTATTGAAATCTATGAATTACCCAAATAACATGACAGCTATGTCATGAACATTACTAGCTATTTCAAGCCAAATGCAGTTGATGTTACGTTTCTGGCAGTTGCTCAAATCCCATCTGTTTAATGGTTGATTGGTATCCAAAGTCTGAACCTATGCTCGAACATCCCATTACAACATCAAATATTTACGATGTTGTTGTGGTGTCATCCTATACAATGATACTCAAACCTCTTCTGCACAAAATCCACAAGAGACTAACAACTAAGTCATTATTGTAGAAGTACACAAGATAAATAAATTCTGGTTTTTTTCTGTATTGATAGTCCCCAAGATCATGGATCAGCATGCATTTCTATGGGGGAAAATGGGGACCAATGTTTTGGTTTTCATTTATTTTGTAAACGATGCCAAATCCACTTTTGATGCAATAATTTTCTTTAAAGGAAGATTTTCTCTATTATTTAAGAATAATAAAAAATGAAAGATGTAAACTCGTCAGTAGCCACTATTTATTTTGACAGTTGTTGTGTGCAATAAGGTTGGCTGCGTAGTCTGCTTGAATTAAGATCACTTCCTTGTTTGAGAGCTTTTCTTATTAGAGGTAGAAAAGTGCTAACATCCCATATATATCTTGAATCATGAGTGGACGAATCGGCCGTTTTGTACAGCAAGAATCGAAAATAATAGGAGTGCTCGAGTACTTTTCAATGGAGAACACCACAATCTTTGTACTATAGCTAGACCAGTCTTCCCAAAGTCTTCAACCCTAATCCCTTTCGGACTTCCTCCTTGGTACTAAAGACAACAAACGTGGTTCTTAAGGAAGCATCTCATTAACCTCATACAGCTTCTGCCCTAAAAGTGGTCAACGGCTTCACATCTATATCGGGAATAAGTAATGAGAAGCACCCGGCCCTCTACTAGACCCTCTCTATCTGAACCCTATCTCACTCGACCGATGCTATAGTAAGGTGCTCTGAGCTGTAAACTTCTACAGCTTGAAAACAAAAAGAACGAGAAATGAGCTGGTCATTTGTTTCTACTTTGCTGAAATAATGAAATTCAATACATTCTTACGAAGTCCTATCAACTTACTGATGAACATGCGATAATCCGTGGTGTAAGGACATCCTCGCTCTTCAGTCTTGTACGACATGGTCAGTCTTGATGTGTAGATGTGCCTCTTCAGTAAACAAGTTATTGGACGGTTGACCAGCACACTGCGAGCTGCCGACTTCACACAAGCTCCGAGAGCGACAGTCACCAATCGATTCGCTGTTCGCACACGTTGCATTGAAAGGTATGGTATTAACGATGCGCACGCATACAAGTTCCCGGATTTGACAGGTACTTGGGCGCGTTCGACTAGAGCGTGATGAAATTGATAATCGTCAACTACGGATCGGTGAAACACAAGAATATTCCAATGTATTGGAAACTATCACTTTATGACTATTTTTTGCTTTGGACAAGTTTTGCTGAAATGCATAAGATTTTTTTTTCTAATTCACGCGGCAGTTTGAAAACTTCCGATGCGTCTTTTTCCTCGTTGAATAAACCATTTTTGTTGTTCATTTGTAGTATGCGTATGACGATATATTATGTCAAAATGTTGGAACGAGTTCAACGTAGGACAACCAATATTACCTGAATTTTGAGGCGAGGCTAAGAGACAATCTCTTCCAAGAGTGTGGCAGAATAGACCACTATGAAAATGTACCTACAACAGACGACACGTAATATAGATATAGGTTTAAGAAATCGTTCATATTCTTTATTTCTTTCTTTTGTAAGGAATGTTGAATTAAATCTTCCGAGAAAACATTGTACTAGCCCCATCAACTAATCACTTTAAAAACAGAATGGATAACGGGCCAACCAGACCATCTTGTATAATTATTGATCTATAACGGAGTCAGTGACGGGGCCCAAGGATGATGTTAATATCCTAAAATGGATAACGTAATTCATTTTGTAGTATATTTAAACACGACTAAGTTGTCATTGATATTTGATATTTTCTAATCCATCACTGTTTAGGTCCCCCATGATCTTGTGGGATACTTCTAGAGATTTTTCAATTTTTCCTATCTATAAAACAACCCAAGGAAAACAACCACCGTGACAATACCAAGAAACTACAAAGGATTCATTTCGCTTTGAAGCTTTCCATGTTGTGTGGAACAGTTTTGTATTCTGTGTTTTATCAGCTGTGTTTAGTTAGTTTTCTGTCCTACATTTTTGTCGCAGCCAATTTTATCAGGGACGTATGACACTGTTATATACATCCCTGAATTTATTTAGCTAAAATATAACCATTTTTTTCAAGTGAAGTTGTTTTAATGTCTTGATTTCAGGCATTCTGGTTAATAAGAACTCGTTTGAGTGCTAACAAAAATTTGTATTTTGATCAAAGGTGAGGGTAGTTTCTATTCGGAAGCTTTGTTGGGTTTTCCCCCCAGGAAAACCAACAGTCAAATTTGATACTCTGGGTCTCTCGGTTGAGAAGTTCGTAAAAGAAACTCGCTGGACGATTGACAAACACCTTGAATAATATAAGCTCACTTGGAACATTGGATGTAGTTGGGTTATTGTTACATATACATTTATGATGTAATACATGTATGTGAAGTCTTTCTGATCCGAGCTGTGTAAGATGGACATACGAACAGGGAATGATGGCTGTGTCTGATTTGTTTGGTGAGAGAAGTCTGTCTGATTTTTATTTTGCATGTTTCTGTTAAAGAGAAGTGTTGATTACCTGGACGTATCGAACACACTTTTTACCTATTCCCGTCAGAGTATCCCCTTTCCTTTCTGCTGTATTGTTTCAACTCAGTAATTTTCGTACTTGAGGTAAAAATCACTTGTTTCCTTCACGAACTCGATCATATTTGACAGTGATCCATCGTCGATAATCTGTCAGTGATGGCATTAAGAAAAGAGCACGGAAGCGATAGCAACAGACCGACGGGGTCTGTCTTGGACAGTACCTGAGAGACCCCGGAGTTTGCCGTGTCCGTTCCAGAGAGCTGGCCCAATGCTGGCAACGTACCGGACGTACAGAGCCATGCTTCGCCAAAGGCAGGGATAATGGGCACCCTTCGCCTCTTCTGAACACTTCTAACATAGGTTAAAATGGCAGTTAGACCTGTTAACCAACCAGCTAACCGATTAAGTTTAAAAAAAAGACGTTACAAGATAAATCTAACCTTGGCACACGTATATAACGGGTCGGTTTAACACCTCGCGTTCATCAAAAGCCAAAATCGTTTTCTTCATTTAACAAAACCTGATATTTTAGTTGATTGTTGATCATGAGTAAACATTCCGGTCAATATTTCTGGACAAAGACAAACAGCCAACTAAGTTTCTATCGTGTTTTCAAACATTTGAAAAAAGTCAATAAATGATCCCAGCTAAGGCAGTTCACGATTGTCGCAGGGTTTGATATCTATTCACACGATATGCCAGTATCTACATCCCAAATTTTCTCAAAAGAAATGTCAACACAAACTTACTATTTTTCAGACTTTGAAATCGAAATGGATTGAAGTGGAATCTATGAACTGTCGTCTAAAGCAAACATGAATCTATTAAAGTATGTTTATAAACATAAATCAGAATTCAAAATCTGTTAATTTTACAATACATGCCCTCAGAGTCACAGTATGAGCCGAATAAAAGGTACGGGGAAAAGTCAAACAGCGAAGGTAGAAAAGTGAAAGGTGAAATTTTCCCCTTGCCGTACTTCTTTGGCAGAATTTCCTGTCAACTAAGAGTTAAAACCAACGCGGTCATGTTGCGCAAAGGTAGTAGCACATCCTGTACCCCGACTTTTGGGAGATAATATCGAGTCCCAAGGAAAAAATGAAACTAAAATGTATTAGATTTGTGTGAATGACAATCAAAAAATGTTGATCAAGGAAGGGTGTCTACAAGACGAGCACAATATTAGGTGGTAACAGAATACTTCCCTTCCATTGAATTACAAAAAAATACATCCTAGTTAGTCACTGGTATATTGACAAAACACTAACACAAAAAACGCAAATTTTGAAAGGCATACGTCATGCTGGGCTGTTTAAGTGCATTTAGTAAATAATTTCGTCCTAAACACGATAACAGAATATTATGCAATCAGTTGAGGGTTTCACAGGAAAGTAATCAAATCACTGACTGCCCTCAAGAGCATGATGAAATCAGTACGTTCCCGGAAATTGATTCAAGGAAAACCAACAGGGTTTTCTTAGAGGTTGCAGAAAATTGATATGAGCATGAAGTGAATGACGTCCTACATGGAGCTAGATGGTCCATATTGATTACAAGATTGAAAATCAGAATAAAATGGCTGACAGGCGACCATAAAAAGTTCTTATCGCTTTTTCTCGGAAGTATTGGATAAATCGTATTCATACGTCGGTTCCCTTTGGTCGCAAGCCGTGCTTTATTCATTTGGGGATCGTTCGGAAAGACAAAATGGCTGACAGATAGCCACCTTGGATTTTGACAGTAGTAAATTTTAACTATTTCTTCGGAATTCTGGATCGTTCTCTTTATGTTAGTAACCCTCGATTTTCGGACGTATTAGAACGTCATGAAAAGACATCAGGTAAAGAAATTAGTAAGGATCATACGATAATGGGCACAAAAATCCTTCTTTTTCAGTTTGTTATAGAATGTTATTATCATTACTTTGAAGTTTTTAGTTTCTTTAAAAAAAAAATAAATACTCAAATTCCACTGCTAAATTGAGTTGTGTTAACATTCATATATAATTTGTACACTACCCAAACTAGTGCCTGTACTTACCATTTAAATATTCTTTATCCAAATAAGTTAAGATCTTTGACATGGTGGTAGCCCTGTCAGGAGTACTATGAAAATTGATAACCTTCAATGATGCTGATTGTGCTCAACCTTAACACGATTTTGATACTTATAACTTTAAATAAAAATGTTTTAACTCTGTATCTGTAAATGAATACTAAAATACATTCATTGGTATAGGTATCATTTCCTTATCCAGGTCTTCAAAATAGTAGGTTTGTACTTGGAGGATTGTGGCAGTAACAAATTTGTATCATGTTATCAGCCAAACAATAAACAAATAATATAAGACAGAGCATCAGTCACTGACAAAGTCGTTTTGTCATTTTTTTAATTTTTTATCTTTTTTTCCACCATAGTTTTACTTGCCCTTGTCCACACTGTCATATCTATCTACACCAGTCACTAGCCACAGACCAGGCCGGACATATGCCAAATCCATGTCTAGTGACTGTTGTCAATGACAAGCATGAGCAGAGCACTTTACATCTGTACAAAAATAAGACATGTATACAGAGTGTTGTGCACTCAAATAAAACCAATGTCTTGATCGAAAGCCAGCTCAGTCAGTTCACACCGTCCACCATGACTATTTCTATCACATGATGAGAGAATCAGCTTCCCTGATTGGTCAGACTACCTTCCAAACATGATGTAAAACTGCCCATCTTCACACATTCTCTCTCCCTCTGGTCACACAGAACAATGTTGAGGACACCAATCACACATGAAATTGTGCTCCAGGCTTGAAAAATCTGTACCAAGACATCTGTGGCTGTACAACCAACATGTGACAACACTCATTTCTCGCTCTAGAAGTATTCAGTCACAATCTATCTATGGCACACATCAAGAGACACGGCACAATGATTGCTAGAAGTTGATAAATGCTTTGTATACCTAAAATGTATCAAAGTTTTTTGAAGATATTCAGATTTAACTGAGTTGTTTTCTCTTTAAAGTTCAAATAGGAAAAATCAGTAATAAATGCAAGTTAAAGAAAATAATTGTTTTTGACTGATACTTTTAAACATTACACCTCATATGTAGAGTACACACTAAAGATTGATTGAATTAAAAAATTCTGAACACAATTTGTCTCATTCACTTCAACATTTATACTTGCTTGAATAATTAACAAGAATAAACCAGGGAGGATATGCATGCATATTTTTTTTTCTTCTAAATGGCCCGTATTCTATTAATCTTCTTAATTTCAATACCTCATAAGAGAAATGTCCAAATAAAAATTACAATAGATGTCAAGAGATTACTAACAATATTTAACAAATTTCACATAGTGATATTATAGTCTCTTACAATACAGGACTACAGGAAGAAGACTGAGTAAAACTGATAAAAATTCTACATTTATACACTCTCACACTTTAAAAATTGCTTTTACTATGGATTGCACCTACAAGTCTTCACTCACAGACACACCCTCTTGCGCAAACAACATAAAAATTCACACACACAGGCCTGTTTCTACAGGGAAAGACCATTGGTCCACAATATAATTGTTCTATACATCAATGAAGTAAATGACTGTGAGAGTTCTAAAATATTCAACACAACAGGTTTAATGATGCAGCACTTTCGAGACAAACAAAATTTGTTAACAATTGAAAATAATCTCTGTGCTATCAACCAAAATTTCAGTACATCACAGCCGATCAATGCATACCACCTTAGTACCACCACATATCAAGCCCTTGACTGTAAATTTCACTAACCAAGGACAACAGTAGATATCAATGCCCAGGTTAGTCCAATTCACTATACACAGGCTTGTAAGTGACTCACTTAATCACATTCATACAGCCCTGAATGTATAACATCACTTGGTAACAGAGGACTTCAATGTAGCCGAGTAAAAAGATTACATAATCAACAACTACAATGCCAGCTTTATGCAAAGTAATGATGGCAAGGTGCATGTTCTTCTGTGCTATGTTATTACACTACCTAAAACTTATTTTAATTTAAGTTAATGGCTTTACTTTTATCAAATTTCTATTTTTAATTCTGTTTTGTTAGTAAGTTGAAGAGTTGTAATATATGATCGTCCAAATACAACACAAATTATGTAATCAGACATTAGATTTTGCCACATCTTCTGTCTTGCCAAATCAAATTTATCTTGAAATTTAGTTTGAAATAGACACAAGGAAACAAAGAATGCACTTGCTAACATTATAAGCTATCATATCAATATCAATCACCTCCTTAATCTTATAGGATCACAGTTCAACAGCAGCAATAAAGATTTTAAATTACAAAATGGTAAACTGAATGAAACAAAATCTGTGCACGAACATAATGATTTAGTATCCAATACATGTAATGCTATGTACATAGTACATGTGAATACTGTGATATTAGGTGGGATTTATACTACATCATTGTAGTAGGCCCAGGAATTCTGTTTTGATATGTGTAGCAGATTATCTGTCATGACTAGATTTCTACTTACAGACAGGATTCTTGGTACAGTAATCAAGGTTTGGCACATATCTACAGTGGCTTCCAATGTCTATAAATATCAGTAAAGGATGAGTATCGTTACAACTACTAAGGTGGCCATGCTCCCAACCTGACAAGCCAGGCCATAATGGATGTCACACTGGGAACAAACCATATCAACTGTACAAATATGACAGGCAAGTGCACTTTGGTTTGGACAATTTAGTAAATAAAACATCAAGATTGTGATGTCAAATTACCATTTTGTCTGCTGTACCATACAAATGAGGGTAATGAAATAAAAATACTGAAATATAAGTTTGCAAGAGTAATATAGGGAAATTTCAGTTAGTTTACAAAAGAGAGGGGAAAAATAATACCAAAGCAATATTGGAGAAAACTGTAGAATAATTTTGTTTTTCACATTGTAATGCAATATGAGATTCTGTTCAAAGCTGCCACATATCTCATCCAACCCTTGAAACAATAAAATCATTTGACAGCCAAATGGAGCACAAAGTCATTTAAGCTCAATCAGCTACACAGTCTCAAACCAGGAAAAAAATAATAATACAAGCACTCTAAACAGATGTGATGTGAAGATTTCAACATTCCATCAACTATCAAGAATGACCACAATAATCAAGTTTGATAAGATTGCATTTTTACCCTCCCTAGAAGTAAGTGAGATCAGGTAGTCTAAGAGGTTCCTGCCCCATAAAGTACAATATACAGTGTATCACAATATGCTGCCTAGACAGACAGCCTATAAGGCTGTCGTCAACATGTCCTGCAACATGCTACTGCATGTCATCTGTCACTTTAGGAGGTAATGGGCAAACAACACTTTCATATTGGTAGATCACTACAGTTGAATATACATGAAAGTTGAAATCAACAAATGAACTCTTCACTATGTACCATTCACACATCATCCTCACACTCGTCCTGATCAGGTCACTCATGATTGGCAGTTGTAGCAGATCCATGGAAACTGAATCATTCATGAAATAGAACTCGTTGAGAATTCCTTTGTCACACTTAATTTAGTTCAAATCTCGATCCTCCAAATACCGGTATTCAAAGGTAAATCCTTCTTTTTTTCTCTGGGCCCATTTCTCGTAATCAAAGTAGATATATGTGCCCTAGAAAAATAAATAAGCAAACAAATGAATAAATAAATAAATAAACAAGGAGATAAATATAGAACTAGTTTGATGTGTTGATAAAATTTGTTAACAAATAGGATGTTTTTTCTTTGGTTTGCAAGGTCTGTTAAAAGACAAACCAATAATAAAGAGCATGTTTTAATAACAGAATATGTTTTGAATCAACAAAATGTTATTTCTGCCCTCGTTATAACTCTCTGGTCCAAGAGTAACCATGCTCTATTCACATCTGTCATGGCCAAGAAATCAAAACTCGAAATTTTTTTTTTACTTGTGTGTAGCTTATCTTATGAACCAACATTCAAATGTAATTTGAGATACCTGTTCAAAGTCTTCTGTAATTGTCTTTGGTTCTTCGTGTCGCTGAAACCACATCATATATTTTGTATGAAACCGCCATGACTGCTTTTTAAGAGCTTTTGCTGCCAGATATTGAGCCTTTGTACCCTGTGAAAAATAAAAAGTTCTATCAGCAAGAATTTCAAATGCAATGTACTTGATCAAAGGTTGAAGATCTTTCTGCATGAACATTCCTTGAAAATGATAAACTTTGGGTGGCTTTATTGAATCTGGATCTTAAAACCAAATCAAAGCTAATGATTTTTATTGCAACTGTAGAAAACTTCACTGAAATGAAAAAAAAATCCCTTTTCAGCTATCACAGGGAAAACACCTTGTGGATTAGAACAGATTAACTGCACCAAAACAGGTGGATTAGAAAAGATTAATTACACCAAAAGCAGTCATTTTTGAAAATTTTGGCCTATAGAAAATTTCTTACCTCCATATAGTAGAAAATAAAGAATAATGATTCTGTTGATAATCGTTGAAAATAGTCCACAGAGTCTGTATGTGGTGGAGAGAGTTGTGGGTAATATGAAGGAGTCGGGCATGGGTTACGTGGTAAGTAATGCCTGAAATAATGAAAAGCAGAGATTACAACATGCCAACTCAGACCACACTATAGAATAAGGAATATATACTTAGTATTGTTATGAATAGCTTATGAATATTCATGTAATTGTGAGACTGTCCATCATTCAAACCAAGAGAACCTTACTCTATTGTAGGTACTAGTATAACATATTTACTACTTTACAAGAAACAAGGATTGGTGTTACATGCATTATCCCACAAATCAATTTCTACCCCTTACAATAGGTGACGTTTTTGAGGTTTGATACATCTTGGAAGTATCACTGGCAAGAAAGGTATATCCAATATAGCTATTATACCAAACAAAGCAGCTAATCTAAGTAAAAGGTATCATACTTAAATATATTATTTACAAATGGATTAAGTCACTGCTATTGAAATCATTATCATACATGGCATATTGTGCAAATCAGCAAATTTTTTACTTGTCTTATAGGTCCATGTCTTATCTACAGTGTTGTACATCACCTACCATGTGTGATTAGAGGTTTGAGGTTAAAGGTTTTGAAATTTGTGGCTAAATATTGCACGTACACTGCCACAAATGAGTTTTACTGGGTATATATAGTGGAAATCCATATCTTTATTCATAATGATTGAAGTGAGTCATACATGATAATTTAGTACAGTGTTGTGAATATTTTTGGAAATATGGGTTACTTTGCTCTAGATTCATGATGCCAGCAACATGCAAAGCCAATTAAAATATCATTGATGCTGCTGATTATATTTTCATGTAGTATCAGGGACAAACATCCTTCACAGTAACAATCCACACTAAATATACAAATGATAAATATGTTCATGATTTTATTGTCAGAAATTATTTTCATTGTCTGGTAAACGATTGTGTCACATCTTAAATGAATTGGAACAAACATTATTTAAATAGCCTGATGCATTTATATAACATTTAAATGTGAACATATATTAGATCGATCCTTCTGTCATGAAAATTGGTATTACTGTAACCACTTCAGATTATAAGAGAGGTTAAACAGGATAATACAGGTTTATACTAGAAGAGAAGTGAGCAGTTAAGTAGGATCTAGAGAAACTTGGATTAATGTCATCAGTACAACAGATGAAAATAAGAAAATATATGTGCACAAAGGTCAAACAGAATGTAATTGATTGAGTCTTTATCACTTACCTGATTCTTTCGGAGTCTGACGGGTGTGGAAAGTGGTGATGTGCTGCTTCTAACATCGTTAATTGGTAGAAGTGTTCCCTAGTGAGTGGCACTGGGCCAAGGGGTGCCACGCCCAACAGAGGATTGAGGTGTATTGTCGTGGTCTGTGCTTGCTGTGACTGGTCTGAAGAGGATGATGGTGATGGGGAGGTGGGCTGAGGTGCTACCACCTGAGATGATGTAGATGTTGAATTGTTGAATGGTGCATGTACTGTAGGTAAAAAAAGAACAACAGAATCATTGAAACTGTTAAATGCTCCCTGACTTGTAAATGTAAGATAAGAATCACATAAGATTATGTCTTGCCTTTCCTGCTTTGTCAGTATGGTGATTTCCGAGCCAATTACAATATTAAGTTCCAAAAATATGAAACTTTCAGGTTAATTTCAATAAAAAGCATGTAACATTTGAAACATTGATGCATTGTAAAACATTAAATGTCAATTTCATAAATTCATTATCATATGAAAATTTTACCCATAACATATCATTCTTCCCTAGAAGTGAGAAGATAACTCACCTGAAACTCTGAAATTTTACATTATTGGTTTCAATATGTCTGTAAATAACCTCTAACAAGAATATACTGTTTGTATCCATATTTCAGCTGCAACTTGTATAATTTTAATAAGTATTCATATTCCTAGGGACCAGTATATGCAGCACATTGGAAATCTCAAGAACATGAATCTCTCCATACTAAGTCACCTAATTGTAATAGTGCAACCTCATCCATAATCATGTTTCTACATAAGGACTAAAACCAGACAGGAGAGGAGACAATGGGTTATCATGGTATTATTTTGGCCAGGGATATTAATTTTGGGAATCAGATAATTAAAACCTCTAGAGCAATCAACTGTTCATATCAACAAACATCAGCAATTTATCACATTTATCTATTGACTTAATATCATAATCCTTCACCTAAGCTGACTTCAGAAAATCATAAGGCTTTCCCTGACTATAATACAACTTTTGTTAATTATTTGAGGGAACTTTAGAGCACATCATCCAGAACACCTACTGTCTTTTTAAAGGATATATCATATATTAAGTTCAACCTTATTCATACTGATTGGTCATTTTTTGTTTTTCTCTAACTTTTCATTAACCATTTTAAGTTTTCTAATTAATTAAAAAAACTGTGTAACTATTCCAAGTTTTTCATTTGTTCGTACCATTTCAGCATAAAACTTACCTCTTGCATCTAATGTTGTTGTTGTGTGCGTTGTTGGAATCTTGTTTTCTAGACCCGCTTCTAACACAGCCTGTTGCGCTATCGATTTTAATGAAGACATAGACTCCTGAAAAATAGAAGCTTCTATTAGTTCAATTAGGCTTTATCACTTGGAATCCCTACAAACAGAAGATTTTTTTTCATGAAAAAATTATAATTCCTAAAGAAAATTATTGGATAAATTGCAAGAACTCAGAAGTAGTTCAAACTCACACAAAGCAAAATCATAAATTATGGTGGATGTTTTATTCATATTTATATTCATTATTCAGTCTATGTGGTAGCTATCAAAGCATCACATGGAAAGTTAAGTTTAGTGAGAATTTCTGGCAATCTTTCACTATATTGAAATGCCTAGAATTTACAAAGAAAGAGAAGACACTTTGTAAATTTCTGAAATATATGGATTGCAGTGATATAAAGATATGGACATTTTCATTCTGTGTCATAACTTGCATCAGATTTTGTTGAACTGTATCCATGAAAAGTAAACAAAGAGAGTACATGCTGGAGACCAGATAATGAACAATTATAGCAAATTAAAAAAACTCCATGTATATGCAGTTATTGTATGATCATCCCTATCAATAATATTTGGGATTTGTACAAAATTCCAATTCTGTTTGTCTGTAAGACAAATATATGCTAGCAGACACTTAGGTTAACATGATTTTGTATGTTTACTAAAGGCATGAGGATGTTAAGTGGGCATTTCCTAAAATATTGACATTCACGGTTTCTTTTTCTTGTCACAATTCTTTCTGATTTGAACTTATAAATAAAACAACTTGGAGGCAGATTTGTGATTTAATCAGTGTTAAATCTGTGATTCAATTCCTCTATCACAAACCCCATTTGATAAATCAAAAGGTGAAAAATTTTACAGTCTGATACTATGGAAGTAAATCCTACTTCAGATGTATATGATGACCTGAGCAGAATTCTGGTTATTTAGATCTTCATGAACATTTACAGTCGATTTTAAAGTTGAAAACCTTATGACCATATCAACTTTAACATGAAAATACGTTTAGAAATACTTACAATATCATTGTCTGTAACACCTTTTAGTAATGGTCCAACAGCACTTAGTGGACCATTCATTACAACTTGCATCTCAGGTTTGACAGACACTGAGTTTGGTTGAAAAGAAGTCATTAAGGAACTACTTGTTGCACTGTTTGACACAATCGTGTTAGGCGAAGATGACATTACACTGTTTGATATCATAGGGATCGGTACTGCTGGTAAGACAGGATTTCCAGTTGAAGAGACAGAGTTCGTTATAGTTGAGTTTGATGTCACTGGCACGCTACTTATTGTAGAATTAATATGGTCAAGAGGGGCTTGATTCTTTGTTTCTACAACAAAAGAAATTGGTAATATTAATGCCACAATTGCTAAGTGCCATTTCAATATCTAACATAACTAGAAAAGAAGTATAAACTTAAGCCTTCATTACAGCTAAATCCACAACCAACCTCTATAATAAAAGAATCTTTGGACAACCGTATCAACCTATAACCAAACTTTTTCTACAGAAATTTCTACTAAACTACTTCTGTGATAACTGTTTAACAGTATATTACACTTAAAAGTATCCCTTCAATAATTGAGAAACATCAATTGAAAAAGAAGGTATTGATAGAAAAAGAAGGTATGGATCAGGAGTATTTTTTCTTGTTTTAGTAACAGTTAAAATCTCCAACAGGTCCTAGCAAAGAGAAACAGTAATTTAACTTTTTCCCAAATATTCATGATACAGCTACATACTGATGCATCCACACATTCATGAAACAGATATTTCACATTACTTTCAAACAATTAAATCTTCAGAAAGGGAAAAGATCGTGTTACCATTTGATTTTGAAAACAACTTGAACCATTTCTTTAACTCCAACTTCAGAAAAAAAAACCCACACAATATATATATATATATATATGGCACAGTACTGTCGTTTTAAATTTCCAACCTTCAGCGACACTTACTGAATGCCTGCTACAGGGGAAGGAATTCAGTGGAAGAAAGCTATTAATTACTGCACCTTTGCCAATGTTAGCTTTTCACAGCCAAAATGTCTCAAAATTTGCAGTGAATTTTTCATGAACCAATAAAACATGCAATTTTTTAAACAAGGGGAAATAGGACTGATATAATCTATGACCATCAACCGATGACAGAAAATACAACTGATGTGCCTGCTACTGGTTTCATCAATTTGCATTAAGCATAAAATAAGCATGCAAATTTTAACAAATCTGAAATGGAAGATATATGAATTCTTTTAATTTTAAAATGACTGGCATACCAAACCAAAGCAGATTGTACATACTAACACAGGACTGATTAAGTCCACCAACTTCCCCATGCAATTTCATACTGTAAGGAATATATTTCTGTCACCAAACTGCCTAAAACCTTAAATGATGAACACTCCAAGTCTTACCAGCTCGACTATAACGATCAGACAAGTATGATAGCTTCATGGCAGCTAAATTGCGCTGCCACGCAGAATTGTTGAAAAGTCGTGGGAAAGATAGACCTACAATATAGAAGTAGTTGGTATTTGTCTAACAGAACCAAGCTTGGACTAGCTAGAATTGATCAGGGAATTAACAGAAAGAATGACCTACCTGAACAAATATTAAGAACCCAAACTGCAATTTTAGAAGTTACAATATTTCAAACCTTCCTATAATCTTTTCACCCAGTACAAATTGTGCAACAAGATCAGGTGAGGAAAACAAAACTCCCTTGTATTCTGTTTTTTGTTAAGAGTGTCATGATTACATCCAGCCTATTTCATTATTAAGAATACTAATTACAGAGTTGTTTGAAGACTCGATTTACAAAGATTGGAACTAAACAATAACAAGTCATGCCATCACATGTATTGCTAATACATAGTCTACATGCAAACCTGCGGTGAAATACATCTACATGACATTGTTGTTAGTGAGCAATGTAAACAATGGCATTAACAACAGGTGTCACCTCTTTGGAAAACAGTCATAGAATGTATAACTACATGTAGCAAGTCAAAACAAAGAACAATGTTCACAGGAGGAGGTACATTATTTAACATAAAAATGAAGATATAAGCATATTCTGGTTATATGAATTCTGATATCTGAAACTATTTTGCTTGAGGATGGAGAGAGAAAGAGAGAAAATCATATATCAATCCTTGTTAAATAACTCCTCATAGCACATTGTACAAAATGATGTCCAAAATATGAAATATTGTATTGATAACATTTAAAAAAAATATAATTCTACCAAAGCGTTTATCAGTTCCTCAGGCACCAATTTATTATAACACATGTTGTATCAACAAATATCTATATCATATGCAGAATAAACTTTAATCAAATCCAGCCTTTAAAATATATATGGTTAATAAACAGAAACAAAATTGTTATGCTCATTTCAAATTTAGTGTAGTAAAAAAGACAAAGGGTGGGCCAAAAATGCCAGTGAAAAGGGATTCCCCCCCCCCTTTTTTTTTTTACCTATTAACATAGATATTTGAAGAATTAACAAATCTTGATATCAATTATATTTTTTTTTTACTGAATGCCAGAAAGCAAATCACCTGCACTATTGTTTTGCTGGGACCCTGCTGCTGCAACATTGTATGCTGTCAATGGTGGTGTTGAACTTGGACGATGATTGCTCTCTGCATTTGCAATTGAATTCCTGCAGAAAAGAAAAAAGAGCAACAAAATAAAATAAAAAAGATGAGAAAAGACATAGAATGTGTGGTTACTGCATTGCCTTCAAGATTTTGTACCATTAGCTACTATCAGTAATTCTTAGGTTATAAAAGAAGTCTTGCCAAGGCAGCAAGTGTTATAAAGAGAAACAATCAACTGTACACAACTAGCTGTACAGATATTATCAAGGGAGACTTTCAACTATACACAGCTAACTGTACATATATTATCCAGGGAGGCTTTCCATTGCACACAGCTACCTGTACACATATTATCCACGGAGACTGTACAGATACCATTAAGAGAGACGAACTTAATAAACTTTTAAGTTTTATGCATATTTAATTATCTTCCATATACATATATTCAAATATACACGTTATGAAACAAAATGGCAATGTATATTTTCTTCATGTTTCTTATGGATCTTAATTTGATCTATTCTTTTGCTTAAAAATAATTTTGAAACCTGTGATGTTTCAAATTTCAATCCCTTGTGCCAAAGATTATTGTTGTTACTTAAAAAATTACTAAGATGTTGATAACACCTCAGTTGTATATGAGACTGCTGTCTCTGTTGGAAACAGCCTGAAGGAAGTATCTGGAGAGACATTGTTTGCCTGTATTTTGAAATAAAAGTACTTTTCTTATCCCATATCTCCTGGTGCCAATGGCAGATTGAAAGATGGACAATGGCAGGACCATCAGACAGCAAAGAGTAATTTCAAAGCACTGTTCGAATTCAAGTTGCCAAAAGAAACTTATTCAGATTCAGCATAATTCCTTTGCATTCTAACAGCAACCTTGAATTTTTTTATTCAGACCTAAAAGCAGCAACAAGCAAGTGCTTTCAGTAATGAAGTGCTTTCTAAAGTTTCAGCACATGGAAGTATTATAAAGTTAGTCCATAAAATCAATTATTTACCTTTTATCTCCAGTAGTGAGTCCTTACACAGTGTAAAGTTATCTCATAGAAACCTGTGGGTACTGACCAAGTGATACCTGAATATCATTCTCCTCAGGTGACACATAACTATTTTCAGGAAAGAAATTGTTGCAATGTATATTCTTTATACATGCAGTATTTTTGACATAGTTTGGTTCTATACCTCAACGTAATAGAGCTTTCTCTGTGTACCTTGGTCAACAGCATAACAAATCACTGTTTATTTTGTAAGGCTTTGTAATCTACTGTCAAAAACATGTGCTTGCCAGTTGAGAAGTTGGGTGATGATTGTTGCTTCAGTGCAATCAAGAATAAGGTTAAAAAATGATGTTTGAGGAAGATAGGTATATATTAATGTAGACTTAATCTTTATTAATTATAAATGTAAGTCAAAATCTACAGCCTTAGTCATCAGCTGGTAGACAGTAAACACCAACTGATCTGGAAAGTGGGAAGTTGTTTCTAAACTTATTGTAAGACATACTGTCTACAGTGTAACTTCCAACAGAATTTTGCTAATAGGTTAGAAATAGAAGGTGGACTTAAAGTAAGACATTGACACTACACTGTATGTAAGGATGAATTTTAGACTTAATTAAATGAATAGTATTCTGCCCAGGATGTACTCCATGACTTTCAGAAATGAGTACTGACAAGCTAGAAGTAAATGCAATATATATAAATGATGTAATTTCATTAAATACAAAAAAGAGAAATTATTGAAATCTAGATAAAGTTGAGAGCCAAGAGAGGTAAACATACCCTGGAAACATCTTTGTAGGAGTTGTAGGTACTTTGTTGACAGTTACACTTGATGATGAGGATGAGTTTGTTGATGAGGGTGATGACATGGACGATGTTACTATTATTGTTGCTTTTTGTTTCTGAAAATATGAAAATAAAGAGTGATACTCACCAAATATTAGAGAAACTAAACTCCAAAGTCTGGTAAACAAAAACAAAAAAAAGGTGCAAAAATAACAACAAGGAGCTTTTAAGACAGGTTCTCCATTATTTTGGTACTTTTGACTACTGGCATGGATTTCCAGCTGCAATGCATTTGATATTATGATTTGGATTAATCAACCTTCACAGTCTATATTTCCTTCATGATTCAAATTGAACTTTCCCAGTGTTCTAACTATACATCAAATTTACTTGAATTGATTGCTTTCATGTTAACTTACTGAGAAACTGATTTATATGCAAATATGTATATATTGTATAGGCATTAATGGAATAGTATATTGAATGTTCTGTTAGTAGTAATCTTGAGATATTACAGATACTTCTATGGTAATGGATAAGCCAAACTAAAGCTAAAACCATTTTCATTATTAAAGCAATCTTAGAATATTCTGTTGATTGAAGTGTGTAGAATCAGTTGAAATAAATTCAGTGATTTGGTGGTGCTTTCTCATAATTCTTATCGGACTCTAATCTCTGGTCCTTTGTGAAAGACTGGTGAGCTTGAAATGGACAATCAATTACATAAAAGTTAATGAAAATTTAGAGAAACAGTCACAATGAATAATGCTTTAAAATATTGACTTTCACAGTAGAAAGTTGCCTTCTACATTTCTGTTGTTCCAATGTAAGAGTTTCAAATCTTGCAGATTAACTGTCAAAAGGCAAATGATAGACAAACAAAATAATGTTTTCAGGTCCTTGGAATTCTACCACCATGTTGTATGTATTTTACTTTCCATCACATGAAAAACAACTTTTTAAAAAAGGTCTTTTTGATGTCAGGGTGTTTATACCTTGAATCTTTAAATACCAAGTCGTGTTAGATATTGCTCTTCATTTCAAGCATTTAGGAAGTCGGCAAAGCACTTTCTAAAGAATATGATTGATATTTGTCCCTGGTCCTGTACTTCAATTAGCATATGTGTGAACATCTTAAAGGTGTAAATATTGTACAAATTGTACAATCTAGGAAGATGTTAATAAGGTTATCAAGAGTAAATAGAGTCTGTAATAGTTATTTTCACACTAAAAACAGTTAACACCAGTACAAATTTGACAGACTTACATCTTCATTTTGGGATTTGTGCCTTTTCCTCTCCATCTCTTCATACTTGTCCTAATTGAAACAAAGAAACAATATTTGAAGTTATGCCTTTGTCTAGACTCTCATATTTTAAATATGTTCCAATTGGTTTCAGTTTCATAATTGATACATGAATACACATAACCCATTGATCACAATCAGATTCATGCCTTGAAATCAAAATTGATCTAGTCATTTGAAAATATGCCATTCTGTGAAATCAATGCATTTAATGCTTTGAATCTATTGCTTTAGTTATTATCTGTGAAGAATACCATTGATAAAAGTCTTTGAAAGCTGCTAACTATGTAAATTATCTCAAGATAATCAAATACAAATGAAATGACACTTAAAATTGATAATTTGAGTCATTCTTTAATTATACCAATTAATAGTAATATCATAATGATCTTACCTTGGAATGATTCATCGAAAGACTAGGACTAGGTGAAGGAGAACTGGAGTTAGTTGATGTTGGCGTACTTGATAATTTATCCAATATGCTATCATCATTGGGTGGTGAAGAAGCCAGCACTTGTGAACCTGAAATTCAAAGCAAAAACATCATTACTGTTACTTCTCTTTAAATATCTTGTCAAGTGCATTAGGCTCAAATGGTGTGCAATTTCCAATATTTTCTTTTTAAGCATTTGAAATAATCATGATGGTCTGTGATCTCAACATCCCCAGAAACACAATCTACTGGAGTAGAAATCAACCCACACACCTTGGATAGGAGGTTGCAGTTTCTGATGCTCTATTGACCATATAAAATGCAATGGATGGCAACAAAATTTTACCTGTAACTCATTTAGCCTTGATCCATGATCACCAAAATTAATTGGGTGTACATTTTATGCAAACAAACTAATGCAATGATACAGAAATTAGTATCCCTCCTTCTCCTTGCTATAAGGGAGATTGAAAAATAGTATGTTTACTTACCTAGATCATCAAGATCCAAATCATCATAAAGAAATTCATTCTCCTCAAAATCTGGTTCCTGGTTGTACTCCAGATAGTACTCCACGTCATCTTTGATCTTCTTGATCTAAGGAAAAAGGAGACACGAAAATGAAATGGTTACAATTAACCAATTCAAGCTTATTTCATATGTTTCTCAAAGAAATCCTAGCTATTTTTTCTGAAATTTCCCTTTTGTCAAATTTTTAACTTAATTAAATAAGGGCAAAAGAATTGTGTTATTTGTTTTCATTTCGCAAAATATTGCTTCTAATCTTGATATAGATTGAATTACTGAGCATTGAATTCAGAGCATTTAACACATATATACAAAAAAGCATTTACTTACTTGGTCTAAAGGTAGTGCGTCATTATCTACCATCCTCATGATTGTTTCTAGTTTCTTTATGTGGAACTTGTGTCGATCTTGTGCAGCTCGCAGTTCTTCATATTGATCTTGTGTCTGTAATTATGAAAAAATGTCAAATTTCCATATTTCAATTGGATTGATCCCATTGTAATATTAAAGCTTCAAGTGAACATATCATTCACTTTTAAAACAGGATTTTTAAAAATTCTGAATAACAATCTTTCAGCATTGTTTTATGCTTGAAAATGTCTATATGACATTTATATCTTACTTAAGATGGCTGGGGTATAAAAAATTGTTTAGATTCTTCATACATATAATATGGAAATGAAACATTAACTATTCTATAACAAGGCACTGACCATGTGTTCCTCCCAGAATTTTCCGGGAGCATAAAAAGGAGGACAACCCTTCCTACTAAGTTTAACATTTAGCTTGATCTATAATGTGTACTTAATACCAGGGTAAATCACATCATATACCAGGGTAAATCACATCATATACCAGGGTAAATCACATCAAAATTTTGGCAGGCAAATAAAACTGAATGCTCAACGAAGAAGGTTATATCAGGTTTGACAACATGCAGCAAACAATTTAAGCTTACATCTTTATCCATTTTTTTCTTTTTTGATGACAGCTGCTCTATTCGACTTTCAAACTGCTCAAGTTGTTTTTGTAAGGTCTCAATTGTTGTCTGAAAGCGAAAGAATTAATAAGTATTACATACATAAAACATAATTGATTAGTCAATGCATAAAAAAATCAATGTAATGACTATGAGTCCAAAAAGTAAACTTCATGTTTTCTTTGTCTCACCAACATCCTAAGAGATGTTTTCACTGTATTTCACACATATTTATTAAACAAGTTGGACAATCAGGCACAGTTTGGCACTCTAGTACATCAAGAAATAAAATTGAGAGAGGGGGTGCAGTTTTCTATTTGTGAAATTAGCTTCATTTGTAAGTGAGAAGTTCCAACTGCATAACTAACAATTGGACAACCATGATCTGGATGCAATATAAGACAGACATGACATCATTGACGATAGATTGTCTGACAGGGTTGTTTGAAAATAATCCCAAAACTTAGAGGAGTATATTTAGCAGTCATCCATTGAGGCCAGGAGTACCATTACTTAGTTTAAAAACATTTCATAAGATGAAATAATGCCATTCAATCAAACTTCATTCAATAAAATGAATAAGGAGAATCTCACCGAAAGCCAGTTTACAACTTCACCCTTTTCTTTTGCGATAGGATCCATTTTTGCAGCAGCCCCTAAGCCTTCCTTTGAATAAGCTTTTGTTTTTGTTTCTCTTTCAACAATTTTGAACCTCTCCATTTGCTAAAGGGGAAAATCAAAATTCACATATTAACTTTTATTACTGTTTGAGAATATTCTTATTGCTAAACAAGTATCAATCAGAATTTAAAAAGAAAAAAATATCAAAAATATTAACCTGAAGATTTAGATCATGTTTTTACCACTGAATTACAATAGCTATAAATATTTCTTTTCATACTTTTACACAACTCCATCAGACATAATGAAAAGAAATAATTAATTGTAATTTCATTTACTCACAGTTTCAATCAACTTCCTGTTTTCCACCAGTATTCGTTTATCTTTGATGTCACTACTGGCACACCATGTTTTAATCTGGTCCCGCAACCGCTGCGAATACATCAAATGATTGAGATTTTATTACTCTTACATTTTTCTATGCATACGATAGTATATAAGCCCCTGTGTGTTTTGCTTATCTTTACAATTCATATATCTTATGTGTTGCCAGTATGCTAAAAATGTAGTAAATGTCAAGACAGTCACATATAACTGATTATGTATCCAGTAGATCATTTTTTAATGGCACATTTCCTGAGAACTAATCATAATAATCAGCACATTAAGAGCATTACAGGCATGAAAATTCATGACAGGATACAGACTTATTCTCTTTAAAGACTTATCAAACAGACTTTGGTAACCAAAAATTTGTGATGGCCATTGGAAACTTTCTTTATGAACTATTGTTTCATTTCAAAAACAAAATTCAGTTTTGATGAACATTGCACAGAAATAAAACTGCTTAGAAAAACAATGACACCAATGCTGACAGCTCTCTACATTTTGGGTTTTCTTCACAGGTAAATATCATTACAGTAAAATGGAGAACTATTGGTTTGCAAAAAGAGGAATTGTTATTAAACCAAATAATTGCATCAGATTCAATTTCTACAGAAATCAATACACTAGTGATGGTTTAGTATTATACTTACCTGAAGCTTTTTAATCTCTCTCTTAAGATCAGCTTCATATTTTTCCTTTTGATTTGTGTTCGCAGCATTATGAACCTGCAAGGATATCTAATAAAAACGTAATTTATAAATTACCATCAAAATTTCATCAATTATCCCATCTTTTTCCAGCATATTCTATCATTTCTTTTGGAACGAAATTCTTGCTTGACGAAATATATATCGTAAAATCAGCCTATTGAATATTTCTTCCTTTATTCAATGATTAATTTTTGTTTTTATTGGCAGAGGATTTTCTGATTAGAAAACCAAGAGACATATCTGATGAAAATACGATATGGAAATGATGCCCAAATTACTATGTGATATGATGAATATCACCTGTTATGCATTTTTTTAATTGAAGAAATGTTTCACATAATTGTCACTGAACAAAAATTACCACACTGCCATGGTTTCTTTAAGCAAAGATAAACATATGAATATGTGCTTGTTTATAAGGGCATTCAGTTGACCCTCAACATGTCTCTTCAAACTCAACACTCAATCATTTTTGGGAGTCAAACATATACTCTTAATGGCCTACTGAATGCCCTGTTTATTACAACAGCATTTTATCTTATAAGTTAAAAACAAACCTTGTTCCAGATGTCTTCAAAAGTTTCAACACCTTCCCCTACTTTCTTCAGACATCTGTCAATTTCTCCTAGAAAACAAAAACGTTCACAATTAGGAAACATGTCCTGTCCTTTTTACCTCTTATGCATTCTAAATTCTGTGGGAAATTTTTATGTCAGTAAATTTAAATATTTTTTAACTTCTTGAAGTCATTATCTCATTTATTAATACACACGACCAGCTTTTCACTTATGGTAAAAATTATGGACTCTATCTTGTTCTTGCATGCTTATACTGGGTTTTCCATAAGAGCCGGTCGCCGGCCAATTTGACCTGCTACTTCGGATCATTTGGCCGCCTACACCAATCCAGTTTCGTAATAATGTTCTGTACACGACTACACGTACACGGCAGGCCAGCCTCCTACTTTCACTAACCAGCCTACTACTAACAAAATTATGGTAAACCCTGCTTATAATAATAAAATTGTATTTCTTTGATTGACCAGTAGCAATATTTTCAATGAACTATGGTGGTATACTTTTGTTTATAATATATTTTAATATTTTTTGATGTATATTTGAATACCTAACCTTTTAACAGGCATTTTTAACATAAGGGGAGGGGCTCTGCTCTAAAAATGTTGATTGACCACTGGAGTTTAAACAAGGGTAAGCACCACCTGTACTGCCGAATAAGAAAGTGTAATATATGCTTATGGAACTAGAAGCCTTTCATAAAACTTGCCCCAAGATATTCTAATTTTGGGGTGGGATGCAAATAAAAGGGAACATCCCATAACCAGAGAGCCAAAAATGAAACATACATCCTTATTGAAAAAAATTTTTTGGCACCTATTCTATCAGTGTGCTTTTCAAAGTAGCTATTTAAGCCTGTTTTCATTACCTTTTACACCATAAAAACAATTCTGAAATTATTATAATTCTCAGCGGACATACTCATGACCATGTGTGAAGCTACGTGTGTAAAATCATTTTCCCATGTGTGTTAAGTATTCGATAATCATACAAAGATGTTGCATATTACACTTGTTGAAAAGGAACATTTTTGGGTGGTTGATTATTTGTTGCTTTATGTCCTATTAACAGCAAGGTTAATTCAAAGTAAAGCCAGATTTAGACAGTAAAGGAAAGCGAGAGTTCACAGAGAAGAACTACCAACCTATTCCAGTACTTGGTGACTGCCCAAAGTATGCATATAACCCCTGACCCATGGGTGGAAGACTAGGGATAAAGATGATCAGGCACTCTAACTACTCATTTTTATCACTAGCCTTCCATCTACCATACCTTGAATATCAAAATGTTGCAATATATGCTTCTTGATGAAGCACAATAAAAGTACACCAACAAATATGTCAAGTCTGTACACATTTTGCACTAAAGGCTGTTCAAAACCTAGACTAGTAATTTTTTGGAAGGATCAAAAACTTATTATTTCTGAGGCACTAACACAGCACTAAATTATGAGTTAACTTCCTTCTTACAATGATGGGAAGATTGATCACCTCCTGATTGTTTCATTTAACACATGGTGCAGTTCAAGACTGATTAGCAAATTCCACATAAATCTGATAAACAAAATGTATGACAATGTTAATCTTCATGAAAGGAAATGATGAAAACACATGGTTTAATTGCAAACGTGTATGAAGTATACATAATGACATGTTGGCAATTGTAGTGACAACTGCAACCCAGCACTGACCAAATACTCATGAGAATGGCTTGATATTTATGAATGAAATGGAATTACTTCAAAACCAATGGCAGAGCATTTATTTTGTACTGGTTCATCATAACACTACACATATTTACTGTAGCAATATTGTTAATTACCATTCCCTTGTACTGTTTAGGCCATTGACCTGGCTGACAAGTATGCTTTCCTCGCCAAGAATCAAGAAAGTTTATTATTCGATGTACGAGGTCTACATTTATTACTAAAGAAAGAGAGTGTTGTCAATCTACCATAAAAATTCCCTCGTCAATTTTTGAATCCAGCTTCACAAAAATTGTCTGCGGCATTTGCACAGCGACATCTGACTGGTTCCATATTTATTCATTGCTTAACCAGTAACGAGTGTAATGGTAGTCTGCATCATTAGAATGACAAAAGACACGAACAGGGAAGTTAATCAATGTTTGTTCTGTATACATTTTTCGATTGTGACAGTTCTGACTCCGAAAATTGCAAACCGATTAGACCGCAAGGGTCCAAGCATTTCGACAACTTAGCATTTTCGTGACATGGATTCATGTATTTGTCACTATTTGAAAGTGCATGCTGAGACGAATGATTACTGATGTGGACCATAGACAAATAATGTGTATAAAAGATGCATACCTAGTGTAAATAAAATAATATGAGAGACAGACGAACAAAAAGAGAAAGGAAAAATATAACGGATTGACTCCGACAGCGGTTATTCATTCGATCATTTCTTACCTTGTAGCTTTCGCCTATCAGCCATAGCTATGAATATTCGTATGTGAATGATAGACGCATGCTCTAATGCTCAAATGGTACCAGACTATCACTTTTATGGTACCGAAAAAGTGCTTTAATTTATCTTTCTATTCAGTCTTTAATCCAAAATGGCTTCTCTCTTCGTTATATACCACCTCGAATTATATGAGTACGCGCAAAAAATAGTCCCTGACCCTTTTCTCAAAGTAACTTTGAATATAACAGATTAATTGAAAGTATTTCATGAAAAGTCTTTGAAAATCAATTGTTATTTGAAAGTAATCATGTAATCGTGATTTAATTTGTCATTTTATTAACACATTTTGATGCCCACTAATTTCTCGAGAACTACTTATGGAAGTTTTATTACAATGTATCCTGGGATAAGTATGGTTTACGCATGTGTTGTTTACAACAAGAGACCTATTTCCGACAAACTTGACAAGATTCCTGTGAATGAGAGAGATGGTGTGTAGCCGAGTGTTATATCTATACGGTAGAATATAAAAGGTAATTTTACTTGAGTCAAACATATAAATTCTCGATTATTGCTATTCTGAACTTCCTAGCTATAATAATGCATGTCCTGACACCAGAAACCCGACTGTGCAAACTCATGACAAGTCATGTTTCATCTGATCACTTCTGTATAACTTACTGTTCAGTTTACTATCTCCAGTATTGTAATTAACCAACTTCATGTATAAAATTTAGTATTGTTTGGACATGCAAACTTGATACGTTGTTTACTTCATATATCAAGTCTCTCATGCACATTAGTGGAAGACTGGTTATGAACAAGATGTTCAATCTACAGCAACCAAACTTCACTGATATCCAGTAACAGTGCAGTATATTGATTTCTAAATAAATTGAATTATCGGTTTTGATTAGTATAATCCGAAATGTTTTAATAAGACTAGCAATCACAATTTTTTTCTTTGTCATAGTTGGTAACATGACATGGACAAAATATATGACAGATTAATATAATCTTTTACATGTGCAATGTATGTTCAAGATAGACTTGTCTCAGTTGAGGGCTTACATTCTGTAACATTCATAGACTTAGATTAATTGATCTTGAACATTTATAGGTAATAAATTCCTTTTCTCCTACATTATAACATGTGTAAAAAATGCATAAACCTTTCTCAACAATTTTCATCTCTAAGATTGTCCTAGTCAATTATATTACCCCACTTAGCAGTTATGTATCTGGAAAGACCATTTAAGATGACATCATTGTAATTCTGCTGTCACTTGGTGCTAAATAACGCACAAATAACTGACGAAATATAAGATTTTATACTTAACATTTATGATTCCATAGGTAACATAATGTTGACAAATAAGTGACTATAAACACTTAACAGACAGATTAGAAGATAAATCTAGCACTAGGTAGGACATAGAATTTCCTGTCATTTAAAAAGAAAGATATAGTCCTTAATATAATGAGGTTGTCTTTCTCTATAAAGGCTTAAGAGTAGCTCATTTGGAATTCTTTCTAAGATAAAAACAATGATATTATGAATAATAAGTCCAGTGCTTTTTGGACTTTTTATTAGATTTGGATTATATTGAAGATGGGAAAAGGAAATTTCAGCAAGATCCTTTCAGAAATTCAAGATATATCTACATTTGTTGTCTTTATACATTTTATTCAATACATTTACTCTGTAATTTTTTTCAATCCATGTATCATGGTATATATATGTGTGTAATGTTTACAATGCATTTGATTTTGATGTCTGTGCAAAATTATTTTATTAAACTAACGTTTGCCTTTCATGTTTGAAGTAGGAAAGATGTCTGCACGAAGCAGTAGCAGGAGTAAGATGGGCCGTGGAGAAGATGTGAATCTTAGCCTGACTGGATCACAGATATCTTCTGTTAGAAAGTCTTCATCTAGTAGGCAATTTAACCTTCCTGGTGATAAAAGAGGATCAGGCAAGGTTGGTTTGCAATTGAATTTACCCATCGGTATATGATGTATATATCCTTTTATATTTTTTCTGATGAAGATATATATATGTAGATGTCAATTGAATATTTTAGGATATTCCAGGATATAGAAAAACATGAATACTACTACTTTTCTAAGGATAATTAATCTTAACCTGACATGTTCATCACAAATTTGGGAAGGATGTCTTAACACATTTTAAAGCAAATATACTTCTTTTTCAGGAAACATCACATAGCACACACATGAAGAAAAATTCTGCTGATGGTAAATATTTCATGCATACTATATTTTATTATGAAATTGAAAACAATAACAAAACAAAGAACAAATCCACCCACCCCCGCTCAAAGAAAAAAATTTGGTAATGGGTATTAGTTTGTCATTGATATGTCATCATGGCAAAAAGACCATCTATTCTTAACCTTATTGAAAAGAGATCTGATGAAAGGATGGTGCATTAAATACACAAATGATTATGTATTGCAGCACCAAACTTGAGTGACAGGAGTCAGAAGAGTGCTGTGTCCTCAGTGAGTAAAGCCAGCAGCAGGAAAGGCAAGTCACCAGGGTATGTACTTTCAACCTTTTATTATCAGATTGTAACCTGTTCAAATTGTCTCGTCTTGAGAAGTACTACATGGATCATTTCATAGGTAGGTTCACTTTGGTCCCAAGTTACATATAGTCAATTTTTACACAAATTGGGAAAAGAAGATTACTGATGCATGGAAGTCTTGAATATTGATTTTGTAATTGCAATTTTTCAGAAAGATCTGAATAGATATTTCTCAAATTTCTTTTTATTCATATCTGTTGTATATGTTCAGTGTTGAGGCTGGTTTTAAGAACAAGATGACTGACGGGCAGTAATTTTGGATTTTGAAATTTATGTATGTACTGAGACTTTCTTAATTTTAATCTATTTTCTTTGGTAAAGGAAATAACCATGTGACTAATTCATCTGCCAGTGTTTGTAAGAGCAAATAAGAGTAAATTATGGAAAAGCAGACAGAAGGTACCAGGGTATATGAATAAAAGAAAGGTTTACAGTAAGACTTGAACAAGTGTAAGGAGAATTTTACCAGATGTTCTGCTTCATCAGCAATGCCTGTGTAAATCTTTTGACAATCAAAGTAGATAATGTGACATTTTCAAATGCAAACAAGTTTCATTTCTCAATGAGATCAAAGTGATGACTATAAAATTGTCTCTAGAATCCCTGTGTTGTAAGTAAACGTTTTTGTCCGCTATTGACATTTTGCATGGATATTGTGCACAAAATCCTGCTGGGGTCATTTGTTCTACATACTTTAAGGTTTAGATGCATGGGAAATTAATCTGAATATTATTTCATGTATGTATAACGATCATATCTTACTTGAAATTTGTCACCATTTATGTCACAGGTTTTGCTTGGAATTCATGTCAAAAAAGTTAATATTGATGATTAGTGCTTTTTTTTGTACTTATTTCATTCTAATTTCTGTATACCAACAAAAGGAATATTCATTTACTGAACAACATTTCACCAAATATCACCAGTTTGTTGAGTAATTGTATAAATTGAGGGGCACACACTAAATATTTATCAGGGTAGTGAATCCTAAATGTTTTATGCAAAAAAGTAAAGATCCCTTCCTATAAACTGTATATATTTTAATTACTTGCAAGAAAGAGAGAGATACACAGATAGACCTTTGATGACGAGTATAAGGAAACATGTTTTTAACAAAGAATATTTAGGTTACAGATATTGTTTTAAATTAGCATTTGATTAATAGCTGTAGAAACATGAAATGTAATAAGCTGTATTCCATGAGCAAAGTTTGCTAATTTGTGAATATTTACTGAGGTTATGTCTTGTCAAAACATGATTTTAATCGGGTCAAATCATGTAAATAGTTTAGATCCCTTAAATCACAACACATGACATTGCTTATTGTAAATAGATGAATACATCAAATCATGATATGACCATGTACTTATGTGTGGGTAAGCTTGTTATCGCTATTTCTTGAGAATTACCACACAGATCTTTCTCAAATTTGATGTGTAGGTTCCCCTTGGTCCCTGGTTTTTTCCAGCCAATTTTAGGTCTGATCAGGAAAAACGTAATGGCGGACAGACAGCCACCTTGGATTTTTACTTTGAAAGTTTGTTATCACTATTTCATGAGAAGTACTTTATAGATCTTTCTTAGATTTCAGGTGTAGATTCCCCTTGATCCCTAGTTTTGATTTTGGGAGTAATTCGAAAATACAAAATGCCATCCAGGTGACCATCTTGGATTTGGCAGTAAAAGATTATTATTGCTAAATCTGAAAAGGATTAATGTTCAAATTTCATTAAGAGCAAAAATGGAGAAGAGACGAGAAAAGATTTAACAATGACGGGCACCAAGATCCCTCTATGAACTCTTGTTTTATTTATTTTTAACTGTTCAATCAAGTATGTCATTATTTTCATTTTTTTAAGGGAGGACTTCTTAGCACTTTTTGAGACATCGATGCAGCCAAAATTAAAGGCAAAATCAAAGCAAAAGCAACCTTCACCAAATGCTGTCAAGGTCCTGTGGCAGGAATCTGTAAGTCTTCAGCTTAATTACCAGGATTTTAATAGATAGGTGGATCCGAAGGATTCTAGCAGAGCTCCATATATGATAGGTACTAACCACTAACTAAAGGATGGAGCATCAACACCAAGGATTCTGTGATCGGTAGTTTTATTAGGTTGACATGTTTCGGCTAGCTAGACTAGCCGTCATCAGAACAACGGTACAAGTATTGGCATAGCTTAGCTTAAAATCACGGTTCAGTCGTGACGTTATAACGCATTTTCTTGATCACTTGATGATAATAATACAGTTCGTTACACTATACAAAGTAAAGGAACAAAGGTAGCTATAGATTATATAAAATACAAAAGTGGTACAGCGATGCTGTTGTGAAAGTAGATTACAAATAATAGTTACATTGAAACACAATGTGCAAATATACATGTATTCTCACTTGACGTTTGTGTACTTTTGCGATTGATTTGTGAAATGTGTGACAGAAAATATTTGATGAAAATATTTCTAAAAAGTTAACAATTCTTTATATAAATTTCATTTCAATTGTCTTATTGATTTTTTAAGTTCATTAGTCTCTAGCACCATACCAAGCTGTTCAAGTCTTTTAAGTCAACGGTCAAACAACCTGATCAGTAGTTTATTATACATCAGTAATTTAGTTTGACAATATCTGGAGATTCGAAAAGTTTATCACAGTTTTCTAAAAAAAAAAACATGTTCTTATGATTGATTGTCAAAAAAGTTATTTCAGGGTTACAAAATAGCTTTGTCATTGTAATATTGATAACTACATTACATTTTTAATTTAGTACATATTATGAGCTTATCTTTTGGATTACTTTAGTTTACCAGCTGTTATGAAAGTTATATCTCTGAATTCAATTTACACTAACAAATGATATCCAATCTAGTATTCATCAATTTTACATCTTATATTCTGTATAGTTTAATGTTCTTAATAGTAAGTAAACTGTGCAAATGGATTTTTCTTTTATTTAGCCTCATAAAAGTGAACTGGAAAGCCAGAGAAGTATTAATTCAACGCAGAGGGTCAACAATGACGGAGGCAGTCTCCTGTCACCTATCATGCAACAGAACTTCTTTCAGCCAAGTAGTGTTCACAGTAGTTCAGACTCAGATGAGGATGGTATACTATCTTCAAGTCTGAATAAAATACATTCACTTCAGCGGAAGTCACATTCAGCAAAATCTGACAGCTTCAAAAACAAAAAATCTAAGGAGAAAACAAGACCATCTCATGTAAATACCACAGAGTCTGGTGTGGGCCATATAAATGGTGTAAATGGCATAGCAAACAATATGGTAACATCCGTGAAGTCACCAAGGACAAAAGCTTCTTTGTCAAGTATAGAAAATTCTTATCAGAATATAAAGCACAAAACACCAGTGAATCAGGTGAAGGAGGGATTGGCTAATCAAAGATATGTCAGTTCAGCTGAGGAATATGTACAAACATTGACATCTGCAGCAATTAAAATACAAAGGTGGTATCGCAGAATTTGTGCCAAGAGGAAAAGAAATGAAGCTGTGCAAATGGCAGGAGAAGCAGCAATCAAAAGACTTTTAGGACAGAAGAAAAAAGATCTAGATGAACACAAATTAGATCTGGATTTTCTGAATGAAGAAGATAGGAGAATTGAGGAAAGAAGAAAGATTAGGGATGACAAAGCAAAACAGGCACGACAACAGGCAATTCAGGTAAAGAGTGATCACCATTAGGCACTGATTTCCTTGTAGGTTCAAATCGTACTAAAGAAATTTGCTTGTATCTATACCATGATGTTGAAATATTTTTTATAAGAATGGAACTCATCTGCAGTGCCTACCTGAGAATGTTGTAGTTCTTTGAAAGTTTAATTGGTGTAATAATTAAAAAAAGTAATAAATAGAAGTTTGTAGCAATGTCAAACTTGTTTCTTCAGGAATTAAAAAAGAAAAGGGAAGAAAAAAGAGATGAAGTAAAACAAAAAGCAGAGGTAGAAATATCATATTTACAAGCAAGTGGCAAAATTACAAAAACTCCTGCAAAGGCTAATATTGGAAGGAAGAAATCCCCACTTAAAAGTTACAGTAGTTCACAGAAGGACAATAATGTAGATAGAGATACAGAGGCAAAGGTAAAATCAGCACGCTCAGGTACATCAGACATGAAAACCACATCAGCACGCTCACAGGAAGGGAGCGAAGAATTTCTTGAGGTATGTCATAAAATTTTAAACTTTAATTTGAATTTTATAGCAGTCAGTTATATTTGATATATCCTTTTTTATATGAAATGTGGTATTGAATCTTTCGCTTATTACAAAAGATTCTTATTCTTGAATGAAGGAAATTTAGTATTTTGTTTTTAAACGAACATTATTTTTGATATTCTTCATCTCACACAATGAGCCTTTGGGGGAAGACGCACATTTTGAAAAAGTAAATGAAGAATGGGCCATATCAGTAGTCAGCAGTACAATTAATTGTACATGGACAAATCAGACTCTAGATATTTTTATTTTGTTCATTATAGCAAGAGTCTAATCTCTAATTTGTCCATGTACAATTAATTAAGATATTTTTGTTTTGTTCAACCAGTTGATGGTTCTAATAACCTTTCATGTGTTGACGGGCTGTTCAGAATGTAGTAATAATAATAATGATAATTAAGTTTTGTTCAAGGAAAAAGAGAGAATTGATTGATGAGGATATCACTGTGTTCAGCATTTATGTAAACAAATTATAGTGAATACTGATATAAGATTGATATATGTTTATTTGGTAGTCGGCGAGTAATGTGAATCAGATGGACAGTAATCGTGACAGTGATGCTCACACACTTACTGACCTGAATCAGGGATATCGAGGGCCAGATAGTGAGGTCACCAACAAGTCTACACTCAATGACCTGCTAGAGACCCTGAAGAAGCTTGAGGAAGAGGAGCATTTAGTCACTCCTAAGCCAGAGAAGAAGAATGCATGGTGTAGGTCTATTAGTATGTCACAGTATAGGGTTCAGAGTTTGGTATGATACATAATATTCTACATCAAAACCAAAAGCATAAAGAATATCATTTAAGATTATATATATATTTGAATATGAAATAGAATAGAAACAATTACATATAAGTTTAGTGACTGTCTTAGGGAGAAAAATTACAACGGGTCATTTGCAGGCAGCTAGTATAAAATTCTTCACTACAGACACACTTGTTATAGATGTATTTTATTTCTGCAGTAGACGAGTTAGAGAAAGCAGCCCTGCCCAGTGAGAAGGATGTGGCCTATTTGACTGCTGATAAGCTACAGGAGTTGAACAGACAGAGGGATGGAGGTGCAGCTAGTGGTTATCTGAGTGATGACAAACTCAAAAGCATCATGTCGTTTCTTGATGAAGTGCAGGTAGCAGACAGAATCAGTGCTGTAGAGCAGGTAAAGAGACATCAACAGCAGACCTATTATATATTCTAAAGATTGAAGAGCCTTGTCCTGATACATGAACACATTTGATGGTAAAAATAGTTTAATAACATTGTTACCAAGATCAAAATAGATCAGCATTATTAAAACCCTGGTAAAATACTAGCCACACTATGCCGCTTGACTGGAGAGAACTTCTCTTTAGCTTGATTGGTTGAGTGCCAGACCAGTAAACCAGTGGTCCCAGGTTGGAATCTTTGCAAAGTCATTAATATGAGATAAGGGTTACATTATCTTAAAGTATGCTGTGGATAGTACAGTGTATGTCAAGCAGTATACCTAACATTAAAATTTGAATATAACTTAAGTTATTTTTACATCAATTTAGTGTTGAAGTTTACAATAATTTACACAATCATATCATTGTCAATCAGGCATGAGAGGACTTGTAATGAAAAGAATGTAATTGAAGGTTTGTTTTTTCATTCTCTAACAGGAGATAAGTAAAGCATCAGAAGATTTTGATCGACCTGTACCACTTGTACCCTCTGCTGACGAGCTTGCTGACCTAGAACATGCTCAGGAAGCTGCCAATGAAGTTACTTCTACAGTGTTGTCACAGCGACTTGAATTGGATGAGAAAAAGAGGACAGTCAGTATGCTACAGAAAGCCCTGGTAAGTCACATAATTTTTATAATAGGTTATTGTTGAACAAGCATTTGAGCCCAAGTAGAGGTTAGTCTTTTATCTATGAAATAGTTCTTTATTCAAATAATTTTGATATATGTGTTAAATTATGTAGCAGAATGTTACTTAGTGTTCTTCGTCTAGACTTATAGGTCACTATTGAATAAGTCAGATTTTGTTATATCAGTATTGGAAAAAGAAGTTTTGCTTCAAATCTGTCACAAATTATTTTTGCATACATGTATTGTGATGTAAAAGCACAAATGTCTTAATTCTTCTGAATTTTAGAACCAACAGCGAGAATTAACTGTGCGGCATGCCAAAGAAACCGACAAAGAAATGAAAAAAAGGTTGGAAATACAAAAGGAAGAATATGAAGAGGCTATAAAACGACATCTGTCTTTCATAGATCAGGTTTGTTCTGAAGTAGCAGGGCTCTTGATCTGCCAGATTTGGGGCCGATATTCGGCCCCATTCCCAATGCAAAATAGTATCTTTTTTCCCCAATTTAGACCCCAAGTTTTCCTAATTCTAAGGAAAACACCATTTTTTCCCAGTTCTAAGGGCCCCTGGCCCCAGTCCCAAAATGATTAGAGAAAATGTTCAGCTGTTGGACTAATCATGATTATGTTCAAGCTCTGATTATTACAAAATTCTGTCTTGGGTAGATGATCATGGAAGTCAAAGTTTGCATTAAAAGTTTACTGTGAATGAAAGATTAAAACTTGAGGTTTTTCTGCTAACAATATAGACTAAATCAATGTAATCTATGTTAATTATCAAAACATTTTGTATTATAAATCATGACATCTACAGTTTTGAAGCAGTTACAAAGAACATCTATCATTATATCAAACAGTGAGATTTGGTCACACTCTTTCACATCTAGTCGAACTTTAACATGTCAAGGCCAATTTGAATTTCTTCTTTTACTTAGCACTTTATAAAGGTCAAAGATCACCACGAAAGTCCAATTGACTTCTTTCTGTATTCATCATATTATATATCTATTCAGTTCTCATACACAATTCCTGAAAATCTAGAGTGAAAAGCATTTTGCTTCAAAAACATTTTTACTTCTGAAGGTCAAAGGTCAGAAAATATGTGAAGTGTGACCTGTTATTTTACCTTTTATGCACAAACATGTGATTCTTGTTGATTTCTGTCAGAAAGTAGATATACCTCAGAAACCTAGTACAGGTCAGAGGTCAGGATGTATATCTCATTAGTTAGGAGGCATCTAACTGATCTTTGACCTTCTGTACTGAAATTTAGAATATGTATACATACATATGATGTGGAGGCAGTGTGTTAAATACTAAAACTGAGTATTGAGAATTTTTCCTTAAGAGTCTCAAGTAGGGTACTGCTGTAGCTGTTTGGCACTTTTGTAATTAAGTTTCAAACTTACTATTTACAAACAACTTTTTCCCCCAATAACTAGATTTATCATGTCAATGATAATTTAAATCTTAAGAATCTAGAATGCTACTTTTGCAGAACAGTTACCTTGTGATTGCCAGGAATTCTGATCAGGTTTTAGTTTGTACAATTTGTTTTATTCTACAAGTTAGTGGACAAACAGGTATTTAGGGTCTTTCAATAAAGAAAGTTTTTCTTCTGACATATTAAACTTATGGCATTTAGATTATTAGATGTTGAAGTGTGTGTTTAGTACTGTACAAAGGGCGTAGAATGAGACTTCACTTGTCTCACTTGAAGATTTCCCTATTGACATGTGGTGTTACTTTTATGCTAAACAGCTGATTGATGACAAGAAAAACCTGAGTGAAAGATGTGAGCAACTAGTAAAGGAATTGAAGACTGTGGACAGGAAATACCAGGACAAGTTCAAAAGCATGGATGAGAAGTAAGTTTGATATCATTCCGTCTCCTTCCCCCTCCCCTCCCCTCCCCTCCCCATCTCTCTCTCCCCTGTTTCTGGATAGATCAGGAGAACACAACCATATAACCTTTTCTATGTTCCATTGGATAATAATATTAAGACACATGAGGTTAAAACACTTGCAGTAGGTGATGTCAATGTTTAAATCCATGACATTGATGTGATAATTATGCACCTCTTATTAATAAATGACATTATCTTTTACTAAAGTTTTAAAAATAATCTTAAGGATAAGCTTTCCTAAACCTATGTATTTAGTTAACGGTATAATGTATTTAGTTAACAGTATAAAAATTAATTTTCTTCAAAGGCATTCAATTGAGCTGAAGAAATTAAGAGACATGCATGAAGCTGCTGAAAAGTTGAGAAGAGAAAGATGGATTGAAGACAAGACCAAGAAAATAAAGGTATACAAGTAGTTGTACATTTCAGAATGAAGGCCAGGGCATTTGATTTACATATCAAAAATTATTATTCTGTGTTTTCTGTACCTATAACTAAATTCATGTTTCTTTTGTACAAAATCTTCAGCTGAAAAACTTAACTTTATATCCTTACAATATACATGTACTTGAATGCATTCAATTAACAAAGATATAAATGCAAATTTGAGTTATGGTATAGTGTGATAAAGAAAGAAAAGGAATGTGCTGTTGATGAGAAACTTCTTCCTGTATGATAAAATGTTACAAATGATAGGGAAGAGTTTTGTAAAGAAATACAGCAGAATAAGTACAGACCTAGAAAGTAAACTTTGACTGTTGTTGTTTAAAAGGAGATGACTGTGAAAGGACTGGAGCCAGAGATTCAGAGACTGATAGCTAAACACAAAAATGAGTTCAAGAAGATGAAACAGATCCATGAAGCAGAGTTGCTGGAATCCGATGAGCGAGCCGCCCAAAGATATGTAAAGATGACTGAGGAACTCCGGGACCAGCTGGCACAAGAGAAGGAAGCAGCATGTGCAAGGGAACGAGAACTGGCCAAACAGAGGTATGGTTATGGATCCGATATCTTGTTTCATGAATCCATGATTAATCTTACATTCAAATTTAGTATTTTGAAAGTCAACCACTGAAGAAAAAATTCACGGAAAGCATTTCTATGAAATGATGAAAAATTTCTGCCGATCGGCGGTTTTCCGCCTTTTTCATGGCAAATTTGGTCATTTTTGAGATCGATGCAAATCCGGTGAGAAAATTTCAGGGGGGGGTTTAGGTATGTCTTGATGATGCATTTTATTTTTAAGCAATCTTCATCAACTCCGTTCTTAAATCCTTCGATTTATATGCCCATATAAACTGTAAAATTAAACATTCAGCAGTTACAAGCACCGAGTTTCCAGTATTGTCAAATCAATAATACGAAGGAAGATAATTCTTACATCAGTTGAACGTTTGAAAGCTATGGTTGAATTACAATGCCATTTCCAATGCCAGCCACTTTCATCTCTGCTATGAGGATAATTATTGTGAGCAATTCAGCTTAAAATGAAGTGTACTTGAGGTACACTTTGTTTGAGAAATGACTAATGATGAGATGTATTGTAACATGTAGATATGAGAAGGAGCTACAGAATGAAGAAGAAGCATACCAGCAGCAGCGTCGACGGTTATATACAGAGGTTCAGGAAGAGAAAGACCGTGTTGCCCAGCAGGCTTCGCGCCAGAGGGCAGAACTTGATAAATTACAGCGACAGCTTGAGGATAGCCACCGGCATGCACTAAATGCCATGAAATCTGAATTTGAAAAGGCAAGAGAAGAACAAGAACGGAGACATAATGTAAGTTTCTTACTATGACTTCTAGGATTGAAAATCTGTTCATACATATTAATGAGGCAATATAATGATGCCAGGTTAATAGGTGTGCTTTGATAGCCCTCTTGACAAGGATAGATTGTTGTCAAAGTAATATGTAGATTTGTTATGACAGAATTTTGTACGTATTTTCTCTGAATTAAGTGTACAACAACCTCAGCTATGGACTACATATATGTAATATAGTCCCAAAAGCAGAAGAGATTATTCTTCAAATATGTATTTGTGGATTATCAGAGTGTGTACTTCAAAGTTTTGTGTTTTTGACAGGAGGAAACAACAGATATAAAGGAGAAGGTTAAGATTGAGAAGGAGCAGTGGGAAGAGAATTATCGTAAAAAACAGGATACCTGGGTGATGCAGAAAGAGCGTGAGCTAAGGGAGCAAGTGAAGCGTGACAGGGACAAGGAAATTGAGTTAGTCATCTCACGACTTGAAGACGATGCCACTTCATCACGAGAAGAATGTGAACGTACTGCGGATAATAAGATCAAGTAAGAAACCTGTAACTGAAACATAAAAGTCTGTGCTATCAAACTTGTTCTAGCAATCATTTGTGTATAGGGACCCCCTGTCTATTACAAGGGTTTTGTAACAATTCCAAGCGTTTTTACTATGTAATGACACTTTGTATAACAACCACCTGTACAATGTGACCAGCGACCGCTCAATGATCTGAAATAATCGGTACTGCTGACCAAGCAAAATTTAATTTGTGAAAATTTATATTTTGACCTGACTTACGTTGAATACCTCAACAAAGACTGACACTTTGTTTTTTTCTTCTTGACCATTCCTATCAAACACTGATTACTTGTGGTGTAGTGAGACCCATATTGGGCACATTGTAGTTGGTGCAAAACCAGCCCTCTGCTATCTCAGTGGAGCAGGGTAGTAATCATGGTCATACTCTGACACACAATAATTAATTGCTGAAATAACAAATAAGTATTATTAGTCCAGCAGCATTTCTTAGGTTATTAATACACAATCTGTCACATGTGTTGGAAATCATTTTCCTCAAGTGCTAAGCAGGAACAAAATTTGAGCTGAGACAGAATGAAATATCTGACCTCAAATAGTTTATTTCTAAATAAAGTTTTGTAAGTGTTAAAACCATATCTTGAATGGTGCCTTATTGCCAGGATAAAATTATTTTACAGAAAATTAAAATCTTACTAAGACAACTGAATTTTCTTACTGATATCCATTGACTCCTGTAGTACAGTAATGAGGAGCAAACACCTTTGGGACCAAGATCTATATGGCATGCCCATAAAGAAACATGCTGCCTCTGGCAATATTAAAAGAAGATTTTTCAAGTTATCTAACTACTTAAAACAGAATACACAACAGGAATTTATAACCAGGTTTACAGACAGTTATTTTTGTGAAATAATATTATAGTCAATACACCTTATTTTCATGGTTTTTTTTACACAACATTTATTTCTTTAGAAACAGAAAAAAACATGCCATGGACTTGGTTATGATTAATTCATATTATGATTAGTGTGATATATAAAGTATGACTACCTTTTTATCATGACTCCCTGTCTATAGCAACTGTTTTCTACAGGTCCTCTAGGTAGTTGGTATAGACAGGTGTGACTTTAAATGGATAAAGAATCCCAATATGAAAGGTCAAATGTAACCAAAGGATACCATTATGTGACATGAAAAGGAATTAGGATGTATGACATATTTGGTGGCATTCTAAAAATTGATTAATGTTACCAGTTAATCATAAAAAAATGAATAGGATGAATCTACAAATATTTCTGGTTATGGAACTATTTGAGCAGTTATTTCATCAGTAAACAATTACATTACAGGTTTATTGCTTAATGGATATACAAGTTGATATTAGTTTCTGCCATCATGTTATCACAACTTGTCGCAGAAGAATCAGGTGCTTCATGAATTATTTATGTATATAAGGGTATATATATATAATATATCTAAGTTCCAGTAATGATAATGATGTTGCTTAATAAGGTCATTTTGACATCAAATTCAAATAAGTGCAATATTTTCAATTGAAACTTCAATCAAAATTTGTGCCTGGCTTGGATAAACTTTTAAAGCATGAAAGGTGAAACCTGCCTCGACCACATATTTTATGCAGTGATATGTAATTAGGTCATTTTAATCATCTTCACTGTAAATTGTCTTAATGTGAATTTTGAAATTTTTATGAAACTTTATAGTGTCACCTGTATCATTCATTACGGGCATTGTAGTGTAAATATGTCATAATTCCAAGGCTAATATAAAAAAAATCAGAAACAAACATATGTCAGGCTTAAAAGGATCAAGCTTGTTTCACACATAACAGATGTAAATACTTGTTATTTTCAAATGACTTTGTATCGTTACCAATAATCTACTCTACTGATACAAGCTGACTTTTTTTTTGCATTTCTTTTATACAGGAGAATACGAGAAAAGTATCAAGCAGAAATGAAGGATTTGGAAAGATCTGAAATGCAAGCTTTAGAAAAATATAATGAAATGAAGGTATGTTTCCTCAGTTGTCAGTCTGAAATTTTATTTGTTTGTGTATAATTGATGTTGTGTTTTAGTGAAAACAATTGCATTTTACATTTTTTTCTTGTCTTTTTTTTCATTTATATGTAAGGGAAGGAGAGATCTTGTATAAAAACCACTTTGTCGATGCATCCATCTAACATATCTCATGAATTCTGGAACAGATTTGGTTCATATTCCCACCATAGCAATTGACCACCATGTTCTACACTTTATCAGATTTTGTTGGCATTTGACAAGGTTAAAGGCCAAAGGTCACCTTCGATGTGAGCTCTTGCTGATTTCCTTTTTCATAGGAAATTATTCATTAAAGTTGGTTACGATGAGGATACATTACATAATGATCCAGAGAAATGATTCCCAGAACTATTCCATGTAGATTTGAAATGAAATGGCTTCCAGGCAGCCATGTTGGATAAGATCCAACTTTCATAGAAACAATAAAGATCAAATAATGTTGGGCACCGTGATCCCTATGGAATCACTTGTATGATATATCCGGCATATTCCTGGACATTTCAGTATGAATGTTAACATCAATATATCTGTCATATTCCTGGACAATTCAATATGGCTGTCATTATCAATATATCTGTCATATTCCTGGACAATTCAATATGGCTGTCATTATCAATATATCTGTCATATTCCTGGACAATTCAATATAGCTGTCATTATCAATATATCTGTTATATGAACAATGCTGTCATTATGCAATGTAATATATCTGTCATATTCCTGGACAATTCAATATGTCTGTCATTATCAATATATCTGTTATATTCCTGAACAATGCACTGTGACTCAATATATTTCATACTCCTTGACAGTGCAATGTAACTGTTAATATCTGTCATATTCCTGGACAATTCAATGTGACTGTCTTATTAAATGTTGTAGTTTTTCTGCATTGGATTTTAATCTTTTTCCAGGCAAAACTAACTGAAGTTGAAGGAGAAAATGAATGCTTTAAAGTATATTTAAAACAAAAAGATCAAGAAATTGCTCAACTACAGCAAGTAAGTTTCCTTTGCTCATTTATATCTGACATAAAAATGTGGTGGACACACTCTCTAAGACACATAAGATATAACAATTGTATTCACATAAAAATATTGATCTTATCCTTGACTGTTGGAAAGTCATACTAATACAGAACATGATGTTTTGGGGAATCTCAGTTGGTACAAAGAAGGTTTTTTTCTTTTTCCCTCTTGGATTAATATTTATGACATGATTGATGTTGATGATTGACAGTTGTGTATTTGTGTCATAAATTGATACATATTGATAAATTTTCAAAACTGTTTCAGCTCACAGATAAGATGCACAGGGAGAGGGACCGTGTCTCAGATATTATTAGACAAGAATTTGCAGATCGACTTGTAACCACTGATGAAGAAAATCGTAGAATAAAGAATGAAATGTCTGAAATGAAAGCACGACATCGTATTGAGCTAGATAGAGCCAAGGATCAGATAGAAGAGGTCAAGAAACGCAAAGACGATGAAATGGAAGAAGTACACAAAAGGTACCAGTTCAATGAAAATATTCAACGTTTCAAGTAGGATAAATGAAGTTGATAAATCATGTACTACACACTTCATATTAGAATTTGGAGTATATGAAAGTTTGGGATGTTTAACAATTCAACATTCTAAAGATATTTTTTATTACTTTATCTTATGTTAAAGCAGTCAAACTTTTTTATGCCCAGGACATTTTATGGGAGTGCTTACCCTTGTCAATCTGTACCATCGCATTTTAAATCAGTGTCATATCTTGAGAACCTTGGAACAGATTTGTTTCATTTTTACCTTAGAGTATCAAAACATCAAATTCTACACCTTAGTGATTAGAGGTGATCATTAGTCAAGGTTGATTGGCCCAAGGTCACATTTGACAACTTATACAAACTTTCCAAACAAGGATACCTTGATATATATTTGTAAGCAGAGGTATTCACGTCTTCGATAATGAAAGAAAATAATTTCTGACTCAAGGATAAATATTGTTTGTGATGCTATTACAGAGTGAAGCAGGCCATTGTGAAGAAGGAAGAAGTGTTGAACCAGGTTCGACAACAGTATCAGGCTTCACAGAAAAGGGCAGACCATCTGGAAGGGCTTCTACAGCAACAACGCAAGCAGCTGCTTAACAAATGACATGTTCTGATGATAGCAGGTTGCAAGGAATATATTGTTGTGTAGACAAATGACATAACTTGATAGCATTAGAATCTATTTTAATTGTATGGCACCTTAAGTGATAGATTGATATTGATAATACCGGTAACTAGAACTTACCCTAGCTGCTTAGTCAACAGATATAGGAAAATATAAACACTAGAGGGCTAAGGTGACACATGGATGACTAATGGTATTGATGTGCCTAGAATACTGGAGTGAAGCTCATAGAGACTGAAATATTGACATAAATCAACTTACTGAGTAAATCTTAGAATCTGAATAATCAACATACAACAACCTGTGTAGTGAAGTATCCTAAGGACTACCACTATAATTAATTACTTACAGAGGGAGAGGGGAAGAAGGGGTTGTCATCTGGACTAATATCTGTCCATCTATGTGTTTGATATCAAAGCACTGATTATGTATGAAATAAATGTCATCCTAACCAAAGATATTTAATGGAATTCTGATTATCAGAACCATTCTTCAAATCCTCTTGAATCTTAGTCTTGCCTAATAACTTATTTAATGCAGTGCAACCATTTGTTTCTATGGTAACTGATACAAACTGTCCATATTTTTTCAGTTTGGTTTAGTTTTTGCCTGTCTAATGTACTACTTATATAATGATTACTGTGAAGAAAGTGCTAGAAACATTGTTGAAAGAGATGTGATACATAGATTTTTACGTTCACTCCAAATGCCTGAAATGTTTCTTTGTTCACATTTTTGGCAGATATTTACAGTGTAACACGTCCATATTCAAAACTTGCTTTCCTTAAACAGGTAAACCTCCACTGCTTTATAACACCAATAACCTGTCAGTTATGGACAGAGGTATTGGCTCCAGTACTATTTAAGTTACTCACTCATTTTTTATTGGGGAATTAGCACTGTGTTATGTCTTTCAGTCTAGATCACATCTAACCAATTTGATGTTTAAATAACATACAAATATGTCATTGAAACCTAAAGCTTAAGCAGTTCTTTATCATCACTAGAATATATTTGCCAGGACCGTTAACCTTTAAGCTAAGTGTGTTTGTACTTAATGATTTTTTTTATTTTTATAAAAATCTTTGTGTTTAGACCTTTAGTATCTGCAGTATTAAAAGTGTTGCAGCTTCTAAATTTCTTTTAGGCTTAAAGGATTTGTGAGGAAATCTTACAGATTTTTGACAAATATAGAAATCAATAAGTTTAGACTAAAACAGTTTCTATAGAAATCAATAAGTTTAGACTTAAATAGTTTGCTTTTGATGACTTTTGAAATTTTGGAAATTAAGAAAGAGTGAAAAATATCATGCACAAGATATTTCACTGTATTTTTTGTTGAAATAAGATATGGAATGTGATTGTTTTTAGTCAGTAGAATTAGTTTGCTTTAACTTTCCTTCACATTCAGGAATGGTAGATAAGTTCAAAATCAATGTGTTACTGACAAAATCATGTTCTGTTTTAAAATATATTAGTTTATGTAATTTTTCAAAATGAAAATCAAAGTAGCTTCCGGTGGTTTTGATCTATGTCCTGTGTACCCAGTAAGTTAACTAGTTATGATTTCTGCTTCTCTAGAGAACACTCGACTGGGAGTATTTACTCCTTTACGTAAACATTATTGTAATGTTGTTATTTATGTGTAGTGCTATGCACTTGTTGAAATCATCTGTTGCTGTGTAATCCTGTTAGATTCTATTGTAAGTGGTGCTTGTAAGTTTTATATAATCAAGAGAGGTTCAGCTCTGTATTGTGTAACTTCAGATGTGAAAAATGTGGTAGAAACTGTGAAATTAGGGAAACAGTAAGAGGTGAGGCGTGGTAGGTCCTTTACCTATTGTTTCTGTAGGCATTTCTGTTACTTTTGTATATTTACTATTGTATGTTGCCTTTGGAGATATCTTAAAATCTCTCATTGGTAGAAGTCTGTGATATATGCTCTAGATTTTACATATTTATTAAGTTTTAATGTCCAATGCTAATTAAATGTTTCTTGCATAAAGTATGACCTGTCAGTGATATTTTCTTACAAAAATATGTATATTTTAGCTCACATGGCTCAAGGTGTCAGTGAGATTATGCGGTGGCACATTGTCTGGTCAGGTTTGATTTCCTTTACACATAACTGTAATACCTAGAGTCATGATATATAACAAGTAACCTTCCACTTCAGTAAACATTCACAGTTTGACCATGGCTCTTGATGGTGAACAAACAACACCACCTTGTACAATCCTTGCCCTGGGATGGGGGTTTAGCAAAGCCAGAGTGGGGGTTGTTCATGATACACAAGTACAGGTTAACCGAATACTGGTTCACATTGACCCTGTTGGGATTAAGAGAAAACTTGAACAACTTTTTTTTCCCATTAGTTTTAGAGTCATGTTTTGAAGGCAATAATCAAATAATATCTTAGCATGCCTGTAGCTTGTTGATAAGATGTTTTAAAATGTTTAACTTTGATATCACTTAATTGCCAATACTCATGGTGTTTGGCACATAACTGGCACTAAGAGTGGTATCTACCTGTGAAAAACCTCTTGCAGTATACTGATACCTGAAAACATATTGTATTTTGCTTATATATATATGTATTTGAATGACTTTGACAAATTTATAAGGTCATATATGTGTACTAGTTTGAACATTGAGAAAAGGTGTCTTGGGGACTTTGTTTTTGCAGACAAACTAGTTCATTGGAACAGTAAATGTATCATTTATGACGTAAATTGAGGCAGATCTAATATTAAAACAAGCCTTAAAATGCTTAATCAAAGCTTTTCAGAAAGCAAATTAAAATTACTAGATCCATCCTTTCTTAAACCAACAACTCTGGTCCAACTGGTTAAACCAAATAAAAGGAAATGGCCCTGGTGAGTGGTTGAGGTAACTATACATTAGTATTCCACCTGTGTCAAGTTCATAGACCAAACTGTAGAAAGTGTGAGCATTTAAGTGCTGGTCTTGTTTCCAGTTTGACTCTTGCATTCATTGCTGTGGCTCTTGTCTGTTGAAGTAAACTTAATCAGTAAAATGCTGTTAGCTTCACAACAATTTACCTAAATGTTTTATGTCATGAATATCTAAGGTAAAAAGTAGCAGGAGTGACCTTATCCATTATCTGGGTACTAATTTAGTTTTTGTATTGGAGATCTGACAATAATCTGTTCAGATTTTCAGGAAACATTTAAAGTTAAATTTTGTTTCTATGTTTATCTTTCTGAAGGAAAAAAACAAATGAAATGTTCTGTCTCTGTTAGTGTTTTTGTTTTGTTTTTTCTTTGTTGATATTTTTATGTAATTAACTACTGCATGTTTTTTTGTGTATCTCTGTTTAAAGTTGTCCTGTTACTTTAGCATCAGACTGATGCAATGAAACAAGGTGTGTAGTTTGATCCTTACCTATGACAGGTCGTATTTGTCAGGATCATGAATGTCCAGAGCTGTCAGGGTTGTGTCCTCAGACCAGACGTTTCACTCATATTTTTTGTTCACAGCTAAAGTGTGTTGTATTAATTTTCATAATTAAAATTTTTTATGATTAATTCCTGGTTGTTAAAAAAACACTGAAAAATTCATTCAGAAATGTCAACTTTTTATTTATTTATTGAAGTGGTGTTAAATGTGTACATGTCCAACTTTACTTATTTTGTTTCTGTGCACCAGGCATATATGTATTTTTCATCATAATATTAAAATTTCAAATCTGAATTGGAGTCTTTTTGTATATAATTGTAAGTAATTTCTATTACAATCTAGAAAACGGCTGATTGTAATACAAAAATGACACCTGGCAAGGAAATTATTTATATTTGGATGAAACTTGGTAAAGATACTTCGATAACTGTACAAAAAATACAAACTTCTGAATATGCGCAGCATATTAACAGCACAAGAGAAATAAGTTCAAACTCTGTGCAAATAAAATTATGTACATGAGCAGCAGTACAGAAATCGCTCACCTTAATGCCCCTGTGCAATGATTTGCTTACATTGAGGATGGCTGCCTGTGCAATGACATGTTAGGAACTCTGCTTGTGTTAGCCTAGAACTTAATAAGGTAATTTTGTAAATTTTTAAGCTTTTAAAAGAAATTTCAACTAAATCAAAGCAATACCATACAATAAAATCACCTCAATGATAGCTGATGTTCAGAACCAAGTAAAGTTTGCTGATCTGATCATGTTGTGATTTGTTTATTTGCTAACTATTTCCAATAAACTTGTCTAAATTTGTATGTGATCTTGGTGGGCCAGCTGGAGATTGGAGCCTAAAAGAGGTTGCAGAATGCATATGCTAACAATTTACTGAATATATACATACCATTGGATTTTGCCAGCATTATGCTAAAATGATATCTTTAACTGCACAAGGTGAGGATCAAAATCTGTACTTATTAGCCCAGCCAGTAATTGTCATTACAAAATGTTCCAAATACTAAATGGAATTAGTTTATCATTGGATTTAACCAGACATTGCTGACAATCCTAACAAGGTGAGTATTAATCAGAATTTCTGTTGACAAGTCGCATACCTGCCACGTCTGCAGTTTATAAAAGTAAATTTGGTCATAAAATGTTTGGTTCCAAAGCCACAAGTGGGACAAATCAGATAAAGCGTTAATAACCAATGTAACTTCAGATGATGATCTGATCAGGGTGATTAGTTCAACACTCCTTATATCATTGATGGTTTGAGTTTCTCAGGAATGTCTGAGTGTGGTGACATGGTAGTGTTTTAGGCAAGACACACTTAAGGAACACTACCAGAATCTGAATCTATGGTTTCTTCTCCAAACTCAAACTTGTACAGTTTAAAACATGGAACAAACAAATTTCAAGAAAACCCAATACCTGTTTTACAATAATATGGAGTCAAATTTTTAATCTAAAACTGATGGAATTGAACTGTCTATGTCAGAGACGTATATAACACATATATGTTATATATGTCTCTGTCTATGTAATGTAAATATCCTGTACTTTTTATGTATATGATTTATTTCTTTGTAAAACTTATGTTTGTTAAAATCTAAAATAAAATAACCTTATATCACTTTGTTTCTTTAAAAAGCAGGAAAATGACAAAAATAGTAAATCCTTTGAACCAAATTCTTTTTCAGAGTTCCGGTCATAGTGCGTCTGTTCTTGTTGTTAGCATATCCCTGGTCCGCACTTTTCCATATTAAAACAGAAGGGTTCACGCCATTCGCTCAAAGTTTGGTTACATGGTTGACGCAATCATAATGTTTCACCATGTGCGAGTTAGAATCTCTCAGCTGTTATTGCCACTTTCGGAAACAGTACGAGTTCGTAATTTTTCAAAGCTGCAAGTGTCTGTTATTTCAAACGGTGGATTTAGCACTCCAAAATCGATCCTGGTGAAAGTGGTTCATGCTGAAAAACAAGAAAAACAATGCATCGATGGACGTTATTACACACCTAAGAATTACAAGAGGTTAACATTACACACTACCTGTCATTGGTCCTTGGTTTATATCAAAATCTATCAAACAGGCATGGGTCGTGAATTAAAAAAATATTATAACTACTAGCTCAGGCGATTAATTGTAAAACTAAAGGTGCGGCCCCGGTTCCTCAAAAGTTAGTGTGATTTGACAAGTGGTTAGTGAAAATTGTTTTATTACTACTACTGAACAACCAAGAGTGTTAAATATAAAACAATCACAATATATCTGACCTGTCTCAACAAATATACAGCTGTGAAATGATGAACCATTTTCAGAAATCTGACAGCTTGTGTTCTGATATAGTGAACATGTAATACATACGACACGTAAACATACCGGACACATGGGGACAAATTATTCCTAGATCAATATATGGTACTTGAGAAGTGGGTGGTTAAAGCAAGTAGAAAATACTTGAAACTCATTTTTTTGTTAAAAGAAGGGAAAAAATAAAAGATTTGTGACATGTTGGTAATTATCTTCATCTAAATCTTATCCGACTGGGGTACAGCTGAAATAATGCACACTGTCAAAGGCAGTATGCTAAATGTTGACGTAATGTTTAGGTCAGTATGGTCATTATGATGCCTGGTTACAGCTGTGAATATGACAGTGCCCAATATGCATTGTGTCAATTTGCTTCACATCTATATTAATGAAAAGCTGGAAAGAAATCAGGATGATAATGCAATTAATTTGTTACATGGAAATGATATGTATGCAGTAGTATATTTGTGTATATGCAGCTACACACCTGGGGATCCATCATTTGCCTATGATATCCTTCATAATGTCTTACTACTATTTCCTGCGAAGAACTTGGATATCATTCTCTTCATATTTATAAATTCCCCCTGTCTTTTGATCTACTATTTATTGAGCTATTGATAAAGTAAAAATCGACTTTTTGGATTCTAACTGAAAAGGCTTTTTGCCAGTGTTTCTTCGAAGAAATGGAGGGAACCTTTTTGCAAATTTCAAAAGTGTATGTGACAGCTTTCTGACTAGAAGGACTGTGTTGCATATGAAGGATGTGATAACTCTCCCTTCAGGTCCATTCTTACGTACTTGAAAGAATTAGAACTAAAGAGCATATTTAGAGAGTAATACAAAATGAATTGTCAGACTTTGATATCGGGGCATAGCCACAATTTTTCTAAGAATACTAATATATGATGTCCCCAATTTCTTTGTGATATGAAGTGCTGTAGACTGTAAGTATGTGTGATGATAAAATTGACGAAGTGGATGCGTCATGTTTTTACAGTAATTGAATATTATTTTTCACATACAATTTCCCATTCCTGTGTTTAGATCTACTTAGTTGTCTCTGATTGTGCCAAAGTTATGAGGATTTTTGGCCTGCTTTTAGAACATGACATAGACATTGTTAGCCTAACAAGTCTGTAAGACTGATAATTTCAAGATGTAGGAACAAGTTATTGCACTAGTGTTAGGGAACAGGCCTGTAGAAATAGAAAATATATTTAATCTAGAAAGAAAATTAGAAATACGTAGATCTATAAATGCAGTTGAAGTTCTACACCTGAATTCAATCTAAACTAGACTTGATGAATATGTATCTTTCTTTTACAGTTACCTGTTTAACTGCGGGGAAGGTACAAAACGAATTTATTCCATAAGCAAGTAAGTAAAGCTTGTGTTTCTGAGATAGAGTGAGTGAGAAAAAACAGATGGTCTGTTTATTTACTCATTTTCAAGGAAGTATGTCAAAGGTGTAGGTCACATTGAGTTCAAAGGTCATATTCCTTGTATATGTAGTAAGTTCCAACTTGGTGAAGGTAACGGTAGGTCTATTTTTCATCCCATTTGCAGCTGTGTGTATTTAGCCCACCATCATCTGATAGTGGGCTATTCAAATGCCTCTGCATCTGTGGTCCGTCCAGGCGTCTGTCCGCCATCTGTAAACAATATTTGTTATCGCTATTTCTAGATTGATCTTAAGCAAATTGCATATGTATGTTCCCCTTGGTCCCTAGTTGTACCCATTTGATTTTGGGAATGATCAAGAAAACAAAATGACCCACAGGCAGCCATCTTGGATTTTTTCAATGAAAACTTGTTATCGCAATTTCTTGAAAAGTCATATGTATGTTCCCTTTGGTCTCTCCTTGTGCTTGTTTGCTTTTGACCAGAAGAAAAAAATGGCTTCCAAATGGCCATTTTAGATTTGGAAGGTGAAGATTATCATTGCTGTTTCTGCAAAGGAATGTTCAAATGTCTTATCATTTAGAGCAAAAACAGAGGGGATAAGAAGGGAAAAGATCCAACTTTTAGGGCAAAGCAGTGTTATTAAGTTCTGTTTTAATTAATAGCTAAAGTAAGTATCTAGTCTATTACTTCTGACTTGCAGAGAGTAGATAATTGAATTTAGGATTAACAGTATTGTTTTGCTTACTACCTTCAGGTTAGTAGACTGAAAGTCAATGTTATGCTGAGTTACATTATCTGTATATCAAGAGATTTTAATCTACATTGATTCAACATAGCCTATGATTTTTTTACCTTTACTCCAGTTTACGGTGGTTTAGACTCTATACTTAAGTTTGAACACAGCATCTCCCAGTTTCACAATATTAGTAGTTGCAAATTCATAAGGAATTTAGAAAAAAAAAAAAAAAAACAAACAAATAAAACCCAGTTAAACAGACATTTGATATGAAATATCTTACTTGTCCATATCACCTTGAATTGAATTAAATGGTGGAGAAATATGTACCATTTGATTTACTTTCTTATAGATTGTCTTCCAACTTTATATTTAATTGTTAATGAAAGAAGTTTTATAATGTACACACTTTAAATATGTAAATAAGTTGTCAACTATTCATGAATTTTTCAGACACAAGAAGAATGCCATTGAAGATATTTTTATTACGGTCACAAATTGGGAGAATTTAGGCGGATTGAAAGGTATGTACCTTGTAAGTTCTGATAGTACTGGGACATACACTTTAAATCAGTTCTTCCTGTCAACATCCTGATGATAAATGTCCAACACTTGATGTCTCCTTTGTGGTGTCTTGATAATTACCAATGATAGGTAGACATTCATCTGAAGTTATTTTTCAGAATATCAGCCTTGCTCCAAATTAAAAAAAATTGATTAGGTGAATGTCTCCAGAATGGGATTTGAGGTGTTGAGAACATACTGAATGGTGTATAAAACTGATGTTGAGGTTAAGGAGTAGATATACTTGTACAATTTAGTTAGATTATGATATGACACAATTTTTATATTGATTACTGATTTCCATAAAATTATTGAAATTTATCTTACCAGGGTTACACATATTGCGTGGACATTAATTCATTCTTTTATTATGTATACAGGTTTATTTACTGAACGAGTCAAGTATTTTGAAGGTGAATTCTTCCGTAAAGAGCTTAAGTTATATGGTCCAGAGTTAATGGTAAGACTATATTTTATCACATATTAAGTGTTAGACCCTCACACATGTACTAAACAAACCACAGTGCATATAATGTTATTCAACCATTAAAAGAAGACAAGACTTTAAACACGGTTTTCCTTGGGGTACAGAAAAATTGGAAAGAAAACTATTAGCAAATAAAACATTTGAAGATTTAGTAATAGTTATAAGACTACAGGGCCATACCTGGTCTTCTTATACAAGTTTCTTTATGTCTAAGTGCGTAAAATAGTATATCATAACAATGCTGGTGTTTGGGGTTTCATCTTAGGTGTCCTATTCTACTAATATACAGCATGACAAAGAAGTGAAGCACCATTTTGAATTTGTTACAGAAAACAATACTCTACATACAGAATTATCTTGCTTTGTTTTGCTGGGTTTATGACCCGTAGACAGCCAGGGTGATTTTTAGGTGGGGTCTCCTTGTGGTAGCTGGTTGCTACCTCCCTGAACAACATACAGGGAGGCCCATTATATTCTATCCAGAGTAATAAGGGTAAGGTGTCTTGCCCAAGGACGCAATCACATAAGCAAAAAACTGGTCATTTTCTCAGCTTCCAGGGAAAAGCAAACCAGTACCATGCACATCAGATCTTCATCAGACATTGCATAGGTCAACATTCTAACAGACTGAGCTATTGCAGCCTTTCTGAAGTATCCTTTGTGTATGTATCAAAGAAATGATGTTTTTCTTTTTCATTGTGAATACAAATAAAGGAGAGAGAGAGAGAAAAAATAGAATTAAATCTGAGAAGTATTTTCTAGCTCTCAGCTGAGTTATAGAAACCATATTCAACATTCATCAAAGGAACTGGTCAATCTGACTTGTATACTATTATACAAGTCAGATTGACCAGTTCATTTGATATCAATGCTTAAACTGAACATTATTTACAGGAGGAAGGTAGGACTAATTCTAATTTTAAATTCATTTGTGAAATCAATATTTGACTTTTTCATGAAAATATCTGTTTTTATTCCAACAGTTGGACCGCTTCTATGTTGGTAAAGCTCCAGTTTACAGTGAGTATGCCATTGTTACATAGGGTACATTCTAAACCTGGTATTAATGATGCAGTGTAGGTCCTCTTTAGCACTCTAGTTCATGCATATGCTCAATACACATTACAGTGAATAAGAAATTGTCTTTGAGAGTTTCACCATTCATTTAATTGGCAAGACCGACATGTGTTATTTGATGAGACAGACTCATGTTTCTTGGAAAGACTTAAAAATATAACTTCAACTGAACAATATCCTCCATTCAGCTGTACTATACCTGGACACATATACCATTTACAAGTATGTGTACTGTACCATGTATAAAATGTTTTCTTGTCAGAATGAAACATGGTACCTGTATAGTTGTGGGTGTCATGATACCTTTAAAATTACTTTTATTGTTGTCAGAATATACATTTGAAATTGTCCTTAAAATGAAAGAAATCAGTATATCTGAAAAAGGTAGTGCAATGTTATTGTTCTGAATGTAAGGCATTTAGGTCATCTGACACAAAGATAGTAATTTTGTTTTGTCCATTGTCATGTTCCATGCATAAACTTTTTTCACATTTTAAACTTCTCAAATTCCATCAGTGGGGTCCAGCTCATATTTTCCTGAAATCACCCTGAGATCTGTTGATTATTGATTCTGATTTTTCTAAAAAAAAATGTGTATAATTTTTTGATACCATTGATGTTTTTAAAGGTTTGGTAAATGCAACAATGGATTCATTCCATGAAGATGAACATGTACAGATAAAGTTCATACCATTTTTTCCTGAACTGTCTGATGAAGATTTTAAAGGATATCCACCCAGCGTTATCGATGAAACAAAAAGTGGGTATACTTGATTATTGTCATGATAATATGAAGTTACAATGGCCTCTTATAAATGAAGATCAATTAAACGTATTGAAAAAAAATGCCCTTTAATCTTTGTTTAAAATTCTATGGCTGTTGTTATGTTACCCTAACTTACACCTAGTCCTTAATATGTATTTAATTCTAATGAACCTCTATACTGTATCATTACTAATGCGTAATTTACCAATAGACTGGAAAATTGAAGGAGTACAACCAAAGATGAAGCGAAGAATGTCCTCCATAGTGTACATACTAAAGGTGAGAGCTACCTTTCTATCTGAGAGACTTGCTGTCAGTTTAAAGTCTGATTACATATGAAGGTGAAAGGTCAGAGTTGTTAGCTCCTTAAACTTCCTGGAATGGTTTCTGAACATTGATTCAATGAAAGGTAACCAGCCTTGCACCTCATACATTCTCTGTGTATGATGTATTAGTAAAAGCTCCAGGTCAGCGATCCTCCTCTCCTTCATTTGATTTTGTGCTTTCATTTCTATTATACGAAACATTAATAAGGGTCATGTACACATCCTATCAAAGATTACAAACATGACATATTATTTTGTTTGAACAAAGTGATATGTAGTTAAGATTCATTTTTAGGATACATGATAATATCCAGAATTGTGTTGGTTTTCAATTCATGGTAAATATTTCTTTGACAGTTGAGAGGTGAAAATAACACTCAGCCAGCTATCATGAGTAAGTACATCAGTTGAATTAAGAATGATCTACTCTTTCTAAATATCAAGAATGAATCATATATATGATGTATTGATGATCCTGACTGATATTTTGATCTGTGTGAGTTTAAAAATGGTTATGTCAGGAATTTTAGTTATCAGTCCTTCAACTGCTTTTTTTCCTTGTAAAGGAATAGGGAGCTTTATGTGTTTTGAAACTTTTTCATTTTTATCCCTGTAAAGAAGTTTATGTCAGTTTCTAAGAAGATGTTTGGTCTGTAGCAACCAGATTGTTGTATAACTAGACAAAATATGTGGTGTAACTCAAAATCATGATAAACATGCTTGTTGATCATAGAGATTTTCAATGTTGTCTTCGATATTGGGTTAAATACCTGAATTTTTTATATGGAAAACCCCCCCTTTTTTTACTCATTTTATTTGAATTTTTTCTCTCATTTTTCTTGTGTTTTTGGACTTCATTTGTCATTTTGAGATTTTGAGAGGGTCAAAGAGGGATCAAACAGTTGATGGAAATCTTGTTGCAAATGAAGAACAAATAACAGAACTCATGTAGCTTGTACTAAGACAAAATGTATATTTTGGCTTTTCTAGTACTTGATTGCCCAGATAAGAGGTACTTAAGCAGCCTGTTGGAGTCAGAAGATTTGAAGAAATACCAAAGTGCACAGGGAACATACGTATTCCACTTATCTCCTACCAGTGTAGTAGAAGATCCTAGATACAAAACATTCATTGACAGGTAAATTGAAATGTATATCTTTGATTTTGCTGTGAAACACAGATATTACCTAATTGTTCTCTTTTACATAAAGCTAAATATCAGTCTAAAAACAAGTACTTTTAAGTGGGTATTCAGTATGGTGATGTCTGTCCTCTTCTTTCTTCAGATTTCATAGTTCAAACGAACATATTCATGTGAAAGAAACGCAAGAACAGCCATTTCACTATCCAATCAGCACTATCCAGACTGCTCTTAATGAATTGGACAATCATGTTTTCCCTCTGCTGCCTTCCTCGGCAAACCGGAATGAACACAAATATACTGTATTACGAAGTAAGATGAATAAAGACAAAGTACTGTCAATGACAAGTGGAAAAACTCTAGAGTTTGCCAACAACTCTGTCAAAATGATCAACAATTTCAGGTTGGTATAAGCATGCCCAGGCATCCAAAATGTAACAAAATCAATAAAAGTTTGTAATTGTCAGGTATCCTGGTGACAAATAGTTACATGAATGTAAGGATGATTGACATGGGTTTGTAAATATCTGGTATCCAGGCGACAAATAGCTACATGAATGTAAGGATGATTGACACAGGTTTGTAACTATCTTGTATATTCCAAAGGGCCAAGTGACCTATTGGCATACCATGGTGTTTCTGGTCCGTCAATTTTTTCAACATATTGCTACTAGCCATGAGTAACTGAATGTATTTCGACCAAATTTTGTCAGAAGCATCCTTTGGGAAAGTAAAAAAAAATTTGTGTAAATAGTAGGTATAAGCCCCCAAGGGCCTTAGGGGTAGGGTCAAAATTTGGTATAAATGGTTGGTCTCTGTCCCCTGGGGCAAGAGGGATTGGGCCAACTAGAAAAAATAATTCAAATTCTTTAAAATCCTACTCATTCTATAGGGATGATTGGGTTTGACCAATTTTGTCTTAAGCATTCTTTGGTAATGGGTAATCAATTTTGTATAAATAGTGGGTCTTAGCTCCCTGTGGTAGATAGAGCAATGCCAAAAATTCAAAATAGAGCAAATTCTTAAAAATCTAATTCTCCTGTAGGAATGATTTGGTCTGAAGTATGAATGGTTTCGTTGACCCCTGGGAAGTTTTCCCTTGTGTGCTTGGATATTTTAGAATTACTTTTCCTTTAGTTTTAATGAAGCAATTTCACTCAAGCAAAACCTGATGAACAATCCAGGCCCTATGGGCTTCTTATTTTCTTTGCCTGCACTCGAGCATCTTCATTCCTTAAGAGACTTTCATCAAATCACACTTAAAATGACCAGAATATCTTGGACAAGTTTGAGTTTCCGGATTGGTAGGTCAAGGTCAAGGTCAAGGTCACTTAATATTTTTAGAAATTTGTTGTAAGCACTCTAGCAGCTTCACTCCTTGAGGAATATTCACCTATTTTTACACATTCTTTAAACACTTACATATGTGGAACAAGTTCAAGTTGTGGGTTGTTGGGTTGAGGTAAAGGTTACTTACTGTATTTATATTTTTTGAAAATCATTGTCATCACTCTGATGGCTTCAATCGGAAAGAGATTTTCATCAAAATTCACACACTTTGAAAGCACAAGTTCCAGTTTCAGGGTTGTTGGGTCAAGGTCAAGGTCAGCATTACTATTGCTCTAGTGATTTCATTTCTTACAGGATTTTGACCAAACCTCACACACTTACAAATGACTATAACACATTGTTACACATCAGTAATACTTGTCATACTTACTTATTGCTTTGTTCCATTAACATAAGTTACAAACTAATTGTATATTTTTCTTTTTTCCAAATTCCACCAGACAGTACCACCTTTATATGGTGTTATGTAAATGAAGTTTAAATATAACTAATGATTTATGTATGTCAGTGATGATGGAAGAAGTTATCATATTTAAATTGACCTTTCTGTTTTATAATTAGGGATGTAGCTGTTTCTTATAAGAATGGCATCCAGAAATTACAGAATGCTGATGAGAAATATCTTGGTTCAGTCAAAGAATTTGTAAAAAAACAAAAGCGAGATAAAGGTACAAAAAAGTCTTATTTCTTATGTAAAGCATTGCATTACTTTGTGTTTGTGCTGGTTATTCAGGTTTTGGACATAATGAAGGAGTTCTGGGGCAATCATTTCAAACTATTAAATGATTGTGTCTCTATTACATTCATTTGTCAAGTGTATTACATTTGTGTCATTTAAACTCACGTCAAGTTGAAAGTTTAAAAATGTCCTTGAATTCTGATAACTTTACATATACTTAAATTTGGTAGTGCATTGATATTACTTGATAATTCATTATGTTATGCTTTGGAAACAAGATTGATGTCCCTTCATTTCCAGTTAGTTTGAACAAGTCAGTAACACTGCCAACAAGTTCCATTCTTGATAGTTTTTACTGAAAATTTATAGTTAAAGATGAGAATACTTGGAAGGGTGAAGATACATCTATTTATGATCTACAGAACATTTCTTCTGAAAACACATGGCTTTGTGTGTCTACATATGCAAATGTCATGTAGATCTTGCTGTATGGATCATCATTTGTAGATAGTGTCTACTGACTCAAGGATTTTTGTTTTGCTATGATGAAGGAATGGAAGCAAGACTTAGGTGTTATTGTTTTGTTTGCATTTGAACCAAACATTCATCTAGATCAGTTTCTGAGAAAATAAATGACCAAACTAAAAGATACTTTGATTAACTCAAATTAGGGCAAAATTTGAGATAATGAGTATTGCAGACCATTTTAGTTGACTTTGAGAATTATCTACAAATCTTCATAAAAAAATTCTGATTCACATTCCTTCAACAAAAAAAAGTTATTTGATGTATTAAACAGGCTTGTAAAGGATTTAATCAGAATCTGTTTTTGTGTAATTAACCAGTCATTACAGACATTGTTATTTTAATGAGACAAAACAGGGACTTAAAGATATATAATTTTGTGGAGTTCTTGTCATCATATGTTTGTACATAAGAGAATTGAAACATAATAGATATACTTGTAAATTTTCAGTGGTATACCCAGTTATAACATTCCTAGGGACTGGAGCTACAACATCCACCCTGTTGAGGAATGTGACAGGAATATACTTGGAGATAGAGTAAGTTTCAAGGCTGATGACTTTATTCTCTGTATTTAAGAATCTTTCACTCTCTTGGAGATTAATGGAAAACCTTTCACTGGTAATAGCAGATAGAGAAGTAGGTATTTTGTTTTACTGGGAATGGTAGATAGATAAATAGGTATCTTTTATTGGTAATGGTGATAAAATGGATATTTTTCACTGGAAATGGTAGATAGATAAATACATGTAATAATAGATAAATAGCAAACATTTCACTGGTAATGGTTATAAATAGGATGTGTTTCACTGGTAATGGTTATAAATAGGATGTGTTTCACTGCTAATGGTTATAAATAGGATGTGTTTCACTGCTAATGGTTATAAATAGGATGTCTTTCACTGCTAATGGTTATAAATAGGATGTCATTCACTTGTAATGGTAGATAGATAGATAGGAGATCTTTCACATTCTGACACTTTCTTCTGCCTTACAGCTCATTGCATTGTTTTCACACATTTTAGCCCAGACGCTGCCATTCTGTTGGACTGTGGAGAAGGCACTTTCATGCAGATGTACCACCACTTTGGTAGTGAGACGAGCAAAATGCTAAGAAAACTCAAGTGCATCTTCATTTCTCATCTACATGCCGACCACATTGTGGTTAGTGTGAGCCAATAGTTCATACTTTGCTGAGTTAATTAGTAGCACTTTAGTTTCTATGTGAAATCAAAATTTTAATATTTTGTTTCTTGATGTGAAACTATCTACCGGTATATGAATAGCAAGCATTAGTTTTTAAATTTTTTGTTTTTTTGTACAGACTGTACCATTGTACCATTTTATCAGTAGAGAAATCAGAATATTCGACCAATGCTTTTGTTTTTCACATAGAACGAAGAGTTTTAAGAAAAAAAATTCTGAGTTTCAATTTATTTGTATTGTTCCAGGGTTTAGCTAGTATTCTTAAGCAGAGACACTTGGCATTTAAGGAGATTGGAGTTCCAGTGGAGCCTGTTGACATCATTGGAGAGGATGACATGACCAGTTTAATCTATACCATAGAATACTTTGTACCTAATATTTTGCAGGAGACAGTGTAGGTTTATAGAAAATCAGAATATTTTGACTTGTGGTCTGCTTTCATCAGCAGCAAAAAGCTTGTATAAGATTCCTCATTTAGACTCAACAGATTTAGATCATTTAGTCCTTGTATACACCATAATATTCAATCATTTAATTTCTACAACATGGTTCACTGGTCAAGATTAAAGAAAGGACATACCGGACAATTTCTGCAAAGAAAATCTAACACTTGTTTATATTCACATCATGTTATTGGGAATTGAGAGTTATACACCTAATCATACCCAAGCGAAGAAGTTTTGGGGTGCGGGTATACTGGAATCACCAATCTAGATTAAGTATACACCGTCAACTTCTGCACTTCATTAACTTTTGGTGGTCATCAATAGTCAAGGTTAGTCTCAACTTCACCAGCATAGTCAGTTCAGGTCCAAGATGTGCATATCTCAATATGAACTAGTCTGAATTTCAAAATGGCTACCAGCAGCCAGTTTGGATTTTGGTATTGAATTTTGTGATGGCAATTTACTGCAGGCTGCGACATATACTGTACACCAGTTTCGCTCTATAAAAATTTAATGATTTTAAGGAGGTAGTGGAAATTTCACTACTCCTGACTGGAAAAGTGTCACTTAGGGTAAAGACAAACTTTAGATTGATCCAAAACATATCTATTTATTATGGGGCCAGAGATTTCCCCCTATACAGTAATAATCTGAAGATGGCTGCTAGTAGCCATGTTGGATTTTGACATTGGAATTTTGTTATTGTTATTTCCTAAGAACTAATGTAGTGATCGTCATCAGATATTGTGGTTCAGGTAGGGTCTTAATCATGTATGTCACATTGTAAACTTTCTTGGACATTCAAGATGGATGCCATTTTGAATTTGATACTCGAAGTTATTCAGTCTTTCTAGGTCACCATAACAGAATCTCAGGGTGACCTTTTGTGATACCTTTTTGTTCGGCATTGTCAGTTGTACGTCAGTAAAATTATAACTTTTTCTACTTCTTCTGGAAAACCCCTGAACTGATTTCACTGAAACTTGGTAGAAACCATATATGGCCAAAGATTTACCAAAACTGTATATTGTATGGTCCCCTGAGGGATGGAGCTAAAACGGTCAAACTGACATAAATTTCAGAAATCTCAATATCCAAATATGGTTGAATCAAGTTGTGGATGAAAGGACCCTAAGGTGTTTAACCAAAATTGTTAACTTTAATACTCCCAGGGTCTTGCATTTCCCCTTGGGAGGGAGTAAAGTTTACTATAGTTTATATAGGAAAATTACTTTTTTGAACATAATATGTTTATTTTTATTGGAAAAAGATCAAACTTGGTTAGAATTGTTGGTATAGAATGAGAATTTGATGTAATGCACTTATTGACCCTAGCCAAAAAGGGTCAAATTTACAGAAATTTCAAAAGTTTTGGGTAAAATCTAACACTCTTCATGGATGGAAGGGACATAAAATAAAAATTCTCAATTCCTACACAAATAACATTTCTCATCTGTATACTACATTCACTCCCGTTGTTTGTGAGTTAACTCGGGTTACTATTTAGGCCCCCTTGGCCTCTTGTGTATGTATAACTGATAGTGCTACAAATCTTACTAAGAACAATAGATCATAGATTCATCAAATTCACCATGAATATCTTCTGCATTACAAACATTGCTAACTATGACATTACGTAGAACTTAGGGATTGACTCCAAATATCTATTTACAACTGAAATAAAGTGTTTTAAATGTAAATTTCTGCATTCCCTTTCATAAAAACAATTCATTATGATTTACTAATGTGACTGTAGGATGATTGGCCCTGAGGATCCTTGGTTTTCTGTTCAGGACTGAATACTGTAGCTCATTTTTATCTCTTTTTAGTTTACATGTATCAAGGAACTTCAGATCAAAAAGGTACATGTCAGAAATTCATACAAAACTGAACTTGCAAGAGGTAAGATTTCGCAGTTTTATTGACATCAAGGGGGCATTGTGTCTTAACAGCATTCACTATTTTATTTTTTATTTTTCATAAATGTTGGTTACTGCTAATAATAACTTATTTTAGTGACCTACAAGTTAGGACATTTCATTGACCTTGACGTTTTGGTAATGTTTTGGGTTTAGTCAAGGTCATTACATTGACATCAGTAAAACTTGCCATCTTGACTTCAGACTTGCTATCAGTTGTGAAATTGGATCCTTGCGTTTGTTGAACTGAAAGGAAGGAATAAAAACATTAATTACTAATGCAGCTAATGCATTATTCAGACAGATGTTAATGAGTTTGACTGACTATTTAAGTGGTGTGTTACATCTCAAATGAATTTGTATCAGTATGTGGTATTAGTTGTGCCATTACTTTGCCTCTTTCCTGTGTTAATCGGTATTCATGCTTGTTTTTCAGTTGACAACTGTTAAAGCTCTACACAACTTTGGTCGTGCACATTCTGTTTCCATCAAACATGACAGTGGTTGGCACCTAGTGTTTTCAGGAGACACCATGCCATCCGACAGTCTCATTAGGCTTGGTGAGTTCCCCTCTCTTCTTGTTGAATAATTTAAAGGCTGCTTTAGAACAAACATTTCTTATTGGGTACAGGCCCATGTTCGGCATCCCATCCTCCTATTTTTCACATCTCCATTCAGCATTATTGTAAAAAGAAACATTGAATAAGAACTCATGCATAATGTCAGTTTTGTTTAAACTGCATTTATCTGTACACCAGAATTATTAACAAAGACCATTAGATAATTTTTACTTTTGTGCTGCTGTTTAGTGTACAACACCATGTCTACGTACCTAATTGTGATATTATAATGACCTGTTAGGTGTAGAAGATGTGTGAAGTATAGAGGGAAACAGCTCTTGCCCCATTACTGGTAAAATAGGATACATGTTCTCCGGTAATTAAAAGAAAATAAACATTAAGTGTTTAAAAGTGATTCAAATGGGTAGAAAGTAAGTTGTGATACCTGCTAGAAAAAAATCCTTAAATTTGTTCACTCGGTAGAAAATCTGTTTTTTATTGGACAGGTTTTAGATGTGACATACTAATACATGAAGCCACCTTTTCTACACAAGCTGCAGCTGGAGCCAAGAAAAGTCATCACAGGTAAACATTATCATTATTCACATTAACTAGCTATGAAATGTTTTGAATCTTTCCAAGTAATTCAGAATGATTCCTTGTCAGTTTTACAGCCAGCATGCAACTAGTCAAAGCCAGGAACAGTTCAACACTTGAAAATACTAACCTTTTGAGATTTTAACATCACTCTTTCTGACAAGTCAATTTGCAATGAAAATGTTATATTGCATGGTCACATAACAGTGTACCATGCAATGATATTTTTTCTCTTGAAATATAACAGAAAATGATTCATTCAATTACAAATAGAGCAAACACAGCACATGATGTAATAAACAAAATCATACCACAGAATCTTAAACTTTCTTTAGGAAAAATATTTTAACAAGTCTCTGATTTCAGTACTGTAGAAGAAGCAGTGACAACGAGTAAACGTATGAAAGCCAAGAAAACCATCTTAACTCACTTCAGTCCACAAACTCTACTGGATGAGAAGAAGTTGATCTTATCACAGACTGATTTAACGATTGCAATGGACCATATGAGGGTAAAATTAGTTTTTGGAAGGAAGAAACAAAACATTATATTTTATCATTAATGCTTCAGTTTTTAGTTTTAAAAGTGTGTAATTACACCAATAATTAACACTATTGTTAATTGTTTTTTGTTCTTACCCCATTAGCAGCTAGCTCGCTACAGTAATAAAATCTCCTAAAAATCTGCCATTTTTCCTACAGGCTTTTCTTGGTGCCTACTTTTATAAGTCGGTGATATTTTGTCAATTTATCAGGCTTTCTGAGAAAATGCTGGCATGTTTTATCCAAGTGATCCTAAATGTTATCATTCTTTTTATTTCAGCTTCAAAGGAGTGATCTGGAATACACACCTCTTTTCAATCCGTTTCTCCTGGAGTTATCAAATTATACGTTCTACAGATGGCGTTAGATGACCTGATGATAAGTGAGATCTCAATGTATACTATAGCACAGGTGTCAATGAACATTAAAAATACACTAGTGTCCATGAATGGTGTATCAATACAGAGATGTTTGTGAATCCTGTTACCATACAAAGAAGTCCATGGATGGTGTTACGATACACAGATGTCCATGGATGGTGTTATGATACACAGACGTCCATGAATAGTGTTACGATACATAGACTTCCATGTTTGGCGTAACAGTACACCAAAGTCCATGGGTGGTGTTATGATACTCAGAGATCCATGAGTGGTGTAACGATACACAGAGGTCCATGGATGATGTAACAATACACTGGTGTCCATGAATGGTGTTACAATACACTGAGGTCCATGGATGATGTAACAATACACTGGTGTCCATGAATGGTGTTACAATACACTGAGGTCTATGGATGATGTAACAATACACTGGTGTCCATGAATGGTGTTACAATACACTGAGGTCCATGGATGATGTAACAATACACTGGTGTCCATGAATGGTGTTACTATACACTGAGGTCCATGGATGATGTAACAATACACTGGTGTCCATGAATGGTGTTACAATACACTGAGGTCCATGGATGATGTAACAATACGCTGGTGTCCATGAATGGTGTTACAATACACTGAGGTCCATGGATGATGTAACAATACGCTGGTGTCCATGAATGGTGTTACAATACACAGACGTCAATGAAAGGTGTTACAATACACAGACGTCCATGAGCGATGTTACGGTACACAGAGGTCCATTATTAGTGTAACAATACACTGGAGTCCATTATTGGTGTTACCGAAGCATCTTGACAAGACTTCAACAAATCATGGTTTACACATGTCGATGAATGTGTTACATCAAACTTTGCATATAACTTGCCAATTTCCATATTTTGTGAGTTGCACCGCACAGGTGTCCATGTTGTACACTCGTACAATTTATAGTTACACTAGTTAGCCTATTGTGGGAGGTCCTGAAGACCCAGTAAGTTTCGCACCTCCTGTGCATGAAACAATCAAGATCAAAGCTAAACCTGTGATATTATTGTGAACTTCAGTCTTACAATTGTGTTAGTCTTTTTTTTTTATCTTAATGAGGTCATTACTGTTGGACATTAATTATGAAATATGGGTAATATGAATCTCCAATATTATCTTCCTACCTCAAAGATGAATTTTTACAGTGATGATGCAGGGATTTGAAATATGAGAGGATATATTCGTGTTTACACATCTTACCATATTCAGTGACATATTTGCTGATTATTCTCTTAGTAATGTGCATTACCGGTAAATGAAGATTAGGGATTGCAATTTTGATTTGTTTACATTAATGGCAATAACCTGTTAACTTTTCATAGGTGATAACACACAGTTCCTTTTGCCTGCTTGTAATTGCTATGAATAAACCATATCTTACCACAAGATTGGGGCTCAAAGACCAGAATTATACAAAATAATTTGATCTGTTTGTCTTATAACAGGCTTAACCAGCATGCCACCCACCATTCAGATTAATATTAGATATATTTCATTTAAGCATTACAGATTTTAATATACAAGGACATCAGTCAGATACATATATGATATATTGAAATGTCCAACCTAGTCATATTTTAACATTTGATTTCTCAATTTTAAGATATTTGCAATGAGTCATATTTACAGAGAGATGTATTATGTAGAGTACCAATCGAACTATTTGCGCTGTGAGATGTCAACAACACTTCTTATTTATTTGTATTATTTATATGTTTTAATGATGTATTTGTAATAAATGGAACTGTAGAGAAACAGTCAATATAGTTTGGTTCATGTATGCTTAAAACCAATCATGATAGTTATAGTCAGTTTCAGAAAAATGTACCATTGGTTCATATATAATTTACTGTACCATCATGATAGTTCTAGTCAGTGTTGGAAATATGTATTCTTGGTTCAAATACAACATACCAGTCATGTACCAATAAAGCAAGGACAGTTATAAAAAGGCTCACCAGGAGCTTGGACAAGATGGAAGCTGTTGGAGCAGAAACTTACATGGTATGATCTGTGGCACAAGAGACATATGAGGATTTAATTCCTGCAATGATTGATTTTTGACGCTCTACCTTTACCGGGAATTAGCCGACATTCTTGTGAGATAAAAAAGAAAAGGAAGCTGCAGACAAGGTACAAACCATCATTCATACGGTTGTAAAAGCAGGGGAGCAGGAAAATGATGCTGCAGCAGAAAACACTGACAATTGGGGAGAGGAACAGTCATGGGAGATGGGAGTAGACCTAGAGAAGAAACAGGTGTTTCTGGATGTAATGCAGACAACATATGTCCAGATGTGTTGATAGGACCCCATAATCCGGGCAGATATTAGTCATCCAGCTGATTGTGCCCTGGGAGGAGTGATGTGACCAGGCTAATGAGAGGAAATGAGCATGCAGAACTCATGATATTGTGTAGGGAGGGAGAGTGACTTACTTGATCGTTTCCTGTAGAAGTAGGATGCAGAGAGTTCCCAACAACCTCAGCCTGGAGGACACTATAGACTTTGGGTGTATATGAGAAGACTGGTAAGATGGCAGTGTGCAGATTAGCTGAGGCTGCGGAACGTGCATCATGCTGGTTGTGGAGTAAACTGGAGGAGACTGGAGGCCATCCAATGATGTTTAATGAGTTAATTGCCACTGTCAACCCATCAACATGAAGACGTTCCAGGACAAGGTTTGAAATGTCTAGAGGTTGATGAACCCGACTGTTTAGGTGCACAGTTAAGCCGGTTTCAGAAAACTATTCGAATGGATGCTAAATAGACATTTTGCCTTACTGGACTTGTCAGATACTATTAACAAATTTTAATGAAATGGCACTGAAATTAAGTTGATAATTTCCTTAACACATTGATAGCTTATAAGTATGCAAGGACATAGTTTAATACTACGTGCAAACAGCTAGATGGAATTGCTGCTACACCGCCGACGTCCTCAGCCAAGGCCATCCTTCATCGCGTGTTTCGACCCCTTACTCGGTACACTCTCAGGATGAGGGGTCCACAGTGGTGACCAGTCTCTGCGTGTCGGTGGTGGGTCTCCAGCTACTCTCGTCCCCCTTCATCCAAACGCAACAGGATGCCCTCTCTGCTGCCTGGGTGAGCCGCTGCACTGCCCTTCTTCTAGTACAGCCGGTAACACCCAATGCACTGAGCATTTTCCAAACAGATGCTGCTGGGAAGCCTCTACACCCAATCTCTACCGGGAAGTTCCAAGTTTTCCAGCCTTTCTCCCTGCATTCTGCTAGTAGCTCTTCATACTAGTATGCAAGGACATAGTTTAACAATTCAAAAGTGACAAACTATCAGTAAACTATATATAAATTGTATTTTATGTTTTGTTCGCCATGGTGATTAGTGAAGATGATTTATTGCAGTCTTGTACAATCCTTCAGCCGTTTAAGTTAGTTCTAGGTGATTTAGATTATGATGACAAGGCAAAGAAAAAGAAGGCAAACAAATAGAAGCACATGGCAATGTCAGCTTTACAATAAATATTTGAATGTTAAAGTTTGGTATTTCATCTGAAGAAGTCTTGGGGCCGTACTGGTTTGAGAGAAAAGAGAAATTACTGACAATGCCTAGGCATCAGATATAATAAAACACTTAAATATCTTCTGATGAACTGAAGTTTGTAACATATTTGACTAGTGGCCTCCTGTCACTGGCTCTGAAAATCATTTGGATTCACCTCATAAAAGGGGTACAAGTATAATATAGCTTATTGACGAACAGTCTCTATAAACAGCAGTGTTTTCTCTCCACAACTGTGGTGGCATGACTAGCTTGTATATGGAAGAGCAGAATACTAAATACAGGTAAGTTTTCTATCTATTACACAAAACAAACTCCTGTACCAGTATTTCTAACTTTATTTTATAACTGTGAATCACGCTAAAACATGCTTCGGTCCATCTTCCAAACCAAAGGCTCAGTACTCCACAGAGTTGGTGAAAGGCTCAGCACTCCAGAGAAATGGTGAAAGGCTCCGCACTCCACAGAGTTTGTGAAAGGCTCAAAACTCGAAGAGTTGGTGAAAGGCTCAGTACTCCACTGAGTTGGTGAAAGGCTCAGCACTCCACAGAGTTGGTGAAAGGCTCAGCACTCCACAGAGTTGGTGAAAGGCTCAACACTCCAAAAGAGTTGGTGAAAGGCTCAGCACTCCACAGAGTTGGTGAAAGGCTCAACACTCCAAAAGAATTGGTGAAAGGCTCAGCACTCCACAGAGTTGGTGAAAGGCTCAACACTCCAAAAGAGTTGGTGAAAGGCTCAGCACTCCAAAAGAGTTGGTGAAAGGCTCAGCACTCCACAGAGTTGGTGATTTACAAAAATAAGAACTTTCACTTTGATGGTAATTCTGAATAAATGTTATGGTAAAGAGTTTTCACACAGTACCAACACGACAAATCGAGGTGAAATTTTGGAGAATTATTTGTGTGAAATTCAAATTGATATTTCTCTAAATGAAAACTTGAAAAGGTTTCCTCGCCTAAATATTTTTGGTGTTTTATGTTACGTAAAAAACTTTACCTTAAATGTAAAATCGCCGCTCCTAGTTTCGAGGAGGGGATGCTTTGACCATATATACAGATGCCAGGGGGATTTGAAGTGTTATAGGTAAGTTTCATATACATGATTTACATTTTAAAGTAATATATGTTTAGATAATTAAGATATAATTGCTTCATTGTGTGTCACTAGAATACAATAGAACTGTTTCTTGTGCTATTCACGCCAGATTTTAACATTTCTGTTGGTGGCTTAATTCTAATAAAAACGTAATTGAATATCCCTCCAAACAAAATATCGCTTCATATACCCAATATAAACAACCTATTATGTGCAAAAATTAACGTATACACGAAATACACACATTACCTTTTACTGCCAATCTTCTGAATAAGTCACCTAGTGTAACACGCAGGTCGTTATAAAATGTCATCGAGATATTAAATGTGTTATTATCGAGTAAGAAAAACATCGAGTAAGAAATACCTTATATACATGCTTACGAGACGCTGCTTTCGTAGAGTCGATGTTTATTTAGTAATATCGTGATGTGATACCAGTATGTTAGTTCCAGTCTCCATTTCGTTTACTTCACGTAGTTTTCCTTGATAGCTGTTAGAAATCCTAGGAAGATATATCGTCGTTTGGACTTGCTTTGATATTTTTGACTTAGTGTGCTCCTCCACACACTCTACTTTGTATTTATCACCAATACATGAAATGACAACAATCATAAAACAATACAATAAAAAAAACCCCACCAAACAAACAATCAAAAGTTGGATTTGCAGGATATCGACGATCTGGTGTCCTGCCGAGCCGACATTCGCTCTCTCAGACTATTGAATACATCCCCTTCAATCAAGAACGCTTCAGCCCAAATTTGGGTAAAATCCTAACTTTCCTACATCCCCTATTGAGAATTGTCTCTTCCACCCCTTCACCCAAGAATGCTTCAGCCCAAATTTGGATAAAATCCGACCGTTCCTACATTCCGTATTGAGAATCATCTCTTCTGTCCCTTCATCAAAGAATGCATCTGACCTAATTTTGGTAAAATCCCATTATTTTTACAGGAGTACAATTTTTAAAGAATTTGCTTTATTTTCCTCATTAGCCGAGCCCCAAGAGCCTAAGGCCTATTGTTTATACAAGGCTGATTCCCCTTCATACAAGATTTTTTTAGGCGAAATTTGGGCAAAATCCGATCATTCCTGCAATATAAATAGGACTTTGAAGAATTGATTTCCTCTATTGGGCCCCTTCCTTCCGGCCCATAGGCTAGAAACACCGCATGTACAAATTGATTTCTCTTCACCCAAGAATGCTTCCGACCAAATTCCGACAAAATATTATCATTCCAACACGAGTAAGATTTCAAAATTTCACCTTTTTGGCTCGCCTCTCGACCCAGCGGTGGCCTAGATCCGTCATTCATAGAAACATTGTTCGCTTCCTCAAGGATGCTTCTGACCAAATTTAGTCGTTTATGATTAGTAGCGATTCCTAGAAAAAAGTAAACGGACGAACGATGGACGTTGTGATGTGACATAATACGATTTCCTATTTGGAACAATATTGCTTACTAAAAAAATTAGTAAAAATCTGCTGAGTCATTGATGACCTAGTAGCGATTCTTAGGAAAAGTAGACGGACGAACGATGGACGCTGCGGTATGACAGAGTGCGTAAGCCTACTCCTATTCTGAAGAATATATCTTACGATATTTAATAAGGATCAGTTCAATGACATAATTTGAATATTTAGCCGAAGTCTTCGTAAAAATCAGACCGTATTGTGCAATAAGAAGAATCACTTGTGTGTCCACTTGTAACATTATAGTTGGTCAGACTTCTCCAGTGGTCAACTGTACATGTAAACCTTGACCGATGTGTACACATAGTGGGCCGGAGCCCAACACGTACCACTTGTTATGTCACTGTATCTTGTTTCATGGATTGAATAACCTCCACGCCTTTTGTTTCCTAGTTTCGTTATCTGTATATATCACACGTGTACACATTAGGCAGAGGAAGGCGGAATCTGACTGGTCACCACACGTTATCACATGGCATCTGTAGGCAAAACTGTAGGTGACACCGACCAATTTCTCAGGGTTGTAACGAATCACTCCCACCTCAGTGATGACCTCGCTGTAAGTATACATGCATTGTGCCTGACGGTCAAGCAGTTTAATTAAATCAATACGTAAGATTAGTGTTGCTAGTTGTTTACATGCTGGGACTCTCTCACAGATAGACTGTTACGTAATATATAGGTCGCCAGACAGGTAACTCGGATGACAGGCGGATGTGGACGATTTCCGCAGGTCAAACAATTCGTTTTATTACCTTAAAACTTGTTTCTTCTGTATTGTACGGTTGTTATCGACAAATAACCCCATGTGAAGTTACGTAAAGAATAATAAACATTTCGATAAGCAAATACAAGGGAAGTAACTCGTTCAAAACATCGGTGAATGACCATCAAGGTTTCCCGCGCTCTTCAATTCTATGTATTCTACCGTGGAGAGCTTTACTGGAAAACATTAAAAAGGCATAAAAGTTTTGTTTAATATCAAACTATTTCATTGATATATTACTTCCCATTTGAAACTTAAATCTGTTAACGAACACCACATTCTCTGATAAGATATGACTTCGTTTTCATAACCGCTTACGATTTGATTATGTTAATCGATTTTTAAACAAACCATGCTACTGATAAACAAACAATGAAGATCACCGGCTCCATCTTGGACTATCCACTGGCCCGACTAGGTTTTGGAAGTTCGAAATTGATGTAATAAAACATAAAACTAGAAACGTTAAATTCGTTTTAAAAATATCACGATAAACATGATTCATAATATAAAAACCAACACGGAATACTTTCATTCTTTTCCCAAGAATTCAACGACGGTATCAAAATTTAGGTTCAAATCAAGCATAAATTTTCCATAAATCGGGGCTTCTGATACTGCACATAGCTAGTTTCATCAGGAATATTACTCCCCACCCCCCGCAATACAAATGTTATTGAACACCATGTAAAAAGGAAGTTAATAAAACACCGTCGCTGTAGTAGAATAGTAAAAGACATATAATTCTTTTACCAAGTTTGCCCGTGAGCCAGGTAACTTGGAGGTGGTGGCTGTAGGAGACGGTAACCTCAACGATGTGGTCAGGGTTATGGAAAAACAGGGCAACTCCAGTGTCATCATCAAGCATGCCCCGCCCTTTATCAAGGTAGGTGTACTTTTCATCTTATCAAGATAAATATTTCCTTTCTTTATGAGGTATGTATACTTTATCAAGGTAGATATTTCCACCCTTTATTAAGTAGATATAAATTATCAAGATAAATATTTCCATCCTCTATCAAGTAAGTATACTTTATCAAGGTAGATATTTCCACCTTTATCAAGTTAGTAGGTATATTTTATCAAGGTAGATATTTCCACCCTTTATCAAAAAGGTATACTTTATCAACGTAAATATTTCCGCCTTTATCAAGTAGGTATACTTTATCAAGGTAAATCTTTCCGCCTTTATCAAGTAAGTATACTTTACCAAGGTAGATATTTTCACTCACTATCAAGTAAGTGTACTTCATCAAAGTAGATATTTCCACTCTCTATCAAGTACATATATTTTATCAAGGTAGATTTTTCCACCCTTCTATCAAGTAAGTATATTTCATCAAGGTAGATATTTCCACGCTCTATCAAGTACGTATATTTTATCAATGTAGATATTTCCACCGTTTATCAAGAAGGCATATTTCTCTCCTTATCAATGAAGGTGTACCTCTCCCTTTATCTGGGGTCTGCTGTATACCACGATATGAACCAGATTTAAATAAAGTTTATATTAAAATCTTGTATCAGACATTTGTAAGTTTAAGCACAACTATTTCTTCTCACCTGATGCTGTGACAGAACCACATGGAAATCATTGTCACAGTGTCTAGATTGAAGTAATTTCTCGGTAAATACAGCATGCGAAGTATGCATGAATAACTGGTACAACTAGTTTGACCTTTATATTGGGAGGGATATTACAGTTAACATCAAGTTTTGATCACTAGTAATGGCAATTCCTTCCTCTAATTAAAAACGAAACTTCTTGTTCATTTGTTCCAGTATATTTAAAGATTGACATTATCCTCCTTGAACATATCGATCAATGCCCTTAGAAATTAATATTTCATCAAAGTTACTATTCTAAGATATAATGATCATTTAAGTATACAGGACTTAGAGTTCAACTTCAAAGGCATAATTTACCATTAGGACAACCAAGTGAACTTGCACAAATTTTTGATATTCAGATGTTGTGATCTCTATTTGATGGAACCTGCTCATGGTTTCTAGTGTGGTGTTTGGGGGCTTGGCAGTGAGTGGAGATATATGTTTTCAAAATATGTTCATAGACATTCTTTTAACATCTTTTTAATCTCCTTCCTGGAGAGTTCAAAACATAACACTAGAGTTAACTCCCCTGTACTGTAACTGTCACATTTCCGTGGCTCTCAATAATGTATGAATCTATATAACATTCCCCAGCCAAATTAAAATTGGACCATGTTATTTTATAAACTTGGTAAATGGTCATTTTTTAACAAAATTTGTTGTGTTTATGCAGTGTTTGGGTCCAGAATATCCTCTTACAGCTGAGAGAGGTACAACTGAATACCAAGCACTGATGAGGTTTAATACTGCATCGCCCGGTTGCTGTCCACAAACCTACTTTTATGACACAGAGGCCAGCCTCAGTAAGTTATGTATCTAAATTATCTGTAAAGCATGTGCTAACCTCTACAAGTAGAGTGCATTGACTTTAATTTTGACGTATAAAAAGGAATCATTGACGACATGGAATAACTTATAAATATGACAGATACATGGATTTTTTTATCTATAGAAAAAGTTTACAACCATTACATGGAGCGTAAAATTCAATGATGATGTAAATAACCAATTGTTGTTATTATCCTAGTCTGCATGGAAGATCTAAGATCATACAAAGACCTACGCCGTGAAATGATTCAGGGTGTTTGCAGTGATGAGGCCGTGAAATGTATTGCTAAACACATTGCTATTGTGCATAGAGAGAACCATGTCTCCAAACTCAGCAGTGCTGACATGGATGACCTCATCAATTTGTTCGGGTAAATTTTTTATCGACATGGTCTCAATAATAAAGGAGAATTTAGAGTATGATATATATAATGATATGATTATCGAGACAGATGCCTTTAGTCTCCCCAAACTGGTTAAGTCATAAAAATATTTTCATAATTGCATGTACACATACCACTTTACAGTACCTGATGGATATATTTTTGATTATACATTGTCTTTACATTCACCTGTCTTCTCTAACGTAGGAAAAGTGGGACAACAACGTATATGTGAATGAATAATGTTTTTGGAAATTACATATATACATCTAATGGGACAGATTTGTGCAAGAGAGAGAAGAAATAAAAGAGAGCTACTTCTGATTGAGAATTGTACTGACAAATTAAGGTCACTAGTCCCTCACTTATATAACTGGAGAAAGAGTGTTGGAACTCTAGTTTTGTGTTGTCCATCTGTCCTTCCATTATTTGTGCGGGCTCTAGCTTTTACACTGGTCACTGGAACTTCATACTTTGGGTATTGATTCACCTTGGGGTGAGGCAGTGTGCCAAAAGTACGTCCATCTGGTCTATATTTTTGAAAAAGCTTGTATGGGCTCTATCTGCTACACCACTTGTCACATGAACTTCATTCTTGTATTTGGGTTAGGGTTTATTTGTTACTTACGGCATATTTGTAGGTACACAGACCTGGTACAACTCACAGAGCAGTATGTATTTACCAGGCCCTTCCTTAAAGATGATCCCACCAACAAATATTCTGAAGAGGTTGGTTCCCGTGCCAACTTAGTGTATGATAATCCACAGGTTCTAGCTAATGCAGCAAAAATGAAAAAGGTCTTCTTGGAAAAGAAGGAATGTTTGATACATGGTGATCTTCACACTGGGTCCATAATGGTATACAACGATTCAGCAAAGGTGAGTCAATACAGTTAAAGATCAACAAAATTGCTCTGTTTATGGACTCAAGATCATTAATTAATCCTGCAAACAATGTGCTTGTTTAATGCTTCTATATTTCTTTATTCAATTGTATTGTACTGTACTAGCTTAGGTTATATAGAGGTAAGTTTGATAGAGTGGCAAAGATTATAGCTTTTAATCTGCAATGATAACTGTTTCCAGTTGGTGGATGTTGAGTTTGCTTTTAAACCAGTTGATGGACACTGAGTTTGCTTTTTAATTGTTTGATGGACACTGAGTTTGCTTTTTAATTATTTGATGGACATTGAATTTGCTTTTTAACCAGTTGATGGACATTGAATTTGCTTATGTGGGACCTGGAGCATTTGACATAGGATGTCTGATAGCCAATTATATAATGTCATATTACCAACACATGTCAGAAGGAAACCGACAGTTTGCTTATCGCACTATTGACTTCTGTAAACTTACAGGTATGTATAATAGACCCCTACTTGTCCATTACCAGATTTTAAAGTCCTCATCGGCATTTCTTAATTTAAAATCATAAGTTCATATACAAACCAGGTACTGTCCCATGTTATTCATTATTGCATGGTTGCAATATTTTATTTTTATATCAAACTTGTTTTTGTTACACCCAGGGAAGACATATTTTGAGAACATGACCTGTAGTACAGGGGATGTGGAGAGCTACAACAAAAATTTCATGTCTGAAGTTGCAGGATTTGCTGGTTGTGAGATCATTCGCAGGTGAGTAATGATAGCAAGGAATATGCAAACTAAACAATGGTAGATCCAGAGGTTGTATCTGTCATAGCTAAAAAACTTGGAATTATTTTTATTTAACAGCATTCCGAATTAATACTTGATTAATTGAAACACATTGAAAACTGGAGTAGTTTTGATATAACTCTGATAAAAATTGACCATATTATTTTCTACCGAAGCAAAACTGTTACTGCATGAAGATAATGAAATGTTTTATGTAACTTGTGGTAAGATTAACTTACAAGAAAGTTATTCATGGTGTGGGTAAAATTGTAACATCATGGTCTATGTCAGGCTTTTTGTATAATAACCACGCAATATACTAGCACTTCATTCGCATCTTAATGAAACACTGGCTGTCTGCATCAGTGAGATGAATATATTTCTTGATATCAAGGAAGTTGATTATTTAAACCTTGTAAACAAGGGATTTATAGAGTTTATCATACACCTACATGTTGGTGACAAAATGATGCTTCTATATCCTATCAGAATACTTGGAGCAGCTCATGTAGCAGACCTTGAAGGCAGACTCTCAGCTGAAGTTGATGCCCTAGGAGCTGGGGTACGACTGATTACTGCTCAGGAGAGAATAGACACAATGGACCAGCTAATGATTATTGCTCATATGTTGACTTAATATATCAATGGTTGATTGACGGTGTTCACAAAAATTGTTACTGAATGCATTGTGTACACACCTTAATCAGCTCCTGAGGTGGCATTTCATCTAAATGTAATCCCTTCTTAAAATGTAAAACCCTAAAAATGGTGAGTCATAACATGCCAGGATGGTGAATTTGGAGTTTTCTTACATAAAAATGCCACCATTGACTCGATTTTCACCTGTGAAAGCTTCAACAGGACACTCTTTGTTATTATGTCATCTTATTATGAGCTCTAGAAAATGTATACTTCAAGGAATGATTTTTTGTTTCACTGTCCTGTCGAAATCAATTAAACTTTAATGGGAGGATGACCCAATCTTATCACACCTAACCAAACTAGTGTTGGCTCTTTCTTTATATTCATTTCTTAAAAAGCAAATACATTTATTTTTGGCTGTATGAAAAAGTAGTTTTAATATATTTCATATAATATATATTACGTCATTTGTTAAAGCCTTTGTCAGGTATGTTTCTATAAATCTAAACAGTTGTTGAATATCAACAGTGTTTTAGGTAATAGCACGTAGTGATATAGTTGTGTAAGTTTAAACAGTTACAATTTAGTTAAAATTATTCTCTGACATTCCGTCAACTTTCCTTCATCAACTCCAGACTGATATTAAAAGATGGCAAAATGTCAAAATAATCTGGACTGGTCACAATTGTGTGAAAAGCATTTTTTTTTTAATTTTATCAAAATTTTGTTTTGCCAAACAAGAAAATTGACATTTTACAGCTTAATTTACATAAAAAATTGTTATACTATTGTTTAATAATTTCTACATCTTGTACAGTGTTATTAATTACTCGGTACTATTGATTTTACAGGTGTACCATTGATGTATGTTTACATTGTATATCGGTCACTTTCTTCAAAGATGTGTTGATGTTTTGTTAATTTTATATCTTACTTATACAAATACTATAACAATGGATAGTTTTAATAAAATCAAGTAAAAGCACTTGTACAATAATCAGAATGTAATTATTCTTGATGAAATAAAATTAATGTGAAAAATGAAACATTTCCAAGTATCCATGACAGTGATATGAGGTGGACTTTGTCCCTCAATGACTACTGTCCAGTATCCATGACAGTGATGTAAGGTGGTCTTTGTTCCTCAATGACTACTGTCCAGTATCCATTACAGTGATGTGAGGTGGTCTTTGTCCCTCAATGACTACTGTCCAGTATCCGTGACAGTGTTGTGTGGTGGTCTTTGTCCCACAGTGACTACTGTCCAGTATCCATTACAGTGATGTGAGGTGGTCCTTCTCCCTCAATGACTAGTGTCCAGTATCCATGACAGTGATTTGAGGTGGTCTTTGTCCCTCAATGACTGCTGTCCAGTATCCGTGACAGTGATGTGAGGTGGTCCTTCTCCCTCAATGACCACTGTCTAGTATCCATGACAGTGATGTGAGGTGGTCTTTGTCCCTCAATGACTACTGTCCAGTATCCATGACAGTGATGTGAGGTGGTCTTTGTCCCTCAATGACTACTGTCCAGTATCCATAACAGTGATGTGAGGTGGTCTTTGTTCCTCAATGACAACTGTCCAGTATCCATTACAGTGATGTGAGGTGGTCTTTGTCCATCAATGACTACTGTCCAGTATCCATGACAGTGATGTGAGGTGGTCTTTGTCCCACAGTGACTACTGTCCAGTATCCATGACAGTGATGTGAGGTGGTCCTTCTCTCTGAATGACTTCTGTCCAGTATCCATGACAGTGATGTGAGGTGGTCCTTCTCTCTCAATGACTACTGTCCAGTATCCATGACAGTGATGTGAGGTGGTTCTTCTCATTCAATGACTACTGTCCAGTATCCGTGACAGTGATGTGAGGTGGTACTTCTCCCTCAATGACCACTGTCTAGTATCCATGACAGTGATGTGAGGTGGTCTTTGTCCCTCAGTGACCACTGTCCAGTATCCATGACAGTGATGTGAGGTGGTCTTTGTCCATCAATGACTACTGTCCAGTATCCATGACAGTGATGTGAGGTGGTCTTTGTCCCACAGTGACTACTGTCCAGTATCCATGACAGTGATGTGAGGTGGTCCTTCTCTCTCAATGACTTCTGTCCAGTATCCATGACAGTGATGTGAGGTGGTTCTTCTCATTCAATGACTGCTGTCCAGTATCCGTGACAGTGATGTGAGGTGGTCCTTCTCCCTCAATGACCACTGTCTAGTATCCATGACAGTGATGTGAGGTGGTCTTTGTCCCTCAGTGACTACTGTCCAGTATCCATGACAGTGATGTGAGGTGGTCTTTGTTCCTCAATGACTACTGTCCAGTATCCATGACAGTGATGTGAGGTGGTCTTTGTCCCTCAATGACTACTGTCCAGTATCCATGACAGTGATGTGAGGTGGTCTTTGTCCCTCAATGACTACTGTCCAGTATCCATTACAGTGATGTGAGGTGGTCTTTGTCCCTCAGTGACTACTGTCCAGTATCCATGACAGTGATGTGAGGTGGTCTTTGTTCCTCAATGACTACTGTCCAGTATCCATTACAGTGATGTGAGGTGGTCTTTGTCCCTCAATGACTACTGTCCAGTATCCATTACAGTGATGTGAGGTGGTCTTTGTCCCTCAATGACTACTGTGAAGTATCCATGACAGTGATGTGAGGTGGTTCTTCTCCCTCAATGACTACTGTCCAGTATCCATGACAGTGATGTGAGGTGGTCTTTGTCCCTCAATGACTACTGTCCAGTATCCATGACAGTGATGTGAGGTGGTCTGTGTAACTCAATGACTACTGTCTAGTATCCATGACAGTGATGTTAGGTGGTCCATGTCCCTCAATGACTACTGTCCAGTATCCATGACAGTGATGTAAGGAGGTCCATGTCCCCAGTCTATTTCCATGAGTGATTTAAGTCATCCTTGTCTGTTGATGACCCATCCAGGAATGTTACATCATCATTTCCTGATTAAGAATCATTGCCAGAATCCTGTAATATGTTATCTGGATATCATCTATGTATTAAGAATGGATTAAGTAGAGGTGTATAAGGCAGGTCACTCATTCTTACCTGAAACAAAAAAAAAATATTGGAATGAATTTAAGTTCACAAAGTTATTGAACAATGTGAATTTTCTTTTTGTTTTTTACATGTTTTCTGAAGCCTTGATACCGTCTGGGTCCCTCAGTACCCCAGAGATATATATCAAGCCATTTTGATCAATTCAACTTACATCAATGGCCCACGGTCTATCTGTCTGTAAACTATCCTTGTTATCACTATTTCTTGAAAAGTACTGGATGGATCTTTCTCAAATTTCATAAATAGGTTGCCTTTGATCCCTACTTGTGAGAATGATCAGATAAACAAAATGGCTGTCTTTTTTATCTGTTCCAAAATCAAATGAGCATAACAGACCATGGATTTGGGCCAATTTGAATAGCTCACCATCTAGTGATGGTGGGCTTATTAACAGTAAAGGTAGAATTATTGAACACTATTTAGTTCAACACAAATGCAGATGTTTCTCCAGACATCACATGCCATACAAAACTCCATCACTTAGATGGTAACTTTTTTTGCAATAATGTTGTTTGTCAATGATTTCTAAGTAAACTTACTCTCATAAAATCTACAGCAACAGTGACATTGGATTTGGACAGGAGCAGCTCCCTTGTCTGCTGACTGAGGTCCTCATTTACAAAGTTTGTCAAGATAGTGTGTTTAGCTTTCATGCGTTCACTCACATCTATGGCATCTTCTACTGTGCTGAAACAGAGAAGAAGAAATTAATCAGAAGATCATTATTGCAAACATAATGCAAAGGTTATTTTTAACACTGATATAGAAAAACAAAGTTTATTTCATAAATTCTGTGAAAAATACAGCTTTGTTGCATCAGGCTTTTTAAAAAAAGCAAATATTTGAAACAATAAAAAAAAAACATGAGTTTCCAAAGTGCTGTAATCACTCACCTGGATTTGCTTGGCTGAAATTGTTTCATTGAAACTACGGGAACATATAGAAATATCCAAATACACAACACAAAACATATCTATTTTCCTATTGGACTCCAACCCTCTGTCCTAAGGGGGTCAGCCAAACTATTAATACTTCAGACTAAATCATTCCTACAGCATGCTCGATACTCTAGGACTTTCGCTGTCTGGATCCCTGGAACATGTCACGATAAAATTGAAGGCACAAGCGAAGTAATTTGATTGGTTCTAGGGGGAAAAAATTACCAATAACTGGGTGATATGCTCCTTATGAAGATTACAAAGGAGTGAAAACCAACTTCAAAACCATTACACTGTACTGGTATGCGACCTTAAGATTGTTTGATGTGCATCAAAGGACCAAACTAGTCTTTTCGCCTTGTCCACAAGGTGTCGCACATGGAACCTTCAATTTCTGCCATAAAATGATCAAGGGGCGCAAGGAGCGAAAGTGATTTGTAATCCCTGGAGTATTGAGGATGTTCCTACAGGAAAAGTAGTTTGCCCTATTTCAAATATTTGGCCCTGCCCCTCCCTCCCACGGGGCTGCGACCCACCATTTACACAAAACGGATTCCCTTCACCCGAGAATGCTTCAGACAAAATTTGGGCAAAATCCAATCAATCCTACAGGAGAACTGTTTTTTTCCTTATTGTGCCCAGCTCCTCCAGCCACAGGGGGCTGAGACCCACTATTTACACAAAATTGATTCCCTTCCCCTGGCAATGCTGCAGATCAAATCTCATTAAAATCTTATCATTCCTACTGGAGGAGTAGGAATTTTAGAATTTTTTCTATTTTCCTTATTGGGGACCCACTTCTCCCAGCCCAGGGAGCTGAGAACCCACAGTTTATTTACAATGGATTCCCCTACCCCCAACAATGCTTCAGACCTAATAATTCCTTCAAGAAGAGTAGGATTTCAAAAAATTTGCACTATTTCCCCTACTGGGCCCGTTTGCCTCCCAGTCAAGACCCACCATTTCCCCTTCCCAAAAGAATACTTCAGACCAAATTTGGACAAAATTTAATCATTCCTATAGGAGGACTATTCTGACAAAATATGGTCTTAGTAGCGAATTGAAGAAGAATTTGTCATACGGATGCTGCAGTATACCATTTACACAAAGTTATAGCATTTACACAAATATGTGTATATCATGAACAGAAGCTCTTTATTCACACAAGCTTATATAAATTGTTTCATGATAGCTGGTAACATAATTATCATTTTCATTAATGAAAAGTAAAGGAATGTTGACAGTAAATACCTGTGGTAAGATTTCTGTGCAATGTCTTTTTGTTGGAATGTCGCCTCATGGATCAAGATATCGCAGTCAAAGCCTGTTCACAGCAAAGCATTCACTGAGCATTGTCTAATTCACAAAACAAAGTCCCATGTAATTGGTAGTGAAAATGATGCTATAATAAGGATTGGGAAAATTACACTAAGACACAGCTTCAATTAATGTTTGGAAGAATTCAACTGAGACACTGCTGCAACTACGGTTTGGGAGAATTACAATGAGGCAATCCTACAACTAAGATTTACAATTAAAATGGGACACTGCTATTATCAAGGTTTGGGAGAATTACACTGAAAGACGGCTACAAATAACGCTTGAGAGAATTACGATGAGATACTACTTCAACTTAGGTTTGGAACAAACAAAAGAATGATTGGGCAGAAACAAATTTATCTATTTGAAGTAACAGTGACCATATACCTTTTGACCTGAAAACCTGTCACGAACAATTAGGAAGTCTGAGTTTGATCAATCTAAGGAAAGGCAAATCATTGTTCAGAAATGATGATGGATGGAATCACAAAGAGCTGCTTTACAAAATCTTTTATCTTTAATTAGGGGATAATTAGGTGTCTTCATTGTGACATTGAAATCTGACCAGCCTATGGAATTTAGAATTTCTGATATGAAGGTAAAGACTAGTAATATTTTCTATTATTTAACAAAGGCAAACATTCCAGTCACATGCATTAAGTTGAAAGGTAATAGTATTCAAATGAAGGTTTTCTGGTATTCAGTATTAATTTGTAACATTTCAATGAATGTAAATTTCTGGAATACAGTCCTGAGATAAATTAGTATAAAAAATGACAATTTCTGGACATAAAGTGTTTGACTGGAATTTTTGAAATTGTGAATCTTGATAACCAGGTACTAACCTCTCTTAATAAGTTGTTCGTTAGGCATGGTATCACCACTGTACACCAGATGTACTCCAGATGAGTGGCGCAACGACACAGATTTAGCCGGTATTCCATGTAATGCTTCTACTGGTCTTAACTGAAAACAAAAAGAATAAGACAAGGATGATTTGTCTAACATTTGTTTTGTAAAACTAAAACCAAAGGTAGCAATAAAGAAAGGGTTTGACATAAGACATTATGAAAGGAGAAAAACAAATTAGACTCTGTCTGATTTCGACTGTCCTTCATTTAAAAAACAGGGAAACCAGAAAACAGTTGACACTTTGTCTGGTTTTGACTGTTCTTTAAGCCAACGAAACAATCAAAACAACAGACATTTTGTCTGAGTCAGTAGTTTATTTGAACTGACCTCAATCTAATGCTTTTGTTTATTATTTAAAATATATAAATCAAAAGTTGAAGGAAATATAAAAAAATAAAACATTGTCTGGTCTTGTCTAATCTAAAGATCGGCTAAAATTTGGCTCTCCATGTCTACTATAACAAACAAAAAGCAGGATAAGTTCGACCTTGTCTTCTACATTTCAGAGTACGTAAGGTGTTGGTAAATAATGAAATGATTGCGCAAAAGGAGCGGGATGGTGTTGCTTGCACAAACAATATAGTGTTAAATAGTCTCTGTATTAATAAAATTGGCCAATTGGTAGAACTGTAGAAAATCACTTTGGGGACCCAGGTTTGATTCTTATCAGAGCACTCATTAGGAATATGTTTTTACCTGTTCTATCACAGTTTTAACGTGATTTCATGAAGTGGTTTTAAATATCAACACATCTGTTTACCTCATATAAGTTCAGCTCTTTACAAAGATGTTTCACTTCTTCATATTTCCATTTCTCTAATGAATGAAATCTGTGGAAAAAAAAAATCATTCAATTGGAGAAACTGTTCTTATTTATCTTAGTTATTATCAGGTGAAGTAACTGCAAACTTCTTCACATAGCTCAAAATTCATGTTTACTGAACTTGTCTGATTATAAGCTTTTGTGTAAGGTCTTACAATTAATGGTGAAATTCACTTGTCAATATATATTCAAGATAATAAGCATACCTATATTTATATATGTATGTTGCCTTACTGGCTGCCTGCTAATATGAAAATAACATCTTCTCTCTTCATTTGTTGTATAGAAAGTTGTTCTACCCAAATCCGGATTCTGTGCACTTGTCTAATTTCTGCAGTGTTTCGTCATTGAAATTCACTTTTTGCTATAACTTTGGGAGATGTGCAGTCAAAGTAAGTCTGCTTTTACTATGCTTAATTTCTTTATGTTATCTCAGTAACATTTCAGCAGGGGACAAAAATAATTTGTTGAAGAAATCATGCTTGAATATGAAAAGGGTCATGTTTACAGGTTATCAACAGAGCACCGTACAAGTGCTTATAACATGATCCCTAGTTGTGTACAACATCGGCCCTAGAAACTCATTATAGTTTGAGTAGAGTGATTAAACTGTGTAAAGTGAATTTATTGTATGAAGTTTGTCACTTCTTTAATTAATGTCTAGCAAAATATTTTTACACTTTGATCACTGTAGGGTGTACAGGATGAAACAGAAATCAAGAGGTAGATTGGCAAGTTATAACTGAAAACCATGGTGTCATTTCAACCAGGAAGTAACAATAAGCAAGACGACCACAGCTCTGATAAATTGCTTTGACTACACATTTAGCTCCTGGAAATGGGTTTGACAAAGCCCCCTTTCCCCTCAGTTCAGAACTGACACCTATGCAGAGCCCATAGATCCTAGCATGCCAAAACATCGAAAAATATTTCCTCTGTTTTTCCACTAAATGAAGGTATTAAACCAAACAAATGAAAGAAATGACCAATGGTTTGTATGATATTAGACATGGAAATTTACTTACTTTACTGAGTTTAACACACTATTCATCTCCCAATTCATGATCTGTAAGTACTCAAGGATTTTCTGGTGGGAGATGATAGTCACTTGCTGTGCAGGCCCATCAAACCCATCACAACGATGTTTTAGTAGAGTAGCTAAACCCTGTTAAAGAAACCATTTACACAATCATACAATACTTCATTGTTAAATCATACAAGACTGTCATAATACCTGTACTATTCACCTGGTTTTTACTTTAATTCTAGATAAGAGCAGAAGATGACAAACAGGAAAACATGGCAGCCATTCTGGCCCTACAAAAACCAATAGGACATTTGGTATGACCAAAGCAGCACCAATAACACTATCTTTGGTTGTGACAGTGTAATACAATGTAGTACAGTGACAGTGTAATACAATATAGTACAGTGAAAGTGTAATACAAAATAGTACAGTGACAGTGTAATACAATAGAGTACAGTGACAGTGTAATACAATATAGTACAGTGACAGTGTAATACATTACAGTACAGTGACAGTGTAATATGTTATAGTACAGTGACAGTGTAATACAATATAGTACAGTGACAGTGTAATACATTACAGTACAGTGACAGTGTAATACAATAGAGTACAGTGACAGTGTAATACAATATAGTAAAGTGACAGTGTAATACATTACAGTACAGTGACAGTGTAATACATTCAGTGACAGTGTAATACAATATAGTACAGTGACAGTGTAATACAATATAGTACAGTGACAGTGTAATACATTATAGTACAGTGACAGTGTAATACAATAAAGTAAAGTGACAGTGTAATACAATATAGTACAGTGACAGTGTAATACATTACAGTACAGTGACAGTGTAATACAATATAGTACAGTGACAGTGTAATACAATATAGTACAGTGACAGTGTAATACAAAATAGTCCAGTGACAGTGTAATACAATAGAGTACAGTGACAGTGTAATACAATGTAGTACAGTGACAGTGTAATACAATGTAGTAAAGTGACAGTGTAATACAATGTAGTTCAGTGACAGTGTAATACAATAGAGTACAGTGACAGTGTAATACAATGTAGTACAGTGACAGTGTAATACAATATAGTACAGTGACAGTGTAATACAATATAGTAAAGTGACAGTGTAATACAATGTAGTACAGTGACAGTGTAATACAATATAGTACAGTGACAGTGTAATACAATAAAGTAAAGTGACAATGTAATACAATGTAGTTCAGTGACAGTGTAATACAATATAGTACAGTGACAGTGTAATACAATAGAGTACAGTGACAGTGTAATATATTATAGTACAGTGACAGTGTAATATATTATAGTACAGTGACAGTGTAATATATTATAGTACAGTGACATTGTAATACAATATAGTACAGTGACAGTGTAATACAATGTAGTTCAGTGACAGTGTAATATATTATAGTACAGTGACAGTGTAATATATTATAGTACAGTGACAGTGTAATATATTATAGTACAGTGACATTGTAATACAATATAGTACAGTGACAGTGTAATACAATATAGTACAGTGACAGTGTAATACATTACAGTACAGTGACAGTGTAATACAATAAAGTAAAGTGACAGTGTAATACAATATAGTACAGTGACAGTGTAATACATTACAGTACAGTGACAGTGTAATACAATATAGTACAGTGACAGTGTAATACAATATAGTACAGTGACAGTGTAATACATTACAGTACAGTGACAGTGTAATACAATATAGTACAGTGACAGTGTAATACAATGTAGTACAGTGACAGTGTAATACAATGTAGTACAGTGACAGTGTAATACAATGTAGTACAGTGACAGTGTAATACAATGTAGTACAGTGACAGTGTAATACAATATAGTACAGTGACAGTGTAATACATTACAGTACAGTGACAGTGTAATACAATATAGTACAGTGACAGTGTAATACAATATAGTTCAGTGACAGTGTAATACAATATAGTACAGTGACAGTGTAATACAATGTAGTAAAGTGACAGTGTAATACAATGTAGTTCAGTGACAGTGTACAGACAGTGAGTAATACAATAGAGTACAGTGACAGTGTAATACAAAATAGTACAGTGACAGTGTAATATATTATAGTACAGTGACAGTGTAATATATTATAGTACAGTGACATTGTAATACAATATAGTACAGTGACAGTGTAATACAATGTAGTTCAGTGACAGTGTAATATATTATAGTACAGTGACAGTGTAATATATTATAGTACAGTGACAGTGTAATATATTATAGTACAGTGACATTGTAATACAATACAGTATCATGACAGTGTTATACAAGTGGTGGTGACTTTAGGATGAATGAACGTTATTCTTACAGAATAATGGTCAAGATGTAGATGGGAAATGAAAATACACTTGATTTTCCTCAGCATTTCATTGGTCCGGCTACCAAAGTGGAGACACAATTGTGTGTAGATGCCTGATCCACAGTCTAACAGAATGGCTGTTTCTGGACTGAAAGTACAAAAACATTGTTTTTAAGGTGAACCAGAAACACAACGCCCTGAAATGCAGATACCTTTTATCATTATTGTTTTGTTTTTTGTTTGTTTTCTTTTTTGTCTCAATTTTTTGTTTTAAGAAACAGAAAAGTAAGTGTACTATGATTTTATTTTCTTTGAAATATTGATAGTCCTTGATTATAGTAATATTCATGTCAAATACTGGGTATATCTCCAGAGGTTTCAAGACTCCAAAGATTAATTTATTTTAGCATAAGAACACTTCATGATGAGGCTTTCAGAATTCTCATTCTGGGTAAAAGTAGTCTTAGGATGGACACTTTAGGGATAGGTACAAATGATTATGAACATTAGTCAGACAGGACTTACCACAACTGTATGTATACTCCAGAGTTATTTCTTCGGACATGATCTCTCCCAGCTGTCCCCAGAAACAAAATGTCTGGGTACTCTGTGAAACATAAGAGACAAAAAAATAGGAATTCATTGATCAACCATTACTCCTTTAATTATCTACTCTAACAAAATCACAAATACTGGGGGCCTTCTGCAGTACACTTCAGAGAGGTAGCACTATAGTGTCAGTATCATTTCTACACAAAGAAACTTACACAAACTTATTGCAGCCTTTCAAAAACACATGCAAGCAACAAAATGCACATACATCATGAAACTGTCCTGAAAAGACCATAGCTGTTGGTAGGAGGCCAAACAATATAAATCAAACCAACCCAATATTTAGACTGTCCAGGGTAACTATTATACCCATTCAAACTGCCAAGCTTTCAATTATCTTAGACTGAAGACCCAAGATGATAGAAATATGCATACTTTGTTCATAATGCCTTAAGAAGTAACCCATAACATATTATTATTACAAAGGACACAAATTTCATGGTTTCTTACAATGATATTATTATTAACAAGTAAGTGAGACATACTTAACAATTACATAGTTCGGTCACATTCAGGCGTAAGAACTATTATGACCCTAGTTTTATTAGAAAAGCAATCAAAATTTTATTTATTCGACATTCTAATAAATTACCAGCTTCCTTTCTTGCTCGTCTTTGTAGCCTTTTCTTGATTTCAGTCAAATATACATTCTTCTTTCTGATGAACTCCTCTAAACTATCAGCTTTATTAGTGTAATTACTTTCGCTTAAATATCTGTAAACAAAACAGAACAAAAGAACATACTTATTTACTGCAGCTAGTTGTTATCTAGTAATATCATAAAGGTAAACAAATTGTACAGCTGAACGGACTTGGGCCACACAGCCAGGCATGAGACTGAATAATGTACTTTTGATGAATTTTGTGTTTCTTAGCACGTTGCAGTTTCAAAATCTGTCACACACTAAATCAGCTTCTGTAAAATAATTTCAGCAAGTTCAACATCCCCCCCCCCAATCCCTTTTATTTTCATCAATTTCAAGATCATTTATAAAAAATTGCCATGAATTATAGTAACAGTGGAATATGTGAGTACTTCAACCAACAAAACCGAGTGCCAACAAAATACCATTTCTTTCAGAATTCAAGAATTTGAGTCTCACAAAAGCAGATGATTTTAAAGTGATGTCATTGAAGTTTTATCTCAGTTAAATTGTCCCACAGATCATGACTTACCCAGTAGATTAAGCTACCTACCGTTGATCCTTTTTACAGTAAATCTCCACATGACCATTGTTCACAGTTGTCAATCTGGAGTTCAGCTCTGTTGATTTTCTACTGATCTCTACATCTGATTCGTCAAACTCATCATGAGTTGGTAAAGGGAAAATTGAACTGTCTATTTTATTTAGACTGATACAATGATTTCTTATAAAATCAAGTGCTTTTGCTGCCCTGGTCTCATCAACATGTAGGTGTTTAGTTGACTCTGGAAACCTGTTGATAAATGTCATACTCATAATGTAGTTTTGGCTTGTAAGCTGATGTAATAATGAGAACTACTAGAAGTTATTTCAATAGTAGATTTCTGAATGAGCCCGAGAACATTAAGAATAGCAGATATATAAATCTGACCAAAGCAGATATATGAATACGTCTGAAAATATTTCATCCCAGCAGATTTCTGAATGAGTCTGAGAACATTTCACCCTAGCTGATTTATTAATGAGTCTGAGAACATTTCACCCTAGCCGATTTATTAATGAGTCTGGGAATGGGAACATTTCACAACAGATTTATGAATGGGCTCAAAACTTGTGTGAGGGACTTTGTAAGTGAATCTTAAAATTCTTTTATAAGATATAATCCTGACGCTATGAGGCAATCTGAACACTACAGCCCGAGTTTTAATATGTAAATTCAGGCCACATCAAAGGCATATTTCCTATATAAACCTGGGTATAAGCTGACATTACAGTGTTAAGTTAGGACAGGCAAGATGTAAGGGGGTAAAATTAAACAAGAGAGAATTAATTCATTATGCAAAAGCATGTACGAACATGTATGATTGTTTTTAACCTTCCTGTATAACTCCAATAATCACGAAGAACAAAACCAAGCTCCATGTTCTTGCTAAATGGCTTATATACTGTCAATATGTTTTTTTTATTTATTTGTGTATAAACAATATACACTATCTTTAATTACAGTAAGATTTCATGATCATCCTGCTAGATTTAAAACAATCCTACCTGTTGATAAATGTTTGGTATCCTGTGTCTTGTACAACACTCAAAGGAGACAGGTGGAATACAACAGTTCTGTTTTCTTTCTGATGTTTCTTTAAGTCTTTTGACTTCAACAGACTTTCAAGGTATCTTTTATCTGGGCAATCTAGAACTAAAACAGAAAATCCAACACAGAATTTAGGAACATAGATACAACCATTCTATTCTGTATCAGGAAGAGTGCAGAGAATGTTGAGTTTAGAATAATCTTAAGTAGGAAAGATGCAGTATAATATTAGATATGAAGTATAATTTGGTCAGATGACACAGCAGTAATGCACTTGCCTTCCAACTCAGCAACCAGGGTTTCATTCACCTATTGGGTTTGAAAACTATGGGAGTAACCATATTGACCACCGGAGTTTTTCTTGGGTATTTTTTTTCTCACAATAAGACTCCTCACACTTCAATTCAGACCAGCAAAATGATCAATACACTGTATCAGTTTGTACATTCAAATTATTCGCAATGGTCGTATCATGCTTATGGTAACAGTGTCAGTTTAAGAGAATAATTCTTTCAACATGACTGTACATACTTACTTATTACTGCTGGAGCGTCCTGTAGCTTTGGCTGTAAATAAACAAAAGAAACATTAGAAACAGCTTGAACTCATAACCCTTATCTTCACTGAAGGAAGTGAATGTTTCTCCTGAAAATCACTTCAGTAGATAGTGTTTTTAAACTATTTAATTAAGTGCATCTGCACAACTGGATTGGAACTTAATTTTTGGTTATGATTTTTATTTCCTTATTTGTCAAACTGACATTTGATAAGTAAGTGACATGTGACTTGATGGTTCACCACTGTGACATCTCTAGATAAGTAAGTAACATGTGACTTGATGGTTAACCACTGTGACATCTCTAGATAAGTAACATGTGACTTGATGGTTCACCACTGTGACATCTCTAGATAAGAGACATGTGACTTGATGGTTCACCACTGTGACATCTCTAGATAAGTGACATGTGACTTGATGGTTCACCACTGTGACATCTCTAGATAAGTGACATGTGACTAAATGGTTCACCACTGTGGCATCTCTAGATAAGTAACATGTGACTTGATGGTTCACCACTGTGACATCTCTAGATAAGTGAGATGTGACTTAATGGTTCACCACTGTGACATCTCTAGATAAGTGACATGTTACTAAATGGTTCACCACTGTGACATCTCTAGATAAGTAAGTAACATGTGACTTAATGGTTCACCACTGTGACATCTCTAGATAAGTAAGTAACATGTGACTTGATGGTTCACCACTGTGACATCTCTAGATAAGTGACATATGACTTGATGGTTCACCACTGTGACATCTCTAGATAAGTGACATGTGATTTGATGGTTCACCACTGTGACATCTCTAGATAAGTGACATGTGACTTGATGGTTCACCACTGTGACATCTCTAGATAAGTGACATGTGATTTGATGGTTCACCACTGTGACATCTCTAGATAAGTGACATGTGACTTAATGGTTCACCACTGTGACATCTCTAGATAAGTGAGATGTAACTTGATGGTTCACCACTGTGACATCTCTAGATAAGTGACATGTGACTTAACGGTTCACCACTGTGACATCTCTAGATAAGTGAGATGTGACTTGATGGTTCACCACTGTGATAGCTCTAGATAAGAGACATGTGACTTGATGGTTCACCACTGTCACATACCTTTACCTTAATCAGTTCATGTAACAAGTAATTACATGTACCCACAAGCAGAGTCAGTAAACAGTAACCAGATACTGTAAGTAAATTACTGTTGACAGGCATACCATAAAAAAGTTCTAGATCTGTATAACACTAATCTGTGCATTTACCTTCAATATGTATACAATAGCTGATAATTGTCTGTTTTGGTCAGACGTGATGTCAACTGAAAAATAACATAGAAAACCAGGTTATCATACACATATACAGATTCTAATAACACATATTGTCTAGTCCTGATACACAATACATGTCCCCTCATCACACATATTGTCTATTCCGGATACACAATACATGTCCCCTCATCACACATATTGTCTATTCCGGATACACAATACATGTCCCCTCATCACACATATTGTCTGGTCCTGATACACAATACATGTCACCTCATAATACATATTGTCTAGTCCTGATACACAATACATGTCCCCTCATCACAGAATGTCTAGTCCTGATACACAATACATGTCCCCTCATCACATATATTGTCTGGTCCGGATACACAATACATGTCCCCTCATCACACATATTGTCTGGTCCTGATACACAATACATGTCCCCTCATCACACATATTGTCTAGTCCTGATACACAATACATGTCCCCTCATCACACATATTGTCTAGTCCTGATACACAATACATGTCCCCTCATCACACATAATGTCTAGCCCTGATACACAATACATGTCCCCTCATCACACATATTGTCTAGTCCTGATACACAATACATGTCCCCTCATCACACATAGTGTCTAGCCCTGATACACAATACATGTTCTCTCATCATACATATTGTCTGGTTCTTATACACAATACATGTCCCCTCATCACACATAGTGTCTAGCCCTGATACACAATACATGTCCCCTCATCACACATATTGTCTAGTCCTGATACACAATACATGTCCCCTCATCACACATAGTGTCTAGCCCTGATACACAATACATGTTCTCTCATCATACATATTGTCTGGTCCTTATACACAATACATGTCCCCTCATCACACATAGTGTCTAGCCCTGATACACAATACATGTTCTCTCATCATACATATTGTCTGGTCCTTATACACAATACATGTCCCCTCATCACACATATTGTCTAGTCCTGGTACACAATACATGTCGCCTCATCACACATATTGTCTAGTCCTGGTACACAATACATGTCCCCTCATCACACATATTGTCTGGTCCTGATACACAATACATGTCCCCTCATCACACATATTGTCTGGTCCTGATACACAATACATGTCCCCTCATCACACATATTGTCTAGTCCTGATACACAATACATGTCCCCTCATCACAGAATGTCTAGTCCTGATACACAATACATGTCCCCTCATCACACATATTGTCTGGTCCTGATACACAATACATGTCCCCTCATCACACATATTGTCTGGTCCTGATACACAATACATGTCCCCTCATCACACATATTGTCTAGTCCTGATACACAATACATGTCCCCTCATCACACATAGTGTCTAGCCCTGATACACAATACATGTCCCCTCATCACACATATTGTCTAGTCCTGATACACAATACATGTCCCCTCATCACACATAGTGTCTAGCCCTGATACACAATACATGTTCTCTCATCATACATATTGTCTGGTCCTTATACACAATACATGTCCCCTCATCACACATATTGTCTGGTCCTTATACACAATACATGTCCCCTCATCACACATATTGTCTAGTCCTGGTACACAATACATGTCGCCTCATCACACATATTGTCTGGTCCTGATACACAATACATGTCCCCTCATCACAGAATGTCCAGTCCTGATACACAATATATGTCCCCTCATCACAGAATGTCTAGTCCTGATACACAATACATGTCCCCTCATCACACATATTGTCTAGTCCTGATACACAATACATGTCACCTCATCACACATATTGTCTGGTCCTGATACACAATATATGTCCCCTCATCACACATATTATCTAGTCCTGATACACAATATATGTCCCCTCATCACACATATTGTCTAGTCCTGATACACAATACATGTCCCCTCATCACACATAGTGTCTAGCCCTGATACACAATACATGTCCCCTCATCACACATATTGTCTAGTCCTGATACACAATACATGTCCCCTCATCACACATAGTGTCTAGCCCTGATACACAATACATGTTCTCTCATCATACATATTGTCTGGTCCTTATACACAATACATGTCCCCTCATCACACATATTGTCTGGTCCTTATACACAATACATGTCCCCTCATCACACATATTGTCTAGTCCTGGTACACAATACATGTCGCCTCATCACACATATTGTCTAGTCCTGGTACACAATACATGTCCCCTCATCACACATATTGTCTGGTCCTGATACACAATACATGTCCCCTCATCACACATATTGTCTAGTCCTGATACACAATACATGTCCCCTCATCACACATATTGTCTAGTCCTGATACACAATACATGTCACCTCATCACACATATTGTCTAGCCCTGATACACAATACATGTCCCCTCATCACAGAATGTCTAGTCCTGATACACAATATATGTCCCCTCAACACAGAATGTCTAGTCCTGATACACAATACATGTCCCCTCATCACACATATTGTCTAGTCCTGATACACAATAAATGTCACCTCATCACACATATTGTCTAGTCCTGATACACAATACATGTCACCACATCACACATATTGTCTAGCCCTGATACACAATACATGTCCCCTCATCACAGAATGTCCAGTCCTGATACACAATATATGTCCCCTCATCACAGAATGTCTAGTCCTGATACACAATACATGTCCCCTCATCACACATATTGTCTAGTCCTGATACACAATACATGTCACCTCATCACACATATTGTCTGGTCCTGATACACAATATATGTCCCCTCATCACACATATTATCTAGTCCTGGTACACAATACATGTCCCCTCATCACACATATTGTCTAGTCCTGATACACAATACATGTCCCCTCATCACACATATTGTCTAGTCCTGGTACACAATACATGTCCCCTCATCACACATATTGTCTAGTCCTGATACACAATACATGTCCCCTCATCACACATATTGTCTAGTCCTGATACACAATACATGTCCCCTCATCACACATATTGTCTGGTCTTGATACACAATATATGTCCCCTCATCACACATATTGTCTAGTCCTGATACACAATATATGTCCCCTCATCACACATATTGTCTAGTCCTGATACACAATACATGTCCCCTCATCACACATATTGTCTAGTCCAGATACACAATACATGTCCCCTCATCACACATATTGTCTAGTCCTGATACACAATACATGTCCCCTCATCACACATATTGTCTAGTCCCGATACATAATAAATGTCACCTCATCACACATAGTGTCTAGTCCTGATACATAATACATGTCCCCTCATCACACATAGTGTCTAGTCCTGATACACAATACATGTCGCCTCAGAACATATGACAAGTTATAGCAATCAATGACACAGATTCTGATGTTGACCAGCTGGTTTAACCTTAATCAAATATTCCTAATTAAATAATTATATCAAGTAGTTCCTACACTTTATTTCTTCCTTTCCAGTAGCATTACAACATTTGGCAATAATCATTTACTTTCTAGTGAATTCTTGCCCACAAAAAGCATCAACTATTAAACTCTTAGTAGGTAAAACATTCACCATCCCAAAGCATAAGATTAATTAAATGACCTTATAATACTTTATTACAATCAATTCACATTGTTAAAAGCAAAGACCTTACCAGGAAGTCGATCACCTGGTATAAGGTGCTGGCTGGTGGGAGTATCTGACAACACTGGGATCAGTGGTACACATTTTATCTGTATATATCTGCTCTCATAGTACTGTCCTTCCTCAGTCACATCGATAGAATCTTCAACAGAAAACCATTTTAACATATTAGCCTATTTCCAGGTTAAAACAGAAACTTGGCTGTCATAACTCAACAATTAAAGTAGAAACATGGCTGTCATAACTTAATGGTTAAAACAGAAACATGGCTGTCATAACTTAATGGTTAAAACAGAAACATGGCTGTAATAACTCAAACCAAAAGACTGAAGCAGGAAAATGACAGACATAAACTATAAACAAACATGTCATATTACTTTACTTGTGAGCTAACAGTTTTCTATAATGAAAGAGAAACTTGTAAGCTTACCTAATATGGAGTCATTTCTATTCTTAAATCCCAACACACTCAGCTGTAAAATATTGATAATAATACATTATTATTTAGATCTGATGTAAGAAAATAACTGATGTATATCACTTTTCACATTCACAGATTTAATATGGTAAGTGAAAATTCCACAAAATCGACAGACCACCAGATGGATATCAATGTAGAATGTTACTTCATATATTCAGATTAAGATGACTGCGGTTAGAAAATGACCCAAAATTAGTTTTGTTACACGGCTGTCCTAAAGCAATAAAGTAGAACCCCAGTATCAACAGTGTAAATCCTTGTGAGTTGGAGTGCATGCAGGAAGATAGGGCTTGAAGGGATATCTAGGCTTAATAAGAGGAAATGCAACATGGCTGTGGTTCCCTCTGATAAATACCTATATTATGTATCTGATATAACAAGGAGAAAATATTATATTGTACTGTTATTTATGAGATATATAACATTTCAAAGAGAATCCAATGGAAATCTGAGAAAAAATATCAATATTGAAACTTTATTCAAGTCAACACATTAATAAAGTTATATTTTCACTTGCTCCATGCTAAATTAAGCCCAGATTTTTTTTCAGATTTTGGATCAGTAGAAAGAACAGATTATGACAAATGGATTACTACCAGATGTAACAATATGGTAAAAGCTCATTGAAATGTTGGGGCCCAGTGAGCATAAAATTTGGATACATGTACAATGCGTAGCAACTTTCCCGTGTATGTATTTATGCCTGATCAAGTAAATGATTTATATGAGATACAACAATCACTTTTATGGATAGAAACGATGACGATGGAAACAAAACAGACACCCAATATTTTATTCTATATCTTAAAAGTTTTTAAGGATGTAAGTTTAAGACATGATAGTACTTACATTTCTCAAATCCCCTATTCCATACAGTCGCAATGCTGAATATCTTTTAGTAGATCTTGTAAATTCTATCAAACAAAATACAAGACAATCAAATCAACAGGCTGTTTTTCTTTCTGTTTCTATATGTGTTGCAATAGTTGAGGATGTAATAAAATTACTGCGAAAAAATAAAGATTGAAAAAAAATTTCTAATGAAAATAATTGTCCGGCTTATGACTTCTGTAAAAAAATACCGTCCATCAAGCTTTTTGGTGAAGTTAATATTAATTCGTTATGTATCGTCGACCAGTTTCACCAAGAACTGTGGGCTTTATTAGAACATCCAAGTAAGAAAACTTTCTCCTTCCTAAAGTACTTAAATCAAGATTGATTGTCGTGATACATACCTTGAATACCACTAACATTGCGTACTGACAGTTGAGTGATGAAGATGTCATTGATACGATAAGTTTTCCTTAGATAGGGTACAGAGCTCCTGAAAAAGTGTGATAAACAGTAATAGATTTTAAGTATATCAGTACAACATCATTATCCTTTATATTATTGTAACAACAATAATTCAACACAAGATGTTGAGTTTTCAATGTCCACAATGGCATGGTTACAAAGTGTCATTTTTGTTACCCTTCTAAAGTATTTATATAGTAAACATGTGAAAAACCCTTATTATCAATTTGTGTTGAAGTCTTACATTCCAAATCCATTCCACACAACATTACCACAATATAATGACATGCCTGTACTACAAATATAGCTTCAAATAACTTAAGGTAAACATACCTGTATGCATTAAAAGTCCTGATTGTTCCTTCACCACAGTTAAACAAAAGACTGGAAAATAAAAAAAAGCTGAATTCATATTGGAAAAAACCTTAGACCATTGTAAATCTTCATCTTTGTCCTGAACATTTCTTAATCTTATTTTCATTTTTCAAAAAGACCAGTCTGGCTAGTGTTGACATGTGAAACACAGTAATGGTTATATCTAAAACAATCTACATTTAAACAATTCACAGCAATTTGTATAAACATAAACTAAAGATATACATTAATATTTTAAATTAGCTGCAAAAATCCTCCTAACATAATAGATATTTCAGCTAAATTGATTGTAAATTGTTTTCATTCGTTAAAATTATGAATTTATCTCTAGCACTCTGGTAAGATATTAATTACATCCTAAAATGGCAAAATACAAATTCTGATTAGTTTGAAATTAACATTTGCAAAAACAAGAGTCACAAAAGGCCTGTATTGTTCTCCTGGTCTGAAGCCGATTCAGAGATGATATATCTATTTTAGTCATACCAAACCTCATACCTAACCTTCTTTACAAATATGTGTTGCACTTGATCAAATTCACTTTGTAGCTCTTAATCCCAACATGCAACAGGCCTAATACCATGATCCTGGTCCTCTTGGTCATTGAGGTTGACTTCAAGTTGATTGAAAATTTGAACATATATATGACACCTGAGGCTTTGAAACTGTCTAAAGTCCAATCATCCTAACATGCTACTAACCTCCTGGTTAGTGAGAAGATATTGTTTGAAGATATTAGACATTTGACCCTTGTGGCCTTGAGATCTAAAGTTGATCAATGTCATTCAATTTAAACAAACTATATTGCCCCTCATCCCAGAGTGAAATAAGTGAAACAGGCCGTATAACTGTACCTTAGGCCTCTTAGTTATTGAGATATTTGAACACTTTGATATATTGAATTTTTTAATACCTGACACTGTGAATGGGACATTGATAATCCTTTACACAAACTTTATCATGTATTTAGCTATTTGTGATGCATGATTTTATTGATATTTGTTTTGTATTTATTGTTGTACTGATATTATATTGTTCAAAACACCATTTTAAATAAAAAAAAAAAAAAAATCATGGTTGTTTTATTTAGAAGTCATTTGAAGATATTAACATCTTTGACCACTGTGTCCTTGCAAGTGAGTCAAGGTTTTATTTATTTGAACAAACTTGGTAGACCTTCATCTGGATTTGTTTCAAGTCCAATATCACCACTGTGTCTCTTGGTTTAATACTGAGAAGAAGTTGTTGAGTGATAATAAGGTAACAGACGACGACAGCTTTGCCATCGTATAAGCTAAAGAGTAAATATTACATAAAAACACTTTTTGACAAAACATACTTGCATAATAAGTTTTGATATCAACGAAAACTAGAAACCTGGCAGGACATATATTTTAAAACTGACTGACATTGACAAATAAAGCCTTTAACAGGTTGAGCACAATCATGCATATGGGTAACAGTTCTGCATTTGTTGAATAAGTAACTGCTTTCAGTAATCAGTTAGACACTTGAATGCAGGATCCTAATTATTTCAAATAGAAACACATAAGTTCTTTTGAAAATTTACAACAAAAAAGGGTGTCATCATTTTAACATGGTCCAATTGTTAATCTGACACTGTAAACATTTGCAGAAGAAACATTGATTTCTGTTGTGTAATTTTGTGCTAAAATGGCAATTTATATTACAAACATTTTGCTCCATTGACTACAGTGTACATACACTGGAGACATTTAGTGCAAATGTCATAGGTGAGAATGGATTTACCTGTACTCTCTTTTCAGCCACACTTTAAGCAATGGAGCTGATCAAGCTTGCATTGGTTATTTGGCCATGTCAAAAATATAACGTCTTTTTTATTGTTGATATTTAAAAGAACTTTTTGTTCCTATTGCAAACGACTCTGCATTTAAGTAACTAATCGATTACTCAAAGCGGTAACTATCCCTCAAGTACAAGCCTATTTCCATGTGTACGGTTGTGTCCAACCTGTTTTATATCATTGAACCCTATCATAACATTTTCATATCGCTCAAGAGTCGACTTAAGAGTGATATAAAGAAGTCGATGAGTCGGAATAATTCGTACAAAACTGAAACTCTTTCGCTGTTTTGCCAAACATCGTTACAAGTTGCGGACAAGTGCTCAATAAAAAATACCGTTGGCTTTGATTGTCCAGAGAAACGACAATTGTTTTTGAGGTTCCATATCCACCGTTGGATACCACACCAATTTCTACAGCTTTGTGTTGAATCCATCTCTTGGACATAATCTTTAAACTCCTGCTTACATGTTGACAATTCTTCATACAAAACTCATATAACAGAAACATGACGCCATGTGCTAAAAATCATAATCATCCAGACGTTTGAGTGTGCGAGTAAACAACGGCATCTCAAACCCGGATCAGACACACAAACACTGTACACGTTATTTCGCAAATGAGACTAAAATTAATTAATCGAATGCTTGTAGATCACACTTGATGACTGCCGTTTCCCAATGAATGTCAAATCGTTTAAATGTAAAAAAAGATGTACATCTGATCAGAAAAACAAAATGGCTGACATGTGGCCATCTTGAATTTTATCAGATAAAGTTTCTATTGCTAGAAAAAAAAATGGAGCTGTTGATACGTGTCAATTAAAGTGTAATACTGGAAAAACGATTAATTATGATTGAAGTGAGATTTAGCTCATTTATTTCTGGGCTGCGCATTTACACTTCAAGCTATTCCAAGAAGATATGGGAAATAAAACAGGATTGAACGATTTGTTTCAACAGTCAAATTGTTTTTTCTAAATTATTCCAAAGGTAAAATACTGCATATTTGAACAATTTTATGCATTTAATGATAGCATGGAATGTCTACAAAATTTGTAACCTGAAGAGAAGCTGTAATTTTGTGTCTGAGGTCCAACTATGTTGTGCAGGCACATATGGTGGTGCGGTTTTGTGAATAATTTGTGAATCTCGAAGGCCATGATATATCTCTGATTTTGGCACTTGCTTTTTTGAGTATTTCCAAACTTAATAGATTTCACTTGATTAGTTTTATTTGAATAAAACAAAAACATGTTCATCTGCATGTACTGTCGTAGGTATTTTATTGAGATGGTTAGTGGTGTTACCATATGATAAATTGATTTGTCAAAACTACAAATAATTCAGAACAGTAAGACCGGGGAAAGAAAAGAAATAAGGATCATGGGATAGTGGGTGTCCAGATCCCCTGGAATCAGTTGTCTTTCCAGCAAATTATTTAGACATGTATGAAAATAAGACTTGGATAGTTCACTCGACTAATGTAAATAATTGTAATTACATATATAAACAAGGGATGAAATAACGCTTGCAGCCGCTGTGATGCACTCAGATAAGCTGTATCATAAATATATGAGTAGGATTTGGCTATGCTCTACTGACATGAAAACAAAACCAAAATTCAAACTCCAATCGTTAAAATTAGTGCAACAAAGAAACAAGGTATGGTATTGTCCCTTCCGCCCTGATGTTGGAATGTCTACATTACAACATGTATATAGAGGTCAGAAGAACAGTTTTCAAGTTTCAAGAAAAAAAAACTTGTAAACAGTAAATTATGTATTTTTTCTGAATTTGTTTTTCATGGTGATAAACTGAGAAAATATATTTATATACAGATGATAAGAAATTTCATCAATAGCAAAATATACTAAAACATTATAACCTGAAATGTAGGCAAAGTTTCGTTAGATTAGTTGAATAATTTTCAAGTTGTGTCCAAGAAAACCCCTTGGTCGGACAGATGTAACCTAATTTAATAAATCCCAAAAGTATACACATTTCACGACGGGAAAAATGAACAAAGGAATGATGTACAAGGATATCATTGAAAAACACAAAGAGAATGAGACCAAATGTTTTAGAAGTGTAAACGTCATTGAAGTCTAGGCTGGTCCAAGTAATGTCATGTTCTAAGTTTTCTTCAGTTGGCAACTGACAATTACTATCGATACTCACCGTCTTATTGGGAAACAACGATAAGTTGGAGAAAAAAAGTAATAATGTCTCAGAATGGAAAATAAATCCAGATAAAATGATGTTGTCCCTGCTGAGAACATTGCAAGTGAGAATTAAGGTTAGCACTAACAGTTTCCATTTAGGGTTTCCCTGTCAGTGACACTTTCTAGCTGTAGCATTTCTCAGCTTCATATAGGCGTCATTAGCTGAAATGTCACACAGTATCAGAAGTTCCTTATTATGTCCCCAAAAATAAAGTGGGGATATATTGTTTTTTTTTTATGAGATGGGGGACAAGTTTCAATAAGGAGAATGACTCCCAGATCTATGGGACAGAGGGTGAGGCTCAGTAAGGAGAACCACTTCAAAAATATGGGACAGAGGGTGAGGCTCAGTAAGGAGAACCACTTCAAAAATATGGGACAGAGGGATGAGGCTTAGTAAGGAGAACCACTTCAAAAATATGGGACAGAGGGATGAGGCTTAGTAAGGAGAACCACTTCAAAAATATGGGACAGAGGGTGAGGCTCAGTAAAAATGTCTCAGAATGGAAAATAAATCCAGATAAAATGATGTTGTCCCTGCTGAGAACATTGCAAGTGAGAATTAAGGTTAGCACTAACAGTTTCCATTTAGGGTTTCCCTGTCAGTGACACTTTCTAGCTGTAGCATTTCTCAGCTTCATATAGGCGTCATTAGCTGAAATGTCACACAGTATCAGAAGTTCCTTATTATGTCCCCAAAAATAAAGTGGGGATATATTGTTTTTTTTTATGAGATGGGGGACAAGTTTCAATAAGGAGAATGACTCCCAGATCTATGGGACAGAGGGTGAGGCTCAGTAAGGAGAACCACTTCAAAAATATGGGACAGAGGGTGAGGCTCAGTAAGGAGAACCACTTCAAAAATATGGGACAGAGGGATGAGGCTTAGTAAGGAGAACCACTTCAAAAATATGGGACAGAGGGATGAGGCTTAGTAAGGAGAACCACTTCAAAAATATGGGACAGAGGGTGAGGCTCAGTAAGGAGAACCACTTCAAAAATATGGGACAGAGGGTGAGGCTCAGTAAGGAGAACCACTTCAATAATATGGGACAGAGGGATGAGGCTTAGTAAGGTAAACCACTTCAAAAATATGGGACAGAGGGTGAGGCTCAGTAAGCAGAACCACTTCAAAAATATGGGACAGAGGGTGAGGCTCAGTAAGGAGAACCACTTCAATGATATGGGACAGAGGGTGAGGCTCAGTAAGGAGAACCACTTCAATAATATGGGACAGAGGGTGAGGCTCAGTAAGGAGAACCACTTCAATAATATGGGACAGAGGGATGAGGCTCAGTAAGGAGAACGAATCCCAAACCTATAGGGCAGAAGGAGGAGGTTAAGTAAGGAGAATGGCTCCTATTCCCATAGGACAGAGGGATGAGGCTCCATAGGGAGAACCACTCCCGAACCTATAGGACAGAGGGTGAGACTCAGTAAGGAGAAAGACACCCAAATCTATGAGACTGAGGGATGAGGCTTAGTAAGGAGAATAACTCCCAGACCTATGAGACTGAGGGACCAAGCTCAGTAGGGACAACTTCCAAACTTAAGGGACAGAGGGATGAGGCTCATTAGGGAGGAAAGCAGTTGATTCCCTTTCCTTCCATATTGATGAAAGCATTTCTTGTGTAATTAATAGTAGTCACCTGCAGGGTGATAGGAGCAGTCATCTGCAGGGTGATAGGAGCAGTCACCTGCAGGGTGATAGGAGCAGTCATCTGCAGGGTGATAGGAGCAGTCACCTGCAGGGTGATAGGAACAGCCACCTTCGGGGTGATAGAAGCAGCCACCTGCAGGGTGACAGGAGCAGTCACCTGCAGGGTGATAGGACCATCACCTGCAGGTAAATAGGCTGGGCCAAATCAGACTTTCAAATAAATATAACTTGTCTGTGGTCAAATATTTATCAGAATGCAGAAAAAAGGAAAATTTGAATAATTACTGAAAGAAGCAGGGACAGACTGAAAGGGTTTGGCCTATCATTAATGACCTACATTTAGAGAGATCTATGATGTGCATATAGCCTCTCATTTCTTTTAACAGAGAAAATCTCTTCAATGTTTTGTGATGGATAAGTTTTGTGTAAGTGTTGGTAGCAGTTTTTGCTTAAATGACACTAACCTTTTATCAAGGTCTGTGTGAACCTTATCATTTCAAAGGTGTTTAAACATCTATAAATGTTCACATGATATTTATAGAAAATGGAAAAATTGTTTTGGCTAGACATATTTTAATGTTCTATTGACAATTGTATTGTAATTACAAATAATTTGTATGTTCAACAACAAAATCAAAGTCACTTCACTGTAAGATTAGACTGTCCATCACCAGGATCAATTTCTCATCAATCTGCTACGCATCATATGAAATAATCAGAGAGTTACATTAAATAATGTCCATCTTAGTATCAATTTCTCATTGCTCTGCTCTGCAGTGAATCAATCAGCAAGCCATATCAGGTATAAGTCTTTTTATAACCTAAAATTGAGGAATGACATTAACTACTTCAGTGTAAATAACTAATTTTTTGTTGGTACAGTCTTCGAAAATTCTGCAGGTTATATTTACAAATATTCAAATTTATGGTTTAAAAGACAACATTTCCTAGTAATTTCACTGATATCTCTGAAGATTATATGTACTGACTATTTTAATTAAATCACATAGCAACAACAAAACTAGGCAACTAAGAATGACAATTTCTCTGGTGAACTACATGTAAACTAAACTTCTATATGAGGTCTAACGAGATGTAGACATAACTCATGTGACAGTGGTATAACTTCACAACCTCTAGTGAACATATATGTCACAAAATCATTTCTGTCATGATTCTCAATAAAATATTGTCTTCTACCATAAAATATTGACTAGAAACAGGCAGTTTTAAACGTGTTTACATGCATCACAAAAGCAGAAAATTAACCACACAACAAAGAACACTTAAATTTAAGGAAAAGTAGGAATTTTTTTTTACGCATTTCTCCGATATTCACCAGAAAGTTGTCAAGTTTCTATCTGGATACTGTCGATACTGTGATATTGCATGACAAAAACTAACATTTAGTATTCAAAGACTTGCAGAAAATAAAGTTGTTTTAAAATTAGAAAATTAAAAGCATTCCTTTCCTTGGACAATAATAAAATGAGAATCTGCCCCCATCCCCCACCTGTTAATATTCTGCTCTCTTATATTAGTGGCCTACTTCTCCATTTCTGT